CTCCCTATTCCATCCATAGGGAAGGCCTGTGCCCCAGCAGTGGGGACATTAATAGGCTGATGAGGGTATATCTTAGGTTAAAATAAGGAAAGAGATTATTTTACATATAAAACTACAAACAATGGGCATACTGTTAAAAAAATATAGAAAAAAAGTCGACCCAAAAAAAGTTATTATACATCTTCCAAGTTGAAAAATCGTAGAACGTACATGGGGGTTAAATTGATAGGTTCTCTGCTATCAACTCGCACTGGCTTGACGCCCTGAAAGAAACAGCCTTTATATATGTGTACAATATACAGGGTGGTCAAAAAGTCGTGGATCAAACGAAACAGGGAGATAAAAAAGGTTATTTCCAACAAAAAATCTTTCTACAGCATGGCCATATAGTACAGTCAATCTGTCGAAAAAAATATCGTTTGAGTGAAAAAAAAACCTAAAGGGTAAGCCTTGTTTTTTCTGTTGCCAAATGACGTCAGTAAGCCACCTTGGCGATGGGCATGTTCAACTCGTAGGCGTTTTTTGAAAAACTCAAAAAAACCATCAACATTTTTTTGAAACGCATTTTTCTTGTTTTGTATGCATTTTAGAAACTTTTTTTTCGACCATAATTGTAGAGGGCATTGAGTGCTACAATTTATGTCATTGTTGCAATCTCGTACAACAAAAAATGCGCATTGTAGGTGGCGCTAAAGTCTCAAAAAAGTGTTTTTTCACTTTTTCACCCTGAAAATATCATTTTAATGGAAAACTTTAAATGGCAAAGTTGTTTCGTACATAATTACCAACAACTTTTGTATAAACAATTTTTTTGTATTATTTACCGTTTTCAAGTTATAAATTGCGCAGGTATGAAAAATCCAATAGAGCGGTTTTAGGCAGTTCACGTACACATTTGCAGTGCACATTTCAATGTACGTTTTTGCTAGTTTTTTTTTCAATCATGAAAAAAAATAAAAATAAAACTATTTTTTTTTTCATTTGTTTTTGTTTTTCAATCATGAAAAAAATTAAAAAATAGTAAAACGTACATTGAAATGTGCACTGCAAATGTGTACGGGAACTGCCCAAAACCGCTCTATTGGATTTTTCATACCTGCGCAATTTATGACTTGAAAACGGTAAGTAATACAAAAAAATTGTTTATACAAAAGTTGTTGGTAATTATGTACGAAACAACTTTGCCATTTAAAGTTTTCCATTAAAATGATATTTTCAGGGAGAAAAAGTGAAAAAACCCTTTGTTTGAGACTTTAGCGCCACCTACAATGCGCATTTTTTGTTGTACGAGATTGCAACAATGACATAAATTGTAGTACTCAACGCCCTCTACAATTATGGTCAAAAAAAAAGTTTCTAAAATGCATACAAAACAAGAAAAATGCGTTTCAAAAAATTTTTGACGGTTTTTTTGAGTTTTTCAAAAAACGCCTACGAGTTGAACATGCCCATCGCCAAGGTGGCTTACTGACGTCATTTGGCAACAGAAAAAACAAGACTTACCCTTTAGGTTTTTTTTTCACCACTCAACCTACAGATTGACTGTACTAATAACTTCATTGCACGAAAAGTTATAAATATTTTTGTTTTTTTCAATGAATCTACCGAGCTTTTTTACAATTTAATCAATAAAAAAATAAATTGATTAAACACAATAAAACAAAAGGTGTTGTATTATGACCGGATTATGTATCAATACTACAAAAATTGTATTGGAGCTCTCGGTACCAAATTTAACGAGCAATGAATTTTTTTTCGTAAATTTTGACGCGTTACAAAGAATTACTTCTCACTTTAGGAGCACCATGTGAAAAAAAAATGTATTACAGAAAAGTGACCCTGTATTAAAAAAACTTGCTGATTTAATGCTGATTCAAATGAGGTACAACACTTTACTGCGTGACCTTTAGTTTTGGTTTTATGGTCGTTTTTTCATGTCAAGGTGCAAATTTATAAAATGATAAATTGAAAGGAAAATTTAGATTCTTGCTCATACATACTATGTAGTAATTTCAGAAGCCATCATGAAATAAAAAGAACAATTATGACTTAGTAATTTTATTACAATTAAAATGTTTACATTAAATGTTCAAAGTTCCTACCTCTGACCATAATGCACATTAAGCACCGCCTAATAAAATTCGCACGTAATCGGCGGAATGCATCTCTGTTATAACAATTTGTAACCTAGCGAACTCGAGCTTTTGTCGTAGTTCTTGTTCGGTGTTATTCTCTCCTTGATACACTATTTCTTTGAAATAGCCCCAAAAAAAAAGTCTATTGAGGTAAGGTCGGGCGACCAGGGTGGTCATGCAATAGGTCCGCCTCGACCAATCCACCGGTTAGGGAAGCGCTCGTTCAAATGTCCTCGAACTGCTCGAGCATAATGAGGCAGGGCGCCATCTTGTTGCAGCCACATTTCTGCCACTCTATCTTCAGGAATCTCAGCTTCGTTGAGTATTTGGTTCAATTATTCTGTAAAAAATTCAAATACAGAGCACCATTCAGCCTTGGTGGCACTTCATGTAGCACAGGCTTCTGGTCAATTATTCCAGCCCACATGTTTATACCAAACAAATGCTTGAATCGATCATTTCTGATGATATGTGGGTCACTCTTGAGTGAAAGTGTAAATTGCGGATATTAAAAATTCCTATTCTTCTAAAATTTGACTCATCAGTCCATAAAATTTTGTTCTAGAACTGCGGATCCTCTCTGTGTCGTCTAAGCATCTCTCTGCAAAATACCATTCTAGGTCCATAATCAGAGGGCTGTAAAGCTTATACCCTTTGCACGTGGTAACCGTGGTATTTTTTTCTTTTAATAATAAGCTGCACCGTCGATCGTGGGATCCCGAGATTTCGTTGGCGTTGGCTAATACCAGGGTTCATTCTTAACTGTCTCAGTATTTGCTCTTCATTGTCAAATCGTACCACTGGTCTCCCTGTTCTCAATTTTTGACAAAGGATTAAATGGTTAGTAAATCCTAAGTGTGACAAGAACAGAACATTTCTAGCGTTCCAACGTATAAAAAACTAGCTGTTTATGATCAACTAGTAAATTATTTGAATAAGGTTAATTTAATGAAATTTGCACCTTGATATGAAAAAACGAACCATAAAACCAAAACTAAAGGTCACACAGTAAAGTGTTGTACCTCATTTGAATCAGCATTAAATCAGCAAGTTTTTTTAATACAGAGTCACTTTTCTGTAATACATTTTTTTCACATGGTGCTCCTAAAGTGAGAAGTAATTCTTTGTAACGCTTCAAAATTTACGAAAAAAAAGGACATCGACGAAATCGGCCCTAGCATGCCCAAAAGAATGTCCTTCACTATTATTTTTCTATTATTTTTTTAACTTATTAGCAATTAATCATAGTAAACGGACAATCTGTTTAAAAAATAAAAGTTCTGTTACTAGATACTACAGTCTGTTCATCCAACTTGACACTCCTTTTTATTGAAAATACAGCAATAAAAATCAACTGATAACTGGATTCAATAGGTTTCAGTCTATAATAACGATTTATTTCAATAGTTTATTGGCTTCGTTAATATTTTATTATTAAATGGGTGATTCTGTTAAAAAGTTGTGCCAAGATTGTTTACCTTAGTAATGCAATATAGGCGACCATAGGTATTTATCAACATAAAAATAGAACAAGGTACCTTAGTTAATAATACTTATTACTAGTATTTATATTATATTTATGAAAAGATTATTTCTGAAATTATCTAAAGATAGTTTATACTCCCATCCCATGTAATATCTGTTTATTTTTATGAAAATCATAATGATAACCAGATACATACCTAATTACCGATAGTAAACTATAGGAACAGGTAAATGGAAAGACTGAACATTTCATTTGATAAGAAATCTATCATTACTTACTACAGGTAGGTATAGGTATCATAGGTGCCAACTGAAAACACTCATAAATCAATATGAATATAAGCATTTATTATTTTTATTATTAATTGCATTTTATGTTCATTTAATGCATATTATTTAAGTGCTTACATAGAGTTAAACACTAAATCTATTCAGAATATATAAAGTGTACATCTTTTATGATTAAGTATAATAATTATAACCTCAAAATCTAATACATTCTGTAGTAGGCCACGGTTCCTCAAGTTGTCCGTATCTCAACAAATGCTTATTTAGAGTTTATGAATGATTCCGAACACAACTAGCATTTTCTCATTGCTGGGCGTTCTAGGGCATTCAATGTATGGGGAACGAGCAATGTCCTTTATTGCTCGTTAAATTTGGTACCGAGAGCTCCAATACAATTTTTGTAGTATTGATACATAATCCGGTCATAATAAAACACCTTTTGTTTTATTGTGTTTAATCAATTTCTTTTTTTATTGATTAAATTGTAAAAAAACTCAGTAGATTCATTGAAAAAAACAAAAATATTCATAATTTTTCGTGCAATGAAGTTATATGGTCATGCTGTAGAAAGATTTTTTGTTGGAAATAACCTTCTTTATCCCCCTGTTTCGTTTGATCCACGACTTTTTGACCAACCTGTATACATGTATATACACATACATTTAACATTTACTATTTATAAGAGAAAGAAAATGTGCGCGCGCGCTGCTTTATGGAACACTTATCAAAAAGGTCGCTGCCAATCAGGATCTTGGGTACAATGCTTGCGAAATCTTGATTTGGCTACTTTTATCATACATTCATACATTTATATTATCATACGCGGAATTATCCAATGCAAGTTACGTGGATTTGCACTATCCACGACTATATAAACATCCATGACTTGGTACAATTGCTCATTTTCATCATACTAACATTTGCCCCACCGGGATTCGAACCCGAGATCACACGATTAAGCGACATGAAACCCAGCGTACATACTACACGGCCACGGAGATCATCAGTAGGCGGTGAAATGGCAGTAGGGAGAGTCTAGACGCGAATTAATCTTTAGAAATCTAAGAATAAATAAAACAACATTGATAGTATAGACTTTCGTGTTATATTGGTGGTAGTCTGGCATATGGTTCTGGCGCTTCGTCAGGGAATGGCGCGGTGAAAGCGCGTGGATAGGGACGCAAGTACTTCGGCTGCGGCCGTGGCAGCTCCGGGAGAGCGCCGCGCACCAAACGACGAAGAGCAGCGTTGCGGCGCCGCAGCACCACAACCTCGTCGTGAAGACGTTCCCGTTCTAAATATAGTTTAGATTTTATTCAGTAAAATCATGTTATTCCACAACTTAACCATAAACTGAGCCTGATTTTGGCATGATTCTCTAAAATTTCAACTTTTGACAGTAAGTCTCTCCATTTCATTCCATTCAAGTATGAAAAGGATACATTCTTGTACATACAATTAACTTTGAAGTTAAGAGATTCGTGTCTGAATCAGGCCCACTATCATGTTGTCGGCGTCATTCAATCATGTCTAGTCCCCCGAAGCCATTCTCCTACCCATTGGAAGTTCTAACTTCATTGAAGGAAAAAAAAAACAAGATAGGTAGGTACTGTGATTCGGATAATATTTTTAGGTCCGGGGAATGCTAACACTAAGCAGGCGCTCTATTTACTAAAATATTCTGCTGCCAATTTCTCCCTTGAAAGATATCATGTAATATTTTGCTCATTGCCCACTAGTTTTATAATAAACTTATGTGCCTAGTTAGTTCCCAAATCAAAATTGGTCTATAGTAGATTAGTAGAGGTAACATTTTTGTTAAATTACCTTGTAATGTTGGTAAGTAATTATTTAATCCAGTCAAAAGGCCGTCCCAAAAGCGGTCTTTTTCTGGTGGGAATATATTCGTCCACTGGGACCAATACTGCACTATTTCTTCTGATTTAAGTTTACGTGAGGGGGTACCGAAGTCTGGTGGTTTAACGCTATCCCTGTGAATAGCGAATAGACGTGAGAGAAAAACATAGAAACAAACAAAGTTATTTACACAACTTACAATATTAATGAAATACTTACAACAAATCATACAATTTCTTCTTTTCAGGTGGTACAAAAACCGATATAAATTCTCCTAGAGCTGTTAAAACTTGCATTGGCTCAATTTCTAAGCAGTGGCCCACTGAAACAATAATATATGGTATAATGCGATTCAAGTAAGAATAGGACCGACTGGGCGCCATATTTTGACGTCATAGCTGTCAATTCAAACCAAATAGGTAGAGTGAGCAAAACAATTTTGCTATTTTATTCAATAGTATATATAATAGTTTTATTAAACTTATTTACTAAGATTAAGTGAGACAAAACATCAGATTTTTGAATAAAATTAATTTACTAAGGTTGAGAAAGAACACAACCGATTTTTAATAGTATTTCTTTATTAGGACTGTGTTAAAAAAACATTAATCAGAATCTAGCTTATAAATAATTTCGCTCATCTCTACATTATCGCCGGAGAAGTTATGTAGTTATGCAGGTCACATGCGAACATGCAGCCTATATGTAAACGAAAGTTTTAAATCGAGTTTTTGAACGCAACTTAAACTGACATTTGGTTGACTATTTAGGTTATCAACCATTCATAACCATGGCTCAATAAATGAAACAAAAACAACTAATATTAATTATCAACATTTGTTATTATTTGTTTAAAAAATTTTGGTTTTTATACTAGAATCAGCTGAGTGCTAAAAAAGTGTTCCGAGATTTTTTTGCAAACCGTACTTTCAAAGCGACATTTCACTGATGGAGGTCATTGGCTTTCCTATTCTTATTTGAATCGCATTATATATTCTTATAAATTGTAGTGTAGGTAATAAAAAAATACGACATCGATTTAAGCATTTTTGACAAAATAATACAAAACAACCCTATATTTATCACTTAAATAATGCTCGGTATGGAAGTTCGCTCAGACCTGAATCCAAAGGACTACATCGAAACCGTGATCAATCAGCGTTACGCAAAATCGGAGTCCTGAACAAGGTTCGGCGTTTTTTCAAGCTTGATCAAATGTGCTTGTTGTACAAAACGCAAGTGCGGTCCTGCGTGGAATATGCTCGCACTTCTGGGATGGTGGCTCCGCTAAGTACTTACTCGATGCCTTGGATAGGTTAAAGCGGCGTGCTGTCCGAATCATTGGCGATGAAGAAGTAACTAACAAACTCGAGTCTCTACAATGACGCCGCGATCCATATCGCGGTAGAATGCGCTTAATGATGCATGGCATCCTCACCGGAAAAATCATCGAAAACAATTCATCGAATTACAATTCTTCGAACACAATTCATCGAAAAAATAATTCGTCGAACAACAATTCTTCGAACGGTAATTCCCCGAAAAACAAAAAAGTAAACCATTCTGATCCAGACAACCCATTTATTGCCCCAGACGGTACTCACACGCAGAGGATCGAGTCCCAGTGGAGGACTGTCAAAAGATATTTCAGAAAAGATAATTATAACCATCCGCACGATTTTGCAGATTCGATTGTAGAATATTTGTGGCGCAGAAACATAATTAAATATAAAAAAGACGCGTTTTTAGAAACAATGAATGCCATAAAACATGTATACAAAATAAATTAATGTGTAGAATTTCATGCTTTTTATATTTCATATTATTAGTGACAGAACCGAAGTGGGGCGGGGGCGCAGCCCCCGCAAGGGGGGCTCCAATCTCCAATGAATAAAGTCTAAAGAGTTCATTAGGTTAGGTTAGGTTAGTATGATGACCAAAAACGCGCGAGCCGAGCGAGCGGAGCGAGCGTGCCGCGGCAGCGGCCGGCGAAGCGCCAGAAACGACACTTTTGTACGTGCAACGTTTTTTTTTTCATACTTTTTCCCCTTTCCCCACCTCGTTTTAGCCTCCCTCCTGCTAAATTTTCATTTTTTTTTTGGAATTACCGTTCGAAGAATTGTTTTTCGACGAATTGTTTTTTCGATGAATTGTGTTCGAAGAATTGTAATTCGATGAATTGTTTTCGATCAATTTTCCGCAAAACGCATGGCATATGCCATGCATCATTAAGCGCATTCTACCGACTATATCACGGCGAGTGTTCTGAGAAGTTATTCTCCCTTATACCTCCATCACCTTTTCTTCAGAGGACCACGCTCGCTGACCTACGTTGCCACCGAAATATTCCTACACGAACAAAGAAATTTGGTAACTCGTTTCTTTGTCGTACTATTCGTAAGTGGAATTCTTATCCCGCGCAGGTGTTCCCTCCTTCCTACAATCTGAGGTCCTTTAAGAGCGGCGTAAAGAAGCATCTTTGCATGCTCACAAGATGAGGATGGTGGGTGTGGCAGTTATTACCTGCTGTACCAGCTATCTTCGCGTTTGGACTTTATCACTACTGAACATCAGGTGGGGTAGAGTCATTGCCTACCTGGCTATATATAAAAAAAATACTTACATTTAAATGGAATTCTGGCGTGATCCTCTAAACTTAGGAGATTGCTCAAATTGGCCCAAACGCACAAAAAATATTGATATACACGGTAATTCTTGGCGTAATTTATAATTTAATTTACAGTCATTAGATTTCAACGGACACCTTTGTATAATATACACTTCTGGACACATCTATTGGCCCACCTTGTATTTTCAGTTTCGTTTGGTCCTAGCTAAAATTTTATATTAGGTCGAGCAAAAAGTTTTTATGCAGTTTTGAATCTGGCACATTCACAATTTCATTCAATAGTCCTTTTTTGAATTTCGAACACAGAATTTAAAGAAACAAAAGACAATTTGGAGCCTGTTTGTTGATATCAAACAATCGAATACTAAGAAAACTTGGTTTTATTGGTTTACTTGGATTTAATTCTTGAAAAAGTGATTGATACCTTTGGTTTTGCAACAAACATTACTTATTCTTAACATTAAGGTGAGATTCTATCAATAATCTATGGATACTTCACCTGAAGTCGCCGCCCAAGCTGTGACACTTATTCAGGCCGGACACAGCCAAAGAAACGTGAGTGCTCAACTTAATTTAAGTCGATCTGCGGTCCGAAATGTTTATCGGAGGTACCTAGAGACTGGCGGCTTTGTTCGTCGCCAAGGAAGGCCACGATCTCGGGTCACAACTGAAAGGCAGAATCGATTCATCGTGACGACCAGCTTGAGAAATCGTCACCTTACCTCCATTGAGATACAAAAACAAATTCGCGACTTCCACGGAGTATCTGTGAGCGCTCGAACTGTTCGGAGAAGGTTAAAAGAACGCGATATGGTACCACACAAGCCAGCTAATGGGCCCAAACTAACACGAGCCCACCGAACAGCGCGCCTTCATTTCGCACGCAGTCATTTAAATTGGACACAGCAAGATTGGAGCCGTGTACTCTTTTCTGATGAGTCTAAAATTGTGTTACATGGCAATGATGGAAGGAAGAAGGTCTACCGACGTAAGGGAGAGCGTTTCGCACAATGCTGCTTTGAAGAGAGGGTTGCTTATGGCGGTGGTTCATGGACTGTCTGGGGCGGTATATCCGCGAGCGGCAAAACTCAACTTGAGGTTGTTACAGGACCACGGCTGCCAACATTAAATGCTGAAATGTACATTCGTGAGTGCTTAGAACCTCACGTGATACCATACGCGGACTATGTGGGCCCAAATTTCCTTTTTATGCATGATAATGCAAGAGCCCATGCGGCCGGCATCGTCAGGGAATATCTTCGGGATGTGAATATCACAGTTATGGACTGGCCAGCCAGAAGCCCAGACATGAACCCCATTGAGCACATGTGGGACGAGCTAAAAAGACGTGTTAGGGCTCGTCAGCCAGTTGCCCAGACGATGCAGGAGTTGAAAACTGCCATAGAAGAGGAATTGGAGATGATCCCTCAAAATTTCATAGAGCGGTTGATAAACTCTATGCCTAATCGTATGAGAGCTGTGGTAGAATTAAACCTTTATTTGATAAAACATGTTTTTTATTTAAAAATCAATTGCCTATTACAAGGCGCATATCCGACTTGTTAGGCGTAGCTCCATGTCGTATGGTATTCTGAATTCAAATTTAAAACAATACGGTCGAAAAAGATGGTAAAATGTATCAGGTTTAAAACTGCATCAACAGTTTTTGTTCAATCTAGCAATCATATTTCGGTAGGGGCCATCGAAACCTAAACTCTAAGGTGGGCCAATAGATGTGTCCAGAAGTGTATTTACATTAAAAAGGACTTTTAATTTTACCGGTTTGGAAAACATACGAATAATTTTTAATGGCTATGGGTGTAGTAACATTCAGCCAAAGACTGATCGAAGTTGTATATATAACATAAAAACAAATCTATTTTGTAAAGATCGATAAAATAAATCATTTTTATCATTTTCACTAGATGCAAATGTGCTCAGACAATTATTATAGATGGTAGGCGCTATCATAAAGTCTATTGCCATACATTTTTCGCCAAACTCCTCCATAAACACATTTTAATCTGTATATATGTTAGACTTTAAGGTATCTATCTATGGGCCTACATTGCCTGACTATAAATTAATAAATAAATAAAATTATAAGGTGTGATACACTAAAAATCTAAAATACGGTTATATTAAAAACATAACAAAAATAATGAAGCTACTGAATATATGGCTATATAACCTAAATCTCTTAGCTTTCTTTGGTTAACGAGAGTTTAAAAATTCTCTCTAATCTGTGGCTCATTCACAATCATCACCTTCGTCTAAGATCATCACACAGTTTCTGTCACAGAGTACCTTATTATAACCGGAAATGCATAGATGACACCTGATTTTAAAAGTTACTCTTACTTTAAAAACAGGCAACTATCTGTTAATCTACATGCTCTATATACCTGAATCTAATCCATAATTTCGGTACTTGGCTTGATTTCTCTAGTTTACTATATAACTTATTTGTTTTTTATTATTTTAATATGTTCAGTGTATATGGTTTATAGAAGTGCTCAGGGGTGTCCGTCAATAATATTCGTTTCTACAGTAAATGATATATAATTTCGAATCTAGGAAACAATTTTTCATGATTATTGGTCTTTAGGCCAAACATGTATGGAAGCTGAGCAATCTCCTTTCACAACAGATTCTCCTTTTCATTCTGTAAAGAGTATAAACAAGGATACATTCTAGTCAAATTTAAATTTAGGCTTATAGAATCATGCCAGAAGAGCCCCATTCTGGCATGATTGTACTCTGGCATCTTTCGAATATACGACTCTACTAACCAGGGCAAAGGAAGGGGTTTTCCTTGCGAGAGGACAGCTCTGGTCGCGAGGAGACGGTGACACCACGCGTGCCTGCGCGTAAGGAACGAGGTCCTGTCATATCCGGCACAACGACGCCGGCTGATAACGAGGCCACTGAAACATAATCAAGTAATTCCACATCAAACAATCGATTTCCTTACCTATTCTTTCTCTCTGCATTAGGTACGTCTATGGATTTCGTTACCGGAAAACATTCGAAAGGCTCGCAATCTGCTCGAAGTTATTTCTTGTCCCAACCTTGAAGTGTAACTTTTCCTTTCTCTCTTACGTTTCAAACCTAAAATATCTTTTTTCCTTATTATTATTTACTGTAACTGTCACACCCCTCCTCTATGTCCTTCCTATTAATTTACTTCTCTAGTATGGATTGCTTGGAAGAGATAATACCTTCCTAGCAATAAGGCTGCCTATATTGCGTACATTCTGATTGTCATGTTTTTTTTTGTATCCTGTGCGGTGTACTTCAATAAAGTGTATTATTTTAATACACTTTATTGTAGTACACCATTTATTTTTAATTACTTCTTTTATCACACGGTATTTGCCAATGCGTGACAACAATAGTATTTCCAAATACCTATTTCTTAAATGTCTCTCAGCTCGCATCCGCGCTAGGGAGCTGTGAAACATTCGTGCGTGGAGTTCTGGCCATAGAATTACCAATTCTAGCTATTTTTTTGCTTGTCTTAAAAAAAATATAGACTACACCGATGTCGTACCTTTACGCAGGTAAAAAATCTTTTTTCAGACGACGGCGCCTTTAAGAGGCACACCGCCGAACGGACCTCACACCTGGCTCCCGCAAGTCTTACGAACCCCCCCCCGTGGCTGCCCACCGAGGACCCCGCAACTCTTACGGGCGCTTTACGGTATAATATCCGCTAAAAAAGTCCTGCGAATACCCTCTAAGGCAGCTATACTCTAAGTGTGTTCCGCGGAACCCTAGGGTTCCGTGATACCTCTGTCGGGGTTCCGCAAGAATTTAGAAATAAAAAAATCAAAACACCTCTCTCTGGTCGCTCCGCGGCTGTGCGGACTCCGCGGCCGCGCGGAGACAAAACGCTATGAATGTTATTTATTTATTTATTTGTATTTGTATAAGCTTGTGTTACATTAGCTGGTACAATATCTCATAAGTTTGGTCTCAACAATTTTATACTTGTACAACGCGTTCGCTCTAAGTTTGCCGGTCTGTGGAATGCGCGTACCCTCCCCCACGTGACAACAAAACTTATAATGTGTCATAGTTTTACCCAAATATCTAACGTACACAATTTTTATTGTTACAATTAAATAAAAAATTTCGAACGTCATACACTCATACCTATCGCCAGCGGCAAACTTAAAACGAGCGGGTAGTATACTTGTAAGCGCTCAGTCTCTTTGATAAAAGCCGCCTCTGAATTAGACGCTATAGTTGTCAACTAGCGACTTTCGTCTCTAACTTCAAAGGATAAAGTCGATATTGTTTACAACGCTATTTTTAAATTTCTGTTTTTATTTTTGCTTTTTGTTTATCAAAGGTGCCGACTCGAGTATTTTCGAGAATATTTGAGATCGAGTCTAGGACTAAGTATAAAAGCGGCGATCGCGCGTTGGCGTCGTCAGTTGATGATTAGCGTTCGGAGTAGACATGGGCGTTTTTGGTTTTGAACGCAAACGGATATTTATCGGATTTCAGATTTCAAAATCGATTTTAAAATCCGTTTTTAGATATCCGATTTCAGATGTGCCGAACTTAGCCAATTCACTAGTTTGTGTTATGATTTGGTTTTATTAGCTAACGACAATCACAAACAATTAATTGTACGAAGCAAGGATACTCGTAGATTTGCACGATTTTCCTTTATGCTTTAAATCTAGGCTTAGGCAAGAGTATATATTCTGTGGCTTAGGACTAACAGAAAAGTTATCTTTACGGTTAAAAGTAAAACTTTTGCGGCGCATTTAAAAATCGGCTTATATACAATGATTTCTTTACATATTTTTTTAGTATTTTTTTTTGTTTTTCTGTTTGTTTTTATTATTTTTCAAACCATTTACAAAATCCAACCTAATTACTTCAGGCGTTCAAAAAATGTCAGTTGCTCGACTTTTGATGTTTTTAGACGACATCTTTTTCAGTAATAAATAATCCCGCCTTAGAGAAGAACAATAGATTTACGTAAACAGCAAACCGAAATCGGACTTCCGAGCACGAAATCGGACTTCCGAAAACGAAAGCACGAATTTCGAATCCGATTTACATTTGGATACTTGTGGTGGTATTAGATCGCTAGCGTTTTGGTTCGGTTAGATTTCTGAAATCGGATTTTCTTGTTGAGAAATCGTTCGGTATCGATTTGTGTTTGAAATCGGATTTTGGATTCGTTTTGATATATCGGACGCATGCCTAGTTCGGAGCGATAAGTTACTACCTACTTACAAGCTCGCTAGCGAGAAACTGGTGTTCATTGTTTTACTGCCTGCTGTATTCTGTTGTCTCAGTTTTATACATTTCTTCCCTGTAGGTTCTAAATTTAGTCTCTTATACGCAGTAACGATTGTGCATTATTTAAACCCCACTATCCTGACTTGTAACATTATAAATAAAGAAGAATGGAACGTTGGCTTAAAGGTGTTAAACGTGTTCCAACAACATCTTCTAATGACGCTGAATGTTCAAAAGCAATGCGCGCGGAGAATTTAGCAATCACCGATCCAGAAGATGATGCCACGAGTGCCACGACGTCAAGCTCGACGGTTTCAAAGACGAAAAAAAGGAAGTATGATGAATCTTATATCAGTTTCGGATTTGTTGATTCCAACGGCTCACCTCTCTGCATGCTCTGTAGTAAACTGCTTCCTAATAGTTCCATGGCACCTGCCAAATTGCGTCGACATTTAGAAACCGTACACCCCGAGACTAAAGACAAGAATAAAGAATTTTTTGTTCGCAAAAAAGATCAGTTATTAGAAAGTCAAAAAAATATGATGCATGTAACACAAACTACCAACGAAAAGGCCACGGAGGCATCATACTTAGTTAGCTATCGCATTGCACAAGCAGGTGAAGCGCACACTATCGCTGAGAAATTAATAAAACCATGTGTATTAGACATAACAAAATGTATGCTTGATGAAAAATCTGCAAAGCATCTTTCTACTGTTCCGCTATCAAACGATACTGTTTCACGACGAATCCATGATCTGGCAAGCTACGTCAAACAAGAACTAGTTACACGTCTACAAAATACACGATTCGCTTTGCAAATGGACGAGTCGACTGATGTCGCTGGTTTGGCTATCCTGCTGGTTATTGTGAGATATCCATATAAAAGTTCTTTTGAAGAAGACATGCTTATGTGTTCATCGCTGCTTACAAACACTACCGGGGAAGAAATTTTTAATAAAATAAATATATTTTTTGAAGAACATAATCTCAGTTGGAACAATTGCATTGACATTTGTACAGATGGGGCCAAGGCGATGACAGGTAAAACAGCAGGAGCAGTGTCACGAATGAAAAATAAAGCGCCTAATTGTAGTTCCAGTCATTGTATTCTGCATAGACAAGCACTTGCGATGAAGCAAATGCCGTCTAATCTAAAATTAGTTATGGATGAAGCGGTAAAAATAATTAATTTTATCAAATCACGACCACTACAATCCCGATTGTTCTCATTATTGTGTGAAGATTATGGCAGCAAACATAAAACACTGCTGCTCCATACAGAAGTGCGATGGCTGTCTCGGGGAAAAACTTTAACAAGGCTATTTGAACTTAGAGCCGAGTTACAAATGTTTCTTTCAGCAGATACTTCTTTTAATTTGAAGGACCGTTTGTATGATAAAACTTGGTTGTTCCGATTGTCTTTTATGGCGGATATCTTTCAAAAACTTAACGAATTAAATTTATCATTGCAAGGTAAACAGACAACAGTGTTTCAGGCCTATAATAAAATAACTACTTTTAAAAGAAAATTAGATTTTTGGATCATTTGCATTGGTAAGAAAGAAATAGAAAGTTTTACGTTACTCACTGAGTTTGTTAGCGAAAACGACTCAGAAATGTTTGAAGATAATGTGTTTGAAGAATTGGTCCAATATCTCAGTTCGATGCGCGCATCTTTTGAAAAGTATTTTCCCGAAGAACACAATACAAAAATTAAAGTGAACTCCTGGATTCATAATCCTTTTTTACCCAACTTGGAAAAGCCTGAAAACATGTCAAATGAGATATATGAATCTCTTTTAGAAATGTCATCAGACACAAGTATGGAGTCATTGTTCAAAACGACGCCTCTTAATGATTTTTGGTGCAGAATCCAAGATGAATATGCAATGCTTGGCCAAATGGCTCTGGATATTCTTCTCCCGTTCCCAACTACATATTTGTGCGAAACAGGATTCTCTACCTACGCAGCCACGAAAACAAAATATCGCAATAGACTGGACGCCGAAGCTGATATGAGACTCCAACTTTCTTCCATCAAACCTGATATCAAGCAATTGATGAAAAATAAAAAACAGTTTCATACCTCCCACTAGTTAGATTTTTTCTTTTTTAATGTTTTCTATTATTGTCCTTACCAAGTGGTGAAGTAAATAATAATTAGTAACGGATACATTGTACTTTTATTATGCTGATTAATATAGAATACACTTATAAAAATAATTGTTTTATTGTAGGGTTCCATCAAGTATTTTGCTTCCCAAAAGGGTTCCGTCATTTAAAAAGTTTGAGAACCACTGCTCTAAGGCCGTATACAGAAAGAAAGCCGAAAGCCGATCGGCGCCGATCAGCGCCGATCGGCGCTTATCGGCGCCTATTGGCGCTGATCCTTTTTCTATGGACCGGCGCCGATCGGCACCGATAAGCGCGGACACGCGCTGGTCCGAATAATAAATAATTTGTATTTGAATTATTATCCTTACATTAAATCAATCTAAGTTATAATCTTTTTATAAATCTAATAACTTTATCTTTTATTAACTAAGCGCTAAAATTATTTGTTTCGTACTAACCGAATGGTGACAACAAGTCTTTCTTCTGGAAGGATTGGTTGTTTATGCCAATTGCACCAATTTTTCATCAAACGGTTTTTCACTAAATCCAAAATGTAATAAAATGTTTCTTGAATCATTCTTGTATATGTATAAAATCTTTGTTCATCAAATTTCAATTTTTTTACAAATAAATGATGGTATTCTCCGAAACGTTTCCTTTCTCTATTTATAGATGTATAGCTTTTTTCGCATTTTTAAATACACATCTACTAACAAAACCAGATCATCGTCCGTTGAGTCCGACATTTTGCTTGATCTGCTTCCTTTATGTAGGAAGGATCGGCGCCGATAAGCGCCGATCGGCTTTCGGCTTTCTATACGGCCTAAGCTGCTTAGCGCGCAGCCGCGGGATCCCCGTTTAGGGATTCTTCCGCGTCTCCGCACCTAGCAGCCTCCCGGCCTAGCCGGGGCTCCACGGCAAGGGTCTCTCCAGATATCACGGGGACCCCGCAGACATGCGCAGGTAGGCCCGCGCGTGGGGGCTGAGTACGCGGCCTAGTGCCCACCGTACCGCCCCTCGTCCGCTGCGGAGGGCTACTCTGGCGTGCTAGATAACGTTCTCGCAGAAGGAGGCGACCGTCTCCCATGCCCTGTCAGGGCATAAGAGAGCTACACCGATGTCGTACCTAATGAAATCAACCACATTAATTTTGTCAAAGAAACTAATCACGAGATGGTATACGTTTTTTAAAGTTAATTAAGATACCAACTTTTTGCAGAAATCAAAGTCATTTACCTACCTGGGCCCTCTCCACATTTCTGTATGATTTCATCTGCTTCCGCCATTAGTTGCTGGTCGGCAGGAGATAATTCGTTTCCTCTGCAATTGTCAATAAGCTCACCATTAATAAAAATTAAGAAATATGTTTTCGAGGTAATTAACGTAATAGTAAAAATTACCTAAAGCCGATGTGGATAGATCTCGACGTACTCGCTGAAATACTTCTTGCAATGCTTGCACGTCCCCTCATAGACATTCTTTCGCCTGTACAATGAAAAGTTAGCGTGAAATTATACCGTCGACAAACATGAAAAAAAAAAATATCAATCAGGTAGTTTTTAAAGATTTTTTTACTAGAAAAAATTTCACGGCGACAAGGCAGCAGACGGAAAATATTTACTAGAAAAAAATCCACGTGGATCAGGCAGCAGACGAGAAATTCTTACTAGACGCCGAGAGGGGCATTCTCCGGTACGAAAGCAGCTGCTACCATACTGGGGTATTATTCTGTTTAGCCATTATAAAGAAAAATGGAGGGGGAGAGGGGTCCGGCAGTCTCAGGGTGTATTCCGAAATATACATCAGTATACTGATGTAATGGCGCATGTCGTCACGAATTCGACGCCATATTGTACTGGTATGCTACCATATTTTTTTACCGGGAAAACGAATACGACGTATGACCGAGCGTGCGTGAGAAAAAAAAAGCATTAAAATTTTATTTCTTTTTTATTTAAAGAACAATAAAGGAATCCGAACAAAAGGAATTCCTTTTAATTGATGAGGTGAATAAAAAATCTTTATTCACACTATTTTTAATATTTCGACGATTTATGACGTCAGTGCACTGGCCAGTATATTTCGGAACAATTCACCAGTATAGCGTCGATTCATGACGTCATTAGCACTGGCTAGTATACTGTATATATTACGGTATACACCCTCACTCAATCTACGAAATGGCACATAGAACTGCTTCACGCCGATATTCTGTGAGGTCATTGTATCACTCCGGTGGGCTGCAGATTTAGCCTCTGCGCAAATGCAAATGAAATCACATAGCTTATGACTTCATTTTCAATTAATTGCTATAGCTTATGATTTCAATTGTTACTTCTGACCGCCGAAGGTTTTCAAATACCTAGTTCTCTTTTTGCATTGGTAATATTATCAATATTATAGCCAATGAGCGCGAGGTAGGTATTAAAAAAATCCCAATGATATCTTGTTAAAAGAAAATAATAGCCTATCTTATCGCAAAGATACTGTTATATCTTACCTCGCGCTTGTTGCGACATAATGGTTTGACAATCCTCTTGGGAGGACATTTCCAGCTGATCCGACGCCATTTCCATACCAACACATATCGGGCAAAAAGCGTAATTCAAGAAAGTTTTGCATAGGAGTTCCATGTCCTCTTCAGCTTGTATTTCTAGAGCCTAGAGAAAGGATATAACCATTTGAGCGAATGGAACGGTATTAGCTACCTTAAAGTGTACAACCATAACTTTAAGTGGGTATTTATATAAATGTTGAAAAGGACTAATTTTGTGTGATTAGAAGATATTGTCACAAACGCTATCGAACCAAAACCGCGAATATTCAACCAGAGCGCCGCGGTTTGATGTTGAGTGGTGCGGTTCATTTTAATATAATGCCTTTTGCAGTAGGGATATTCATTATACATCAATGCATCGAAAACATCGATGTTTGCAATGAAAAACATCGAATCGATCCGATGTTTTGAAAAGCTTTCAATATACTCGATGCATCGATGTTAAAGAAACATCGAATTGGTAATAGAGTTTGACCACGTAGTGATAATATCCTCTTTGGTTTGACCTCAGTAAAAAAAAACTTAAGTTTGACCACTAAAATTTTACTTATTACTATAATAAAAAATGTTGGCAGCACTGCGTAAGAGTCACTGCAGTGACAATAAAAAATAACTACGAGTTTCTATGTTTAAAAATATTTAATAATCTTTAGTTTTGTGAAAGAAACTAATATTGAAATATGTTTCTAATATTCTTTTGACAGACTTAGCAAACATTTTTCGGGTTATTTAGTGTTTTTTAATTTGATCTTTTGTAAAAATATAATACAGATTTTTCTGACACATGACTTTTACTTGTATTTACTTTTACCTACTCATTATTAATATCTATGATAATATAAACTATAATAAAATTATGGATTAAGGTCTTTTCATAAACTTCAATAGTTCTTTTTTTTCTATGCAAAGATGGCCTCTTTTGAGATGGGTCACTTTGGACATAAGTTGAGTTTTGTAATAAAATTTCAGAAAAAGTACTCGATGTTTAAAATACATCGATGTTTTCATCCGATACGTCGAATGACATCGATGTATACTTGCGATGTATCAAATTCTAAAAATACATCGATGTTTTTTAAGAGTGGACACCCCTATTTTGCAGTGCGGAGTAAATGTAAAATTGCAATGACATCTGCACTTGTTTACAAATTCATGCGCGTTTAATGGTAGCCATACACACTACGAGAAATCGTTACGATTAGACTGTACCGTCCGAACGGTACCGATAAATCGTAGCGTGTATGTTATAAAACTGCACAGTTTCCTATACGTACGCCACGTACGATTTTCTCGTAGTGTGTATGGCTACCATACGCCACGTACGATAAACTGTTCCGTTCGAACTGTACAGTCTGATCGTAACGATTTCTCGTAGTGTATGGCTACCATAAGATCTTTCAATCTGCGAGCGTGCGGCGCCCTTGGTTGTTTGAGTGACCAATCTGTATACGCGTCAATGTAACCGTGCGTACGTCATATTTGTGAATCGTAAAATTTTCTTAATTTAGGTACTATCATAAAATGGCTTTAAACAATCCTTTTTTGTGAAAAGTTCTTTGAACACATAAAATTTGCACTGTTTTCAATATTTTTCTGTGTCATAAAACCACTACCCGGCGCCATTTTTCTAGTTTTGTTTTCATTAGCGGCGCCACGTAGTAAGAAATCGTCTCAATTAAGCGGTTAACCTATAAATACTTCGATTTGCCGCGGCATTTTGTAAACGGCGTGACGGGTGAATTGTCTATCAAATTTTGTAGCATATTATAAAGTGACAAGGCACATTTTGACTTTGGCATATTTTAAAACAGCGAGCTTTTTTAACGGACGACGCCGTTTAGTTTGTAAAACGCGGAATCATACAAATTGCCTGCAACATATACATTAAATAGACTGTAACTAACCATAAATATAGCGTCCAAAGTGCAAAGGTTTCTTGCAGATAGTTGATACTTCTCAATGAGTTTAAATAATCGATCTTCCACTAAGAATCCTGTGTTATCCGCCACTAATTGTAGAATATGTCGAACCTGAAAATTGAGTATGTTAATACCGAAATTGATACTGAAATTAACATTTATAAGAATTTTAATACTTAAAGCGCCTACTGATATGCCTGCCGCAGGGACAATCTAGGGCAGCTATACTCTAAGTGTGTTCCGCGGAACCCTAGGGTTCCGTGATACCTCTGTCGGGGTTCCGCAAGAATTTAGAAATAAAAAAATCAAAACACCTCTCTCTGGTCGCTCCGCGGCTGTGCGGACTCCGCGGCCGCGCGGAGACAAAACGCTATGAATGTTATTTATTTATTTATTTGTATTTGTATAAGCTTGTGTTACATTAGCTGGTACAATATCTCATAAGTTTGGTCTCAACAATTTTATACTTGTACAACGCGTTCGCTCTAAGTTTGCCGGTCTGTGGAATGCGCGTACCCTCCCCCACGTGACAACAAAACTTATAATGTGTCATAGTTTTACCCAAATATCTAACGTACACAATTTTTATTGTTACAATTAAATAAAAAATTTCGAACGTCATAGACTCATACCTATCGCCAGCGGCAAACTTAAAACGAGCGGGTAGTATACTTGTAAGCGCTCAGTCTCTTTGATAAAAGCCGCCTCTGAATTAGACGCTATAGTTGTCAACTAGCGACTTTCGTCTCTAACTTCAAAGGATAAAGTCGATATTGTTTACAACGCTATTTTTAAATTTCTGTTTTTATTTTTGCTTTTTGTTTATCAAAGGTGCCGACTCGAGTATTTTCGAGAATATTTGAGATCGAGTCTAGGACTAAGTATAAAAGCGGCGATCGCGCGTTGGCGTCGTCAGTTGATGATTAGCGTTCGGAGCGATAAGTTACTACCTACTTACAAGCTCGCTAGCGAGAAACTGGTGTTCATTGTTTTACTGCCTGCTGTATTCTGTTGTCTCAGTTTTATACATTTCTTCCCTGTAGGTTCTAAATTTAGTCTCTTATACGCAGTAACGATTGTGCATTATTTAAACCCCACTATCCTGACTTGTAACATTATAAATAAAGAAGAATGGAACGTTGGCTTAAAGGTGTTAAACGTGTTCCAACAACATCTTCTAATGACGCTGAATGTTCAAAAGCAATGCGCGCGGAGAATTTAGCAATCACCGATCCAGAAGATGATGCCACGAGTGCCACGACGTCAAGCTCGACGGTTTCAAAGACGAAAAAAAGGAAGTATGATGAATCTTATATCAGTTTCGGATTTGTTGATTCCAACGGCTCACCTCTCTGCATGCTCTGTAGTAAACTGCTTCCTAATAGTTCCATGGCACCTGCCAAATTGCGTCGACATTTAGAAACCGTACACCCCGAGACTAAAGACAAGAATAAAGAATTTTTTGTTCGCAAAAAAGATCAGTTATTAGAAAGTCAAAAAAATATGATGCATGTAACACAAACTACCAACGAAAAGGCCACGGAGGCATCATACTTAGTTAGCTATCGCATTGCACAAGCAGGTGAAGCGCACACTATCGCTGAGAAATTAATAAAACCATGTGTATTAGACATAACAAAATGTATGCTTGATGAAAAATCTGCAAAGCATCTTTCTACTGTTCCGCTATCAAACGATACTGTTTCACGACGAATCCATGATCTGGCAAGCTACGTCAAACAAGAACTAGTTACACGTCTACAAAATACACGATTCGCTTTGCAAATGGACGAGTCGACTGATGTCGCTGGTTTGGCTATCCTGCTGGTTATTGTGAGATATCCATATAAAAGTTCTTTTGAAGAAGACATGCTTATGTGTTCATCGCTGCTTACAAACACTACCGGGGAAGAAATTTTTAATAAAATAAATATATTTTTTGAAGAACATAATCTCAGTTGGAACAATTGCATTGACATTTGTACAGATGGGGCCAAGGCGATGACAGGTAAAACAGCAGGAGCAGTGTCACGAATGAAAAATAAAGCGCCTAATTGTAGTTCCAGTCATTGTATTCTGCATAGACAAGCACTTGCGATGAAGCAAATGCCGTCTAATCTAAAATTAGTTATGGATGAAGCGGTAAAAATAATTAATTTTATCAAATCACGACCACTACAATCCCGATTGTTCTCATTATTGTGTGAAGATTATGGCAGCAAACATAAAACACTGCTGCTCCATACAGAAGTGCGATGGCTGTCTCGGGGAAAAACTTTAACAAGGCTATTTGAACTTAGAGCCGAGTTACAAATGTTTCTTTCAGCAGATACTTCTTTTAATTTGAAGGACCGTTTGTATGATAAAACTTGGTTGTTCCGATTGTCTTTTATGGCGGATATCTTTCAAAAACTTAACGAATTAAATTTATCATTGCAAGGTAAACAGACAACAGTGTTTCAGGCCTATAATAAAATAACTACTTTTAAAAGAAAATTAGATTTTTGGATCATTTGCATTGGTAAGAAAGAAATAGAAAGTTTTACGTTACTCACTGAGTTTGTTAGCGAAAACGACTCAGAAATGTTTGAAGATAATGTGTTTGAAGAATTGGTCCAATATCTCAGTTCGATGCGCGCATCTTTTGAAAAGTATTTTCCCGAAGAACACAATACAAAAATTAAAGTGAACTCCTGGATTCATAATCCTTTTTTACCCAACTTGGAAAAGCCTGAAAACATGTCAAATGAGATATATGAATCTCTTTTAGAAATGTCATCAGACACAAGTATGGAGTCATTGTTCAAAACGACGCCTCTTAATGATTTTTGGTGCAGAATCCAAGATGAATATGCAATGCTTGGCCAAATGGCTCTGGATATTCTTCTCCCGTTCCCAACTACATATTTGTGCGAAACAGGATTCTCTACCTACGCAGCCACGAAAACAAAATATCGCAATAGACTGGACGCCGAAGCTGATATGAGACTCCAACTTTCTTCCATCAAACCTGATATCAAGCAATTGATGAAAAATAAAAAACAGTTTCATACCTCCCACTAGTTAGATTTTTTCTTTTTTAATGTTTTCTATTATTGTCCTTACCAAGTGGTGAAGTAAATAATAATTAGTAACGGATACATTGTACTTTTATTATGCTGATTAATATAGAATACACTTATAAAAATAATTGTTTTATTGTAGGGTTCCATCAAGTATTTTGCTTCCCAAAAGGGTTCCGTCATTTAAAAAGTTTGAGAACCACTGATCTAGGGTGTAAGAGTGGGGATGACCCTTAATTGCCTCCTGAATTGTGATGTGTGTAGGCAAGACGGAGCAATTTTCTAAATCGGGCCTGCCGCAGGGCGGCAGGAGCGCGCGACCACCCTTGCTCCCTAGATTGTCCCAACCGCCACGGTAATATTATGTATACAGTATTGTGACTCGGCCCTGTCCTTGAAATAAGTGCCTACGGCCGAGCGGTGCGTTAACACGCGGTAGGGCTACCCGCCTACAGTATTTTAATTTCATCTACATAATTGAGTTTCTTTCTAGTTTTGTGATTGTAAATATTTTATTTTATATGTAAAAATTCTCCGCAAGCCCATATACCTATGGGTATATATTCCTACGATATGTCGTAGGAATGCATTAAAATAAACTATTCCGCCATGTTGGATTTAGAATGACGTCACACAGCTAACCGTGCTTTTTAATCAAAGCGTGTATATACAAAATTTCAGCTCAACCGGTTGTAGATATCTGCTTCAAAATTGATGATTCCACCCGAACAAACATAGTTACATACCTACCTATATTGCAAGTTAATTAAAAGCTTGTAAAAATCCCGACTGCTGATTTTTATTCTTACATAATTCAATAAAAGAATATTATTTTAAACATACAAGTTATATTTATTTGTAAGTCATGGCGCAGTCAGGTAAAAAGGAAATTACCTACAATGTAGGTAAATCTTACTAATTAGGTACTGTCATGGAAACTAATTATTGAAACACTTTTATTTTCAAGAATTACATTATTATTATCAATAAACAAAATACTGTCACACAGCTCCGCACAAATCTCCCTATTTTATTGTTTTCCAGCTATCAATTCCTGTCAACAATCCGTCTCTTTTCCAAATTACCTAATAACCTGCCAGTATACACCAAAAATATCCGATCACTACAATACCTACCATTTATTACTCTCGGAAATTATTTCATAATGATATTTCATTTAATTCAATAATGTATGTAGGTAGTTAAGTAAGTAGATAGCCTAGTCTAGGACTACCACTACCTACCTATTATGTAGTTTTGTTTTTAACGCGAGCGTAGGTAGATTACTCGTTTGTCTCTTTTTTCACCCTATCCACTTATTTATATATTATTCCAGATATTTTGCCCGATGGAAAAATCGAAATACCTAAATATTAAAAACCAAATTACGTACTAGTAGACAAGTATATAAAAAAATATTCTATAGTCTTACCTTTCCAATATTTCAGGTAATTCAAAAAAATGATATCTCTGGGTGCGTTATTGAAGAGTTCAAACAACCAAAAACAGCACAATATCGTCGTTTGTTCTTTGCCATATTAAATTATTTAGGTATCTACTTAATTTAATCAAATATTTACAATAGAAATCGCACGTTTAAGCACGGCTAACTGCATAAAATACAATTCACACCGTTCGGTCGTCGCTGCGGCGCATTCGCGACTGGGTGTCCCCCGAGAGTCCCGCGAACTCGAGTGGCGTAGGTATGATTCGCTTTCCGATCGTTTGTATGAAGATAGAATACTGTATATAATATTACCGTGCAACCGCTCTGCACGTTGCCGCGTGTGTAGCGCGATTGGGGCAATTTCTCAATCATTCGGTTAGTAGCTCACACACGCAGCGCACGTATTTTGATCAAGATGGCGGCAGATCATAATGAGCATGAAGTTTGGACACGAGTGATCGAAGTATATAAAGACCGGCCCCATCATGTGGGATAAAAAAACAAACATTATTATATATTTTTTTAATTAATTTTCATTTTTTAAAGTAAGTGACTGCTCGATGTTTAAATCTAAAGAAAATATAACTAGAAAAATAGAAATACTTTTTTTATTTTTTCTTGTAATATTTTCCTTAGATTCAAACACTGAGCAGTTACATGCTTAAAAAAATAAAATTATGACTTTAATTGCTATTTCTTCTTTTAAATGTTTAATACTTGTAAAGGTATTCATTTGATTTGATTTGATTCGATACGGCCGTCAGGGCCGCTGTACCATAATTGATCAGTACCCGGATAGCGAAGGGTGCGGGTTTGAGTCCCGTTTGCTGCCAGATCCGCGTGTATTTTTTTCTAATTACATAAACATTACTTATTTACAATACATTTCTTTCTGTTGCCAATTCTTCACACAGTATTTCCTTTTTTTTCGGTAACATTTTTTTTGATAATACTGGGACCATCATCAACGCGTGTGTTTAGCTCAACATACGCCCAAACACTGAATAGCAGGCATGTGTGTAGAGACAAGCCGATATTGCCCCGAATGCGCCGTGCACCCTAGATTGTCCCTGCGGCAGGCATGTCAGTAGGCGCTTATAGTTTACAAAATAAGTCCCTACCAATCTTTCCTTAGCTTCCACTGCCAACATATTTTCTGGGTCTTCGGCTTCTTGATATGTAAGCGAGGACATAGATTTTGTTATTTCGCCCTCGTTTTCTGTAAACAAATGAACCTTATACTGATGCTGTTAAATTTTGTCCAACCTAAGGTTGTATTTTGTACCTAACTTAAGCTAATTTATTATTATCGAAATGTTTTAGATGGTGTAGCTTAGCGGGCAATGTTGTCTTTAAAATAATACACTACAATAACATACAATGGTGTAGATTCTAGCACGATTCTCTAAACCTAAACTGACAACAGTGTATCCTTGTCATTCTTTATACAGAATGAAAAGGCTGGTGTTTTTAGGTTAAAGTTTAGATAATCACACCAGAATCGTCACCACTATATATTTAATAGAAGAATGCATAATTATTTTACGTTCACATAACTACTGTAGTTTCGTACAAAAGTTACCAAGCTTAAGCAAGGGGCTTTTTGGTGGAGGCGGAGGAGGAGGCGGCGGCGGCTCAGACAGTATGTGGGCGTGCAGGGCCACCTCCGCCTGGCGGAGCTCGCGAGACAACTGGCTGCACCGCGCTGTCGACATACTCCACACCTGGATATATGTTACATGGTCAAAGGGGAACCAATTTTTAGGTAGACAAACAGGAATCAATATAATATGTAAGACTTCTAAGGCACTATCAGTACCCTTAGTACGTGTTTTAAAATTACGAAAGCTATGATAGTTTTCGTGAGCTCGTACTCGTTGATTTTATTGTTTTCGTTTCACTACAAATAACAGTCTTTAGATTCTATCATTTATCATTTGCGTATTCTTAAATTTTAAGTATAATTAATTACATTTGGTTACTTTTCGCCAAAATGGACAAAGAAACATAATTTACAATTACGAAAACTATGATAGTTTTCGTGAGCTCAAACTCGTACTAAGGGTACTGATGCCTCCTCTACACGATGGGCCACCGCTGGCCCAGTGAGATAACGAATAATAAATATTTCCACACACACCAATTAGCCTAGCCCGTATGGCCGTATACAGAAAGAAAGCCGAAAGCCGATCGGCGCTTATCGACGCCGATCCTTACCACATAAAGGAAGCCGATTAAAGCAGATCAAGCAAAATGTCGGAGTCATCGGACGATGATTTGGTTTTGTTAGAAAATGTGTATTTAAAAATGCGAAATCGCCCGGATTGCGAAGGGTGCGGGTTCGAGTCCCGTCTGCTGCCTGGTCCGCGTGGAATTTTTTTCTAGTTATATTTTCTTTAGATTTAAACATCAAGCAGTTACATGCTTTAAAAATAATAAAAAATATAACTATAATTGCTATTTCTTCTTTCAAATGTTTAATACTTGTAAAAGTATTCATTTGACATTGTGGGTTTACCTATAATGCGAAGAGATGGCGCTGCCTTGCAGCTGAAGAATAGCTAGAAAGAATTTCGACGCGGTCCGTGAGGGCCGCGGTAGCATAATTGGTCAGTGCATTCGCCCGGATTGCGAAGGGTGCGGGTTCGAGTCCCGTCTGCTGCCTGGTCCGCGTGGAATTTTTTCTAGTTATATTTTCTTTAGATTGAATAAATTCATTTGGTATTCCTTTTGGCAAATAAGATGGTACTCTCTTTGACCCACCAGCAGCCTCTTTTATGTAGGCGTAAAAGAGTGAATTATTTGCACTTCATTCATTCAGGGATTCCTAAGTAAGTACCCGCTACAAAGACGGGAATTCCTCTAGCGTATGGCAGCGATGGCAATTGCTGAAAGTGAATACTGGAAAAAATTTAAAACGTTTATCGGATACTCCTTGGAGCTCTCATTACGATTCAGTAAAAGTTGTAAAAGAAAACATAGAGACAATTGTAAGTAGTTTGGAACATTTTCAAGATACAACAAAAGCAAATCTAGATACAAGATCAGGAGCAAGCCTGCTCCTGATCTTGTATTGTGTAGTATAGTTGTGTTTGTGATTTTACTTTTCTAACCTATTATACAATTCTGGCTTTCTGTACTGGAAGAAGAAACTTAAGTTCAACAATATTTGCAGTCTCCAAAAATGACTCTTGATATAGGAATCACCAAATTAAACGCCTTGTATGAGTATTTAGTGACCGAACGAACCACCATTGCAGACAATGTTGTAACTTTTGTCATAAAAAATGCAATGACATGGACATCAACATCGAGAAACGAGGAAGAAGGAAGGTAAAAAGAACGATGCCGAGTTTCGAGCTCATTATGCTGGATTATCAATTCCAGAAGAAATACGTCGGTCAATGTATGAATGCATAGATCGATTTATAGAAGATGTCGACACAATACGAGGCCATGAAACAAATCAATAATATTTTCCAAATTATTGAAATAAAGCTTATGCTAGAAGCTTCAGATGATGCTCTGGCTGTAGCAGTTGACAATCTGATACAAAGTAATGATGAATCTGACAAGGAGCAAGTTTCCCAAAAAATAAAAAAGTACCGCAGGCATGTAAAAGCCACTTATACGAGTATGGACGTTGCTGCCCATTGGAGAGCCCAGGAAATCATTCAATTAATAATAAAATGGGGCTTCAGTGAATAGTTACTCTTTAAATTGGTTATACTTCAATATTTCTTGACTATTTGCATCTTGGTTGCACCATTCTAGAGAAGTTTTTCGAAACTTAAACTAATTAAAAATTATCTTCGATCTACATTGGATCATGAGCGACTGGTATTAATCTAGCCGTGCTTTCAATAGAAAAAAATCCAAAGAAATCGATATCACAGAAGTTAATGAGGAGTTCAGTAAATTGAAGGCGCGAAAACACATATAAAACGCAACCAAAAATAAAAAAACTATCTTTGATTTATATTAGTATTTTTTTGTCGATCGATTCGTATTTGATTTTCTCACCCATATCCATTCCATATTGTAGGTATGTATGTTTATTTAGCCGAAATAATTTAATTCTAAATTAAATTTCACTTGCCAGATTTAAAGAAATAAACATAAGAAACTAATTTTTGTAAAAGGGGGCCTTTCTGCTTTGCCGCCCCGGGCCTCTGACGGGTTTAGTCCGCCACTGCATCACACAAACATCTGCCCTCACCCCACGAACCCGGGACCTCTCGAGTGATGGGGGATATGAAGAAGCGATGTAAATTCAATATGAGTTTCTTTCGAACACAAAAAGGTTGAATAGCAGTTGCAGAGTACAGAAAATCGTGTTCGAAGTCAAAATCTGACTACATACATTGCTTAAAGATAAAAAGCGGAAAGAAAAAGAGATCAAAATGTATTGTTACGTATGTTTTCAAGGTATAAAATTGAGGTTCTATTTGTTATGATAGGCAAAAGGCTTCTAATAGGAAGGTACCTGACTAAACTTGAAACGGTTTGCTTTCGAAAAATGATATGACTTCTTCTCCAAATCGTCCATTGCCTGCATTAATTTTACTATCTCTTGATCCGCTTTCATTTCCTCGATCGCGCCATCTTCGGCAGCTTTACGTATCTTTGCCCGTAAAGAGTTTGCGATGTCGGACATTTTATTTAATTTCCTCTTTTGTTGGGATCTAACAAACACATTTTCCTCTTCACGTTTTTTTAATACCTAAGTGAATATGAAAAGCGAAAAATTAATTCAAATAAATACATATTAAGAACAAAGCTAAAAGCATCATGAATATAGGAAATAAGTTCATGCCTGATAATTGTACCCAATTTTTTCCGTATTGATAATACAAGTTGCTTTTAATTTTTCCAATTCTTTTTGTAGTTCTTGAATTAGGGATTCCAATTCAATCTTAGCATCGCGATATTTTTGATGGTGATCCCACATTATAGCTTCTATTTCTTGCTTATGCTCTTCTAGCTGAAATAATAACAAAATATGACCATTTAGTACCTAATATGTTTTGATGACAATTACTGTTGATTTGTACTTATACCTAGGCAGGAGGTTGGTTATAAGTATACCTGGTAATAAGTAAATATGTATACCAACGGAGATAATCTTTTTGTCAGTCTCAGTTCATACCAAGGTGGAAATTTACTTTAATTACCTACCTGCTCAAATTTATACTCCATATGCGCAACTTCTTCCCTGTCACGCTGTTTATACAAAGCTTCCCATCTCTTATTATTGTGGTCCACCATAATCTCTCGTTCTATATTAATAGCTTGTTCAATAAGAGATAGTTGTTTCTCATATGCCCGCTGCATTATTGTCACTTGCTTTTCGATTCTGTCAGATAGTTCTTTAATGTCTTTATCCTAAAATTAGTCAAACATAATTATAAGTTTGAGAAAGTAAGAAGCTTCTGATGATTCAAAAGTTTTCTTTTTATCTAGGATACCTGTTTATCTAAGTCGTCGTAATACGCTTGGTCCATTCGGGTCAAGTCATCTTTTAGTTCACTAATGAGTGTATTTTTCTGATTAAGTAAATCATCACATTTCTTTTTCTGCTCTTTCATTGCAGCATCTATGTCTAGCGGATCTTTTATTTCTAACATGGGCCCCCAGCGATTCGATGTTGCTTCATACTGCGTTTGAGCCTGCGTTGCTTCTTCTTCGATTTTCTGATTAGAATCTAAAATTGTGTTCGTATATTACAATCATATATAGGACTAGCGGCCCGCCCTCGCTTCGCTTCGGTGTAGAGCTGAAGTGTAGACTACAGTTTTTGTTCTCAGGCTTGTATTATACACAATGACATTCACCTATGATTCTTCTTGTACCTGCATGCAGAGTCTCAGCACGATGGGTTTAAAATTGACAAAGTTTCATACAAACTTTCATTCCCTATTTTATACCCTTGGGGGTAGAATTGATCAAAATCCTTTCTTAGCGGATGCCTACGTCATAACATCTACCTGCATGCCAAATTTCAGCCCGATCCGTCCAGTGGTTTGGGCTGTGTGTTGATAGATCACTATGTCAGTCAGTCACCTTTGAGTTTTATATACATATAGATAAAAAATAAGTGCAATTTTATTAATTTTTGTAGGTTACAAAAATCAATGTCCCATAATAATAAGTCACACTCGCACACCTTGACTAGATGCAGGTGCTGCAGCAGACCATGCTTAGGTACCTACTTGACCATGCATTATGATATGGAGAATCTTACATTTGATGCGTTCTATGTATTTCTTTCGCGTCTCATTAAACATGAAGAGCAAAAGTAGATTTGATTGTAAAATCGGTAACTACTTTTTTTCATACGAGGCGCAACAAATTACCGCACCCCATCTGATGTTAAGTAGAAGTGGAGTCCAGTCGCATAGATAGATGATGCAGCAGAATGTGTGCCGCTCCAGGCATCTTAACCTTACCGACCAGAACCCCCTGCCCCGCAGAACCCTACTCACCACCAGAAACAGAAGTTATATTATAGTATTACATTATTTATATTATCGTATTATGGCTAAAATAAGGATGGCTGGTGTGGCAGGTAGAACTATTGTACCAGCTATCTTCATGTCTGGTCTTCACCGTCACTTAACATCAGGTGGGACAGCATAATTTTTCGGACCTATCTATAAAAAAAAACTTCGTATTCCGATTAAGTCTCTGTCTCATTTTGAAAAATACCTCTCATTTTATCGGCAAAATGTGCACGTCTTATGACCTCGCGTTCATCTGTGGTGACCTTGACATTGGTGACCTTAGCAGCGCCATCAAGAGTTAATCTTTGGAGCTCTTCAGCTGCAGCTGCTGTTGCCTGTTCTATGGGGCCTGGCTCTTCATCTATAGCCGCTTCTTCTGTAGGTTGTTCAGCTCTACCGTACATTTTCAAATTAATATTTATTTTCTCAATCATACGAAAGCACTGACTGAATTAATAAAAATACTACAAATTCACATATCACAATCTGGAATTGATCAACACAATAATTAGTTACCTACCTTCTTAGTGCTTCTTGCCTGCGCTTAATGCGTAAAGCTCTAGCAGCTTTTCTTTCACTAGGGTCTTGTGATGTAACTTGCGGTTCCTTCGGTGCCAAGATATCCTCTTCTTCATCGTCATATCCTCCAAATTTACCAGCCATTATGAAACACTCGAAAAGTACATTACACAAAAAACGTTTTCCCAAAGTAGGTATTTTAGATAAATACGCAATATTGCGTTGTCTTGGTAACCAATAAACAATCGACAGCTGAGAGAAGGACCCTCATACATTTCAATAATGTAGATTATTTTTAACTACCTATATGTATTAGCTTAAAATGTTTTTATTGAATAAGTATACGCTACGCATCAATTTTAATTTTCTTACCTAGGTAGGACTAACTTTAATTTAATGTTTACAGTGGAAACTGAAACTATACATCCCACCGTCCCCCACCCCACGAACAGTAATCTGAGGTCTTAAATAGATTGTAGGTTTCACATATTGTTCATATTTTTGTTTTTCATTATAAAAGACAAGATCTTCATGAAACATCAAATGAACATAATACGTAATGAATTTTCAAATTTTACTTTGTATGATTAAGCGTAAAATGGCTTTCAAGCAGTCAATTTGAATAAAGTATAATTATGAATTATATATTAATGAAAATTACAGTAAATAAGCAACCAATTTCAAAGAAATTCATTTCATCTTTTGTATTTTCAATGACACTAAGATAAAACAGTCTAAATTATAGATATCACGAACAACTACCTAGCGGGAATGTATTCGTATCGCTATCGTGTAGTTTCTATGGAAAGAGCTAGTTTGTTCTTACGATCGGTAGGGGCGCTGCTTAATTTTCATTATTTGTCATGGCCTCATGGCATGGTGAATCGGCGATACGAATACTTTTTCGCTAGTTGTTCGTGCTGTTATTTCGTCTGTTAAAGTGGTCCCTATGATTCATAGAGTTTTTTTTAAATTATTCATATTAATATCATATTATATTTACTTTTTTATTAAATATCATATTTTACTGAAGATGACACAGCGATTGCAGTCATTGCTAAAGCAATTTGTTCGTGCTTCATAAGTGCGGGTGCCAGGACGACGACGTTCAATCGCAACGTTTACGCACTGAGTTAGGGTCCGATTGATAGGGCGGTGTAATGATTGCTACCCTAGCTACAACTAGTATCTTACTTCTTACTAATATTATAAATGTGAAAGTTTGTATGCTTGTTACTCAGTCACGGAAAAACTACTGAACTAGCTAAGCTAACCTTAGCTTAAAAATTGGGTACCTAGTGTAAAGCCCGTTAAAGTCAGGTTGAGCAATAATAATATATTTTTAAAAACGCAAGATAAAGATGGTTAATACGTCAGCTTCATAATTTTTTGCTCATCGTTACATTTGTTTTTAGGGACTGTCAAAACCTTGAAGGCCGAATTGCTAGGTGTGCCGAAGTTCCGCTGTGTGGGAATTGGACACCCCATACAGCGATGCCCCTCCGCAAATGACCGCAGCAAGTTTTGTATAAAAACTTGAACATCAGCGCCCCAAAGTACGTTACGAGCTTAGATTAAAACAAAAAGGGTAGATACGGCACTAGCCTCACAAAAGTGATCCGCACCAATTGTGGTCCACGACTCGTCCACGACACTAATCGCTTTAGTCACAACTTGACATGCAAACGACGTACATGTGAACGCCAAAAAGAAATATTGCTAATATTTTGTGTTTATATGATAAAACAATGTCTAAGTGTGTTTTTAAAAAGTGCTCAAATTGCTCAAGAACTAAAAATAAAATCCACGGCATCACTTTTCATTCGTAAGTACTATAAAATATATTTTTTCTTAAAAATTGCTGTTTGTTTTGAATCTTATTCGGTAGTGACGTCGAGTACTGGTCGCGTGATTGGTCGGTAGTGCAGTGACGCGGATCTCGCCGTCTCGTTCGCGCTGCCGTTGAAACTTAACGTGCTGTTTCGTTCGGGTCGGTCGGTAATGCAGTAACGCGGATCTCGCCGTCCCGTTCGCACTGCCGTGGGATCAGTTTTTGTTTGATGCAAGTATGAGCGTACCGTATCTACCCTTTTTGTTTTAATCTAAGGTTACGAGAACTAAATATCAGTACCTAACACATTTCGGACTCGCAAACGTTTCGAATTCGAATACTTTGAGAGCAACGATATTAATTATGTACCCTAGATGTTCGTGTGCTCAAAATGTGTAACAATGAAGAAGAGCTTGAACACGGCTCAAGCACTTGTTGGTTCATAAACGCGCGGGGACCATTCAAGTCAACATGCCGCAGAGCTCCGTGAAAAAATGCAAAATAAACTTATAGTATGTAAAATGTCGTTTTTCGACAGGTATCAAATCAATGTTTGTTAATTTAACGCATTTGAAGCAAATTATGCTTTAATACTTACTATAAAGTGATTTAATAGAAAATATTCGTGATATTAATTGATGATGTGATACTTGACGACCTTCGTAGCCGAGTGGTTTGTACGCCGGGTTTCATGGTGTCGCTGACTCGAGAGGTCCCGGGTTCGAAACCCGGTGGGGGCAGATGTTAGTGTGATAAATACGAGCATTTGCACTCTAGTCACGGATGTTTAATATGTATTTCTATATAAATATACTTATATAGGTATGTACAGTATATGTATTCTATCCGTTACCCTAGTATTCCATAACTCGAACCTTACAGTGCTTACCATGGAGCTAGCTGTAATTAGTGTGTTGGAAATATTTATTTATATTCAAATCCATGATCGGTAATATAGCAGTCTTTTGCCCTCGAGGTCCGTACCTGCTATATTGCTAACGGTATATGTTACATAACAAGCTAATATTGCAGGGAGGAAATAAGGTCCATCTATATTGTTCCGCTAAAAAAAACTAAAATTTTACGAGCTTACATCTCACTGTCATAATTCTTTGACGCATGCATTTTAAATATGACCATATACTGTGCTTTAATGATTATTTTCAATTTTTAAATAACGCCATATATTGTTTAGACTACACGATCATCTTACGGAGCTTCGTGGATCGTCCAATGTACCTTTCAGTCAGGTTTCGGGAATTATTTTGTTCGTGTTGGTGTATTTAGGGTATTGTTGTTTGTGGTAAAGGACAATGTCAACTTTTGTATGGAAACTTGAACAGTAGCGCCACAAAGTACGCAAGGAGAACTAAAAATTGGTCCACATTTGTCATTGACGTTTCACACTCGCAAACTTCGAATTCGATATTCGGAACTATTCGAATTCGATATTGGTTCGTACTTAGGGTACAGAACTTAAATCAGCTATGATTTTACAAATAGGACAAAAGGGAAAAAAACTAGTGTTCTTTTGTAAATTTTCTTTACTTAGAATTACTTTTTGCTGTTAAGGATGATACCATCGTATTTCTGTTGGAACCACTTCATAGCATCTTCCTTTGTCAAACGGTGAGGGAATCCGACCTTGCCAGTCTTACGTCTTCTATGTGCTACATTAAAACCTGAAGATTAAAAAATATTTATGAATGCAAAACATTTCGTGTTCCAAGCTTTCGTACTTATTAAAATAATATTGTTACTTTACATTCTAATTTGAGTAACTGTATTAATGAAGTTAATCAATAGAGTAAAGTAATTTTCTATTGCACATCCTTTACAGAGTGAAAGCACTTATACATACACAACACTCCTGAACACATGTGCATTATAATTACCAGCCTATCAATGCTCTCAATGCTGGAGCACATACTTTCCCTGTAGGTGCAATAGGTCCATGACCCACGACAGGCACAGTGCAGAGAGTGGTTGCTTTCCAATAACAGCATTATAGCGCATTATGCGGCATAATGCTTAACGTTGAGTGTTCCAACAACAGCAACGCTTCGCACAATTGAGCACTCTCAAAAGTGATGCTTTCGTGTGATGCATGCAATCGTACCAACTTAGAGACAGAAAATTAACAAGTGTTTTTTCTTTAAGTTGGCATTGATCGTATTTATATGTTCGTTAGTAATATTATTTATTGTTGAAAAATTATTAAAGCTTTCGTTTCACTAAATAGTTTTTTTTTAAATAATCAAAGTTCATTCAAACTGTTAAAAAATAAATATAAGTATGGATGAAGGTACAAACATTGACTTTTTTTTTCAACACTGAACTTAGCGCACTCTGCTGGTGCATTTGAAAACTAATTCACGGTCCAATTAAGCATCAGCATAATTGGGCATTGTGCGGCACTGAGTCGCATTATGCTCTGTAATTGGAAAGCATACAGTGGTTTCTAATGATTGCAGGTGCAGCCAAAGCCAATTTTTGGTTGCCCATGATGTTAAACAGATCAAAACTTGCTTTACTTTGACATTTGCAGACAGAATACTTAACTACTACACCATCAAGCTCCTCAAGATATAAGATATCACATAACCAAATTTTAAATTTTTTGTAGTTATTTCATAATTAAATGTACATCAATCATCATGGTACTTAATTCCTTTATATGTAATTGAATTTCGGGGTAATTTGTAGGGGAGGGGGAGGGGGGGCTCCCCCCGATCCCCCCGCCATAAATGATTTTTGGCGGAAATGCAGTTTTTTTTTTTACCTAACCTAAAAATTCATAAAATCTGTTATATGTAGTGGAATTTCAGGGGGATAGGTATTAGGGAAGACCCCTCAGAGGGAAGGGTAACCCCCCCCCCCCCCCTCCCGGCGATTTTTTACAGAAATGATAATTATAAAAAATTAGAGGAGTTTTAAAGGTAAATCTGTACTTCCAGCGCCTAGAGGTGATATTTGATTTTTCTGTAGAAAAAGTCTATTAACAAATTTTTCTTTCTGGCGCTTCGCCGGCCGCTACCGCGGCACGCTCGCTTCGCTCGCTCGGCTCGCGCGTTAAGGTCACAACACTAACCTAACCTAACCTAGTGTGAAGTATCACCACTTGGGCCTTAGATATACAGTTTAGCCGTTTAAATAAAACAAGTTTAAACACAAACACTGACTGACAGATCTCATTAATGGCGGTAAATTGTCACATTTTGACAATAGTACCAACATAATAAACTTATATTTACCATAGACAACGAGAAACATGTTATTTTTGCATAAAAAAAATGGCAGCACTGATCATGAAAATTGCGAAAAAAAAAAAATTTGTCAAAATTGACTCATAACCTACAAAAATATTAATTTTCAAAATTTTTTTCTCGAGTTCTATTCGTTTCCGCCAAAAAAGATTTCGTGTACGTGTTTTTAATAGTTAATACTTTGCGTGACAAAAATTTCAGCTTGCAACTCAATTACATATAATGGAAAGGTGAGCCATAATCATACTTCATTTCCACATAAACATATCATCATCATCATCAGCCTATTAATGTCCCCACTGTTGGGGCACAGGCCTTCCCTATGGATGGAATAGGGAGATTGGGCCATGACCCACCACGCGGGCCCAGTGCGGATTGGTGGGTGCTAACGACTGCAGATGCAGCCGGGACCAACGGCTTAACGTGCCTTCCGAAGCACGGAGGAGCTCGAGATAGTAATTTATGGTCACCCATCCAATGACCGACCACTGCGAAAGTTGCTTAAGTTCAACGATCGCAGCCGAACGCGCTAACCACTTGCGCCATCGAGCTCCTCCATAAACATATGGTTTAACTATTCATAAGGATAATTGCTAAAAATTATTAAATATAACACAATGAAATGCAATGTTTGCCAAAAATTCTTTGCCTTGAAGAACATTTTAAAGAGATATTTCTATATAATCAAAGCACTCAATGAGTTTTTTAGTACTTATTTGGTTCTTTGTTGTGGTTAGTTACTGCAATACATTAATTACAAATCAGTCTATAATTTTTGTTAACCTTAATCAAACAAACTACAGGATGCTGAATTTCAATACTAACCTGGCCTGCCAAGTACAACATAGAAGTCTAGACCATAGATACCAATGGATGGATCATATTTGATACCCAAGTCAATGTGTTCCTGGATACCAAACCCGAAGTTTCCAGTGGCTGAGAAATTATCTCGCCTCAACTCATACTCTCTTACCTGAAAAAAACAAAGGTTGCAAATAAACCATTTGACAAGTTACCCTTGTCTAAATGAACCACACCACACTGAGCTAGTTTTAATTTTATAATTAAGCTCATGGTAAGTAAACCAACCAAACAGTCTGCCATTCTTTACACTTTAAAATAAACAAAACTTACTTTAAGACCCCTTTCGAGAATCTCCTCAGCTTTGGCTCCACGGACAGTGCAGTGGACAGCAATCTTTTCATTACGTCGGATTCCAAAGGAACGCACAGTATATCGAGCTTTAGAGAAAACTGGTTGCTGGCCAGTCAGTTGTTCCAGCACCTATGAAATAAAAGCTGAATTAACAGATATAGGTACAAGTAATGTTGAATTATTTTACATTGATAGTTTTGATAGTTTAACTTTGTTATTTCTGCGAGTATTCTGAACAGTAAAAAAATAGTGTCCAGAAGTTGCAAATGAGAAATTGTGTTCTTGCATGAATTTACAAAGAATCACTATAGAGAGTGAATCTTGAACAAGTCATGCATAACCTACAAATCATTGAATTACAACAACAAATTCATTTGAGCGAAATACGCAATGTACATACTTTTGCAGCACGGGTCAGCCTATCACCAGATTCTCCGACACAAATGTTCAAGCATAGTTTTCTAATGTGTAGGTTCCTCATAACATTTTTGGAATTATCTTTAGGAGGCTTCTTCTCCTTTTTCTCTTTTTTCGCAGGCGGTGGTACTCGCTGAAACACATTATAAATAGTCATAGTTTTACTTAATGTATGTGGAATACAATAAAAAGTTTAATAACACAATCAAACAAGGTTATATTGCTTGATACAGACAAAATATTTTGGGGAAATAGGGCTAAATTATTAATTGAAATAAACAAATGTATCACAGTGCGATGAGATAATTTATAAATTATCACAATTTCAACCGATTCCTATGGATATAATTTTAAATAAACATGAACACCCACCGCCATGATCACAAACTTTACTGTAAAAGAAAACGTCAACGTTTGACGTTTTCGACATGGGATTTTTTAAGTCCTATTATTAGGCAAAGGATACATTTACGTACAGACAATGTCTTTCACATCATGACTATGTTCCCGTCTCTACTTTTTAACAACGGCGTCTATGGTGGTTTTCCAATTACAGAACATAATGCGACTCAGTGGCGCACAATGCCGAATTATGCTGATGCTTAATTGGAACGTGAATTACTTTTCAAATGCACCAGCAGAGTGCGCTAAGTTCAGTGTTGAAAAAAAAAGTCAATGTTTGTACCTTCATCCATATTGATATTTAATTTTTTAACACAGTTTGAATTAACTTTGATTACTTAAAAAAAAACTATAATGAAACAAAAGTTTTAATAATTTTTCAACAATAAATAATATTACTAACGATAACATATAAATAAAATATTTCGATCAGTGGTGTCGATTCTAGCATGAATATCTAAACCTAAATTTAAATTTGACAGCAGTATATCCTTGTCATTCACTATTCAGAATGAAAAGGAGAGACTGATGTTAAATTTAGTTTTAAGTTTAGAGAATCACGCCAGAATTGGCACCAATGCCAACTTAAAGAAAAAACACTTGTTAATTTTCTGTCTCTGAGTTGGTAATATTGCACGCATCACATGAAAGCATTACTTTTGAGAGTGCTCGATTGTGCGAAGCGTTGCTGTAGTTGAAACACTCAACGTTAAGCATTATGCCGCATAATGTGCTATAATGCTGTAATTGGAAAGCTACCATTGACTGCTTTCCAATTACAGAGCATAATGCGACTCAGTGCCGCACAATGCCGAATTATGCTGATGCTTAAGTGGAACGTGAATTAGTTTTCAAATACACCAGCAGAGTGCGCTAAGTTCAGTGTTGAAAAAAAAAGTCTATGTTTGTATCTTCATCCATATTTATATTTAATTTTTTAAACAGTTTGAATTAACTTTGATTATTTAAAAAAAGAACTATAATGAAACGAAAGTTTTAATATTTTAACAATAAATAATATTACTAACGATAACATATAAATAAAACATTTCGATCAATGCCAACTAAAAGAAAAACACTTGTTAATTTTCTGTCTCTGAGTTGGTACGATTGCACGCATCACACGAAAGCATTACTTTTGAGAGTGCTCGATTGTGCGAAGAGTTGCTGTAGTTGAAACACTCAACGTTAAGCATTATGACGCATAATGTGCTATAATGCTGTAATTGGAAAGCTACCCCTAAGACTATATCTTAATTGGTTAGAATGGTTGGCATTGATCGAAACGTTTTATTTTTAAGTTATCGTTAGTAATATTATTTATTGTTAAAAAAATATTAAAACTTTCGTTTCATTATAGTTCTTTTTTTAAATAATCAAAGTTAATTCAAACTGTTTAAAAAATTAAATATAAATATGGATGAAGGTACAAATTTGACATTTTTTTTTTCAACACTGAATTTGAAAAGTAATTCACGTTCCAATTAAGCATCAGCATAATTCGGCATTGTGCGCCACTGAGTCGCATTATGCTCTGTGATTGGAAAACCACCAGGGATTCTCTATAAGCTCAATAATTTCTAATTTCTTTATGGAGTATTTTTCATCGAATTAATCATTTGCAGCCTAAGAAATACTTGAAGAAATTCGACACGTTGGCTAGTGATAGTGTCGTTTCCATTGACAGTACGCAATCAATCCACAAAACAACCGCTTTGTTGGAATTTTAAGATTTCACATCTCTAACTGCCCAGAATACCTACCAAAATCAACACGTAACGCATAGCATGAGCACCACGACATGATATATTGTAGCTCGTTTTTATCACGCTAAATTATTGTGAAATTAAAAAGTCAAGCCAACAGAACTGTAGAAGAGAGAAAAAACATTTTACTTAAATCATCTTAGCTCTTAGGTGATTTGCATGTCATGTCCTATCTGTGACTTACTGATTGTTGACCACTGTTCCTAAATAAATTAAAGACATAATCCGGGAAATAAACAGAACATTAGGTTCGCAGGACGACCGCTAAGGTGTTGCCATAACTTTTTTTATCCAAAATACCCGCCTCCGCAAATATAATTACAAAAATACCGACGCTCCGAAAAGTCGATAAGGTATAAAGTAAAAGTATTAAAACACTGAATCTGGTCACACTGTGCTAGAGCATGGAGATGGCATACGATAAAAACGTTCTAAAGTCACCAGGAAACGAAAATGACGCCTTTATATAGTGCTGCCCCAAGGCTGCCTATCCTATATATCGATATCTTTATTAGACGATATTGCGATATTTTTATACGTGATTTTTGACATTGAGATTTTTCTAGTATTGGTGGGATGTCACACAATACATATCATGTTGTAAATGAAAAAGTTCGTGTGTGTTTATTACCTATCCTGCTAAACGGCTGGAAGGATTTGAATAAATAGGTGCCTATTTTATTTACCACGCCACGTGAATACCTATAAATAAAGTCCTCCTATATTTAAATTACACGCAGGTGAAATCGTGGGCAGCAGCAGCTAGTTATAAATAAATCCAGTAAAAAAAATAACGACTGCCAATAATCAAAAACTAAAAAGTAAAAAATAAGTACTATTTTTCAAAAAGGCCGGAATGTTGATATATTTTTAAATGCAATTGGAGTACTTTTGAGGACATCATCATTACAAAATATTGCCCCGACGGCATTAAAAAATATACTCCTATTTGAAAAATAGTAGGTACTTATTTTTTACTCTTTTTCACCATTTTTTTAAACGGCAGTCGTTATTTTTATTGTTTTTAAAGGTACATAAGTGTCCTAAAATTTTTTTATGTACATGAAGTAATCCAAGTAATTTTTAAGTATTTATCACGTTTTACAGAAAAAGTGCTTATATGTGCTATATATACTTCAATAAAAAAGCTATATTTATTTTTTTATTATTATATTTAAACAAATTTCAACATAGAAAAAAAGGCAACAATATTTTCTGTCACCTTCGTTTGGATTTATCACTATCTTTTATGCAATAAATAAATAATAGTGGTGTCGATTCTAGCATGATTCTCTAAACCTAAACTTAAATTTGACAGCAGTATATCCTTGTCATTCTCTATACAGAATGAAAAGGAGAGACTGATGTTAAATTTAGTTTTAAGTTTAGAGAATCACGCCAGAATTGGCACCATAGTATATCTTAAATTAAAGATTGTTCAGTTTTTGCTGCAGCGTGAATTTAAGGTAAGTTCCTTGTAAGGTAAGTCACGTGTCACGTCATTTATATAAAAAAATAATAGATCTATCACCCAATGATAGGATCAGTTCCATAAATTAATGAATAATGCCTATGGTCATATTAGATTCACTATGGTACCAATTCTGGCATGATTCTCTAAACTTAAAACTAAATTTAACATCAGTCTCTCCTTTTCATTCTGTATAGAGAATGACAAGGATATACTGCTGTCAAATTTAAGTTTAGGTTTAGAGAATCATGCCAGAATCGGTCCCTATGACAAGTTACCATTCATACTAAATAAAACAATTAAAACAGTTAAAAGTGATTTTTATTCACAAGAAATTTCCAAAGTGCTTCCTTGCGACAATCTACAACGTCTTAAAAATCTGCTTTGGCCTTCTAAAACTACTAGTATTTTGTGTAGTTTTAGTTTCGGCCTGCCTTAATTTTTCACGCAGCTCTGCTTCCGTGTTTGTTTTGCGAACGTAAACCATTCCTTTTAATATCCCCAGAGAAGAGTCGATGGATTGTTTAGACCTAGTGAACGTGCAGATCAAGCAATCGGACGTCACCTTTTGCCATCCTGTACAAAATAATTAATGATTTACTAAAAAGTGTAGGATTTTTTGTATTTTTCTTGTTAAAAATACACATATCTATACATAACTATTAACAGTTTATTTAAAGGACTTGTTATCGGGAGAATCGAGACTGAACCTGAATCTGAAATCTGATTCAATTAAAATTAAATATTGTGACTTAAATTAAAATTAAATTAATGGGATTACTCAAACCCAAAAATACATTTAGGTATCTCTCATTAATTAAGGAAGTTGGACAAGGATTTTTATTCAATTATATTAGTAAAAAATGTATGGACTCTGCACCCACATCCGCAACAGCTTAAATTACATTTGTTTCAAAGTTATTATAGTCGTGATCATCTGTGCCAAAGCGCATCAAATTCAATCCGGGGGGTCTTTAGCTATTTTAAGTTAAATAGGTACAAGTACTATAACGAACGAACATTAATGAAACAAAGGGAATTAATTTAGTCAGTTAGTTCGATCCTACATATGGGGCTTAGGTATTATGGAAGTACTTCAGACGGTGCAAGGGTGTCAAAGATAAAAATCAATCACGTGACAGGGGGTGCACAATCCCAACGAAGTAAGACGAGTCGACTATTTGCAACTGCAAGTCCTTTAACCACCGTAAACCGTTTTGAGGTGTCTCAGTTAATGCAAGGGTAGGATGGTTAGCAGGTTTTGTGGTATATCTGGTTATAAAGTACGATATGGCACATTATTATGGTTATTAATAATATAAAATTGAGGTACTCTAAAATAAATTTATTTAGCTACCTTCTTAAATATGCCCATGTGTTATATCTTTTGACTACCAGGATATTTTTACGGTGTCATATTTTTGGACTACCAGGATATGTTCTTACGGTGTCATAATAAAAAGGCTAGTTTTTCATAGACCTATCGATTCATACTAATTACATTGTTGGCGGAGCTAGGTGTGTTTTGCCCATTGTCCTTTTAAAATTAGAATTAGAACGTAAAACAATAAAATAATTCAGTTTGACGACCTCCGTGGCCGAGTGGTTTGTACGCCGGGTTTCATGGCGTCGCCGACTCGAGAGGTCCCGGGTTCGAATCCCGGTGGGGGCAGATGTTTATCTGATGAACATGAGCATTTGTACTCCAGTCATAGATGTTTACTATGTATAACTATATAAATATACTTATATACACATATGTACAGTATATGTATTCTATTATCCATTACCCTAGTATCCCATAACACAAGCCATATAGTGCTTACTTTGGGGCTAAGCTAATTGGTGTGAGTGTTGGAAATATTTATTATTTATTAATTGTTTTTCCATATAAAAAGACATGCAATCCAAGCTGACACTCATTCAGAAATCTGACTTAGTCAATATCAATATTTTTTCACGGAAAGTTGTGTTTTACAAAATGCCACGAGGATTATCAGATGTTTTACGAGCCAGAATTGTAACTTTGAGGGAATAAGGCTATTCTACGAGAGAAATAGCACGCAGAGTTGCCATATCCCAATCCTGTGTAGCAACCACGTTGCAGAGGTACCACGGCATGGGTAATTTAGCTGTCCGATCCCGCACCGGTCGCCGAACTGTTTTGACAGCTGCTCAGAAGCGCTACATCAGGTTGCTGGTAGCCCGCGGCCCAACAATAAACGCCACTAAATTAAAAGCAGTTAAATGGGCCGCCTCCGAACTTGAAGTTAGCACTCAGACCATTCGGAATTGCTTACACAAGGCTGAATTACGAGGACGGAGGTCTTGGCGAGCACCTTTGAATTCACGGGAACGTCAGCGACAGACCCGTCTTTCCCTGTGGGCACTTTGGGCAAGTGCCCAGGGCCCCGCGATCGATAGGGCCCCACTTCAGATCAAATACAAAGTCCTTAGTTCCTGTTAGATCACCAAACGGGGGTCATAGAGGCCCCATTATCCTAATATGCCCAGGACCTCCATAGGTCAAAGACGGCACTGGTCAGCGGATGGAGATTACAGTGGGCTAGGCTTCGGCAAAACGAAGAAGACGAAGAGGAAAACATTTGGCAAAACTGCCTCTTCGTTGACGAATCGCGAATCAGTACTCATTCCAGATAACCGAAATATCCGTGTCTGTAGAAGGCAAAGAACGGCCACTGGAACGGTTCAGCAAGGCGGGAAATCAGTATCCTTTTGGGGTGGTATTATGATTGGGGCTAGAAAGCCTTTAATCCCTTATCAAGGCTTCATGACGGCAGACAGATACAAAACAGTCGCTATTGATGGAATCGTCAAACCATTTCACCTTTCCGAGTAAACCATGGGCACCAATTTGTACTGGTTGACGATAATGCGTTAAATTAATAAACATTGGTATCGACTCTGGCATGATTCTCTAAACTTAAAGCTAAATTTAACATCAGTCTCTCCTTTTCATTCTGTATAGAGAATGACAAGGATACACTGTTGTCAAATTTAAGTTTAGGTTTAGAGAATCTTGCCGGAATCGACACCATTGATTAGATACCTGTCGGAAAAACGACACTTCACGCACTATAAGTATTTTTTTCGCATTTTTACACGGAGCTCTGCGGCATCTTGACTTTTCAATGGTCCGCGCGTGACTGTGAACCAAGAAGTGTTTGAGTAGAGTTCAAGCACTTATTTATTGGGACTAGTTGGGACACAATTTGGGCGCTCTTGGTGTACCTAGGTTATTTAATATCGTTGTTTCTGTTGCCAATTCATCACCCAATATTTTCTTTTTTGCCCTTATACCATAGAAAAAGTCAAGGCCCTACCTACCGACCATTTGATTTTTGATAATACTGGGGCCATTATCAACGCAAACGTTTAGCTCAACTTATACCCGAACACTGAATAGCAGGAAATCAGGCATGTGTGTAGAGACAAGTCAATATTGCCCCGACCCCTGCTGTGCGCTATAGGTTGGCCCTGCGGCAGGGATGTCAGTAGCCCGCTATAATCTAAGTAATCTGTGACTTGCTCTCACCCTGCGGGTCAATTAAAAAGCTTTAGTCATGCTTTAGTCATTTAGTGTTATAATCCTAATGTGATGTCAATATGATGTTGATGCCAAGTTGACATTGTTTTTAAATGGTATTATGAAATATTCCTATGTCACATCAAGATCATATCAATATCATCACCTGTATCACTTTTTTGACGTTTATGCGATACTGTTAAGTCAAAAAGTTGAACGTAACACGCATATATCATTTTAAAGAGTTGATCATAATACTCTTAACTTGACGTCTTGTTGATGTCATTTTAATATCGCATTTTTCGGAAAGCATAATACGTAATGTCAAATTGACATCAAAACAATGGTGCCAATTCTGGCGTGATTCTCTAAACTTAAAACTAAATTTAACATCAATCTCTCCTTTTCATTCCTTATAGTGAATGACAAGGTTTAGAGAATCGTGTCAGAATTGACACCATTATCACAATTAGCGAGCATATTTAGGGACACGAAAAAAGTATCGATACTTTGTGGTATCGAGTACTTTTCCTTTCGATACCGATACTTTTGTACTCGATACTTTGTATTCGATACTTTTACTTATTGAGTCCTTTTTGGCAAGTATCGATACCTTTAAAATTTGGATAAGCGCCTCATATTGATGGCAACGCCATCTTGTTAAATCATAGCAAACCTTCTAAAACGTTCCATTGCGTTGTTAAAGTCAGTAACTGACATATTCAAATTCTTTCCAGTCTGTGACTGTGTTTATTTTGCGCTTTGTTTTGTTTCATAGTTACCATAGTTATTTAGCGACCATATTGTTAGGAATTGTGATTGATTCGCCGTTTATTGTGCTTTTCGCTTGATTGTATTTGATGTATTCAAGTGTAACACTATTATTCTGTCTGTGCTGTGTATACCTATTTGAAACCACGGACCTGAAAAAAAGACGGACGTAACCTCTTCTATAATTATAATATTGAGTGAAGCATGCCAATGGCCGCCGTTAACTGCGTGTCAGATTCAAGTTAATATTTTAATTATTAATGTAATATTAATGAACACTTCTTAAGTGTCAGAAATCATAGCTATTTTCTTTTCATTATATAATATAGCAATTTGTGAATTTACATGTCCTTTTTCTGTTTTTGATTATACGAACTATAATAAAATTCGATTGTTTTTCTTTCAATTTTAAACCCGGGGGAGGGGGGGGGGGTTTCTTGTCAGGCCACAGAGGATCCGATAAGGCCCTATGAAATGTACTCGATACTTTGAAGTATCGATACTTTCGTTTCGATACTTTTACGAGTACGATACTTTTTTACATATACTACTCATGAGTACAGTATCGATACTTTCTATTCGATATCGTGTCCCTAAGCATATTGGCCTGCTGGTCGCGGCCACTGGTCGCATCTGTCTGTGAGACACTTTAGTCCTCTCTGGTATCGGTATTTCTCTCTTCGGTGAACAATGGTACCATTTTTAATATACATATTATTAAACTTGCATTATCATCTCTCAAATAATCGAAGTTGTTTTTATATTATAAATGTTGACACAAAAAATATCGACAGTGGAAAAGCAAAATCACTTAAACGCCACGTTAGTAACTTTACAGAAATGAGGATCAGTTATTTTTTTCTGAAAAAAATCATGACTCATTGGAAATGAGAAGTAGCGTGAAGTAGTAAAAAATATTCAAAAAATAAAATTATATAAATATCTTCCTATTAAAAAGTTACATAGTGCCTTTACGAATTATCACACGGCCCTCCATACATTTTTTGTCAAGCAAACATCGAATCATAGGCCAAATAGTGTAAGCGCCTTTAGTAAAAAAAACACCAAAATTTATGTCGCTTCAGGGTGGTGAACAAGATTTTTAACCTTAAAGAAATTGCGTTGTTTACGCGCCAAATAAGTAAGTACTCAAATCTTCACGAAACATAAACTGATCGACGCAGAAAAAAAATCTGATCAAGATAATATTATATACTTATAGCTCATTTTCTACCAAAGTGGCGTATAAGCGATTTTGCCTTTCCATTGTCGCTGGTAAGTCAGTACTTGCATAAATCTCCAAGGCCGTAAAACTTATATAAAAAAAAAAATACTTGCTTAAATAAATAAAAACGAGTGTGCTTTTGACCACACGACTAATGTGAAACTTCTTTAGCTCCATCTTTATGTACGTATATTGATATTTATATTATCATTTACTAGCTATAAGAGAAAGAGAGAAAGAAAATGTGCGCGCGCACTGCTTACTCTTGCTTATATCCCCCACTCAATTCCCGTTCACCTCACCAGAACACACTTTTCGTAACGCGTAACGCATTCGCCAGCTTACCCCCCAAGTCAAGCGTGCGTAAAGAAGTTTCACTTCAATAAAATCAATGACGTAAAATAAAATAAAATCATAGAATATAATATAATGTTTGTTGGAAAGAGGTGTACTCACACATTTATTTCTGTAGGTATTTTACAAAATACATTATACGAAATAAGTTATTTACCTCAGATTAAAACACATAAAAGGATAAAATATTATAGCTAATAAGCATTAAAATGTTAAAAGTGCAAATAAGTAAAAGCATATATGCAAAAAAGAACATACGATTTTATTGTTCTATTTGTGCAGTTTATACTAATTCCAATAACCAATTAAATCAGCATATTGAAGGTATCCGTCACAAGCAAAAGGTGTTAAAAGGTCAAGCACCTAAAAAACCAGTTAATCACTATGAACCGTATGAGTTTGATTATGCGGTTTATGTTCCAGCTTTTATCATAGTTGTTATAACAACTTACTTATTTTGGTACGTAATTATAAAGTTTTGTAACTGATAGTTATATTATTAAAACAGCTTTTAATCAATTTTACGGCACCTTAAATTTCGCGCCATAATTTTAATTGGCGGAGAGGTCGTTCCCAAGCGTTCACGGCTTCTATGCGCACGAACGACCGCGCAGAACAATGAGGTAGCAGCCATTTTATGTCGGTGTCTTAGAAAAACATAATTCGAATGGCCAATCTTAACAAAATTGTGTAATTAGTGTTATAATTTATGAGTTTCTGTACACGCAACTATAAATAGGTGTTCCGTTACGAATGTGAGTAGAAACTAAGTTTTGTTATACATATATACTTGTAGAATAACATAAGCTCAATGAAACAAGATTTTGCATAGAAAAGATATAATAATAAATTTATACCTCATTCCATCCATATATTAAGAAAGGCCGCTGTATTCTCAAAGAACAAGAATAGACTTTTTTTAGCGGATGCTATTGTTTATCGACAATAATGTCATTATTGCAAAGTGCATTTTGTTATTTGGGGCTGATATGACATAACTTTCACTAAAATGACTATCAAAAATCGGCCATAAGTTGCGTTGTTTACATTAGTGTAGTAAGTAGTGGTCACTAAATGCTTGTCGCATCTAAACCGGCGTCGCGCAGCCTCGTCCTGAAAGTTGAGGACAAAATTCAATAACGAATTGGTCATTTTATTGATGGCCGGGGGGAGGCTGGGTGGAGACAGTCGGTGAGCTTCCGCCATTTAACATTTTGTCCAATATTTTTGTACTTTCAATTGTTTTTGTTTACACTTATTATTAAACCAGCAATTGTTTACTTTGTAAACCATATAGAATCACTTCATATATAAACATTTAATGTCAATTTTTTACACAAGTTTGCTTCTCTGTCAAATATTTTGTTAACATCTGATGTAGTTAATGTGAAGTAAAATGAACTAGCTAAATATAGAGACAATACTTAGTGATCCTATCATATGATACTACCTATATTAGCATTTATCTGCAATGATAAAGCTAGAACTATAAACTTGTCTAAAGTATTTTAGCTCAGTCATTGGCATAAGTTATGGAAAATAAAACTTGTTATGTACCTGTGCTATAATGCTACTGGCATAATGCTTTTGTACCCTTTGTACTTATTTTAACATACAATAATGTAAAGCAGCTTGTTATTGTTTTCATTTCATTGTTTCCGCATTGATTGTTTATTTATGTGCACATTAATAAAAATAAATACACATTATGATTTCTCTAAACTGTTTTTTTTTCTTATTTGTCTTATTTATCCTTTGCTTATTAACACAGATTATATGCTAATGTATAATTTATTTGAATAACCTTTTTGTTTATAATAGAGTAAATTAAGAATTTAAAGTTCGAAGTTAAACAACTTAATGTTCAAACATAACTTAAGGTTAAACAATTCGAGGTGGAAATGCAATTGGACCGTTTTGTATAACCTGAAGTACTGTTGACTGTACATTATTACATGATGAACTTAATTCTTGGTATCATGATACTTTGTGTCCTGTCATTGCAAATGATACAGAAGCTAAATAGAAAGTAATAATAAAAAAATAATCATTTAATATTCTTATAAGAATTTAGCAACAAATACCAAAACACACATATTTTTGTCTTGTAACATTTAAACAAGAAATATCTTATTAGATTTTATGATAAAACAGTTATGGGAAACAAAACATTGTTTTGTTTAAAACCTTACATGTCAATTAATTTTTATATATTAATAATTAAAAATAAATAATAACATTATATATGCATTTAAAGTGCCTTTCTTATAGGTGGTTGATATGCATATTAAATTGTGACACAACTACAATCTTATTAGACTGAATTAGCTATTTTTAAAGTATCTATATTATTGTAAGGTTAACTAGGTAGGTACTTGATTTTTTGGTAAATCCATAAATCTATGCTTGGGCTCCCATTATTGAACTGTTTTCGAAAGTACACATTTTATAAATAATAGTGTTAAAAATAAATACATAAAATATTTTGAACACTCACACCTATAGGGAATGCGCAATTGCACTTAGGACCTTCTAATAACAAGGAAAGTGTTAAAATATGTATCAAAGATATTTGTATTATGACCTTTTTTTCATTGCAATAGATCATGATGAAAATTTTTTTTTTTCTATTTATTGACATTATAAAAACGTTGGAAAAATAATAGGGATACCCTTAGTCCATGGGCAAAACTAAATAATTTAATGTCAAAATTATATCACAGGAAGGCGGCAAAATCTGTTACGTCAATTATGATTGTTCAGAAAATAAACAAGTTTTTTCCAGGGATAGGACGCATACGCAAATTAAAGCAATAGTCTACCTTATTGTTTTTAAATGGTTGTAACAAAATAAACTTATGGTGGGTCAGGAATCAAATTGGCTGATCGTACATATATAGGTATATTTTATTTAGAAATACATTTAAAAATTCATGACTTAAGTACAAATGCGTCATCATTCATCAAACTAACATTTACCCAATGTGATTTGAACCCGGATCACCTCAAGAGTAAACGACACCATGAAAGCCGGCGTATATTCCACTCGGGACACGAAGGTCTTCAAATAAAAAAATATTAAACCCTTATTTTGTTACCGACTGTTTAACCTACGATCACTCTCCGATATGTGGGGATCTTAGATGTGTTGGTCTCCCTGCGGCCGAATTTAGACCAATCATTTATCTGTATCGTCTACTTTACTGTATATAAAATTATAAAAATGCAAATTGATTCCAGTGTGATACTGTTAAACAAGCGCCAAAGAAATCCGGCCTTGGGTGCCTATGTTCGTTAGTCTTTGAAGTTACGATACATTCGTTGGCTCTCTCCATGCATCCACATCGCATTAAATTTTAACTTCATCTACGTATCCTCTTGAAGTTATGTGCTCATCGGTAATAATTTATACATTCAACGCGAATTAGAGGCTTAGCCTCTAATTCAGCTAGAACTATACCTTGGCGTAAATTGGCCCGGCGTTATTTGGTATACCGACCATATAACGTTTTCACTGTGAGCGCACAAGGACACGAGGCGCATTTTAGTTGCATGGATTCGTTTTCTTCTTAACCGAGGAAAAAACGGAGGTTCTCAATTCGATATGTATACACATATATACAATATTTTTTTGAAGTGAAAACTTCTTTAGCGGCGTTGTACACCTTTTTTTTTTGTAATTAGTAAAAACTATTAAACTCGCGTCAGGACACGTGACCTAATCGAAAATTCGTAAGACGAAAACAATAAAATTGGAAAGGTTGTTGACTTTCAATATATTGGACAAAACATAGTAATATTTTATTTTTTCGTATATAAACATTTATAAGTCTCTAATAATAATAAGTCTCTAATTAGGACGTCCAGGTGGCAGCTTTATTGCGAAGAAAGTGCATTTTTTTACAATAGATGTCGCTAGGTACGCTTAAATGTGATTCGTGTAAGTTGATTTTTCTGAGAATAAACTTTTTTATTGTGATATAAATTGTCATGTTTGTGTACGATAGCGCAATAAATAAATATTGTTTTCTACCACATAAATGATTGTACCTACTTTTATACTGATAATTAAAGCAATTCGTGCATAATTATTCCCTAACCATTCCAAAATATCAAAAATGCACAATGTTAATATTCAAGTTTTCACTTCTGCTGGCACTCCCGTAGTGCAAACCGACGTTTTTTTATGTATGACCACACAACATTTTACAGAGTAGTCTGATTCTGATAATTCTTATTCTATTGGAAAGGGTATACCCGAAGTTGGTCTCATATGAATTTAGAAACAAAAATCCTTAAGGATGAGAAAATAGGGGTGAATATTCACTTACAGATTTTGATGCCGAGTTGTATCACACTAATATTATAAATGCGAAAGTTTGTGACTGTGTATGTTTGTTACTTCTTCACGTCCTTACGGCGGGAGCGATTTTAATAAAATTTGGTATGGAGTTAGCTGAGACCCTGGATTAACACATAGGCTACGTTTTACTGCGGGAAAATATTCCGCCGCAAAGTAAATAATTATAAACCTTTTTTTATCTTTAGACAAATGAATATTTCGAGATGATGTCAGTTCCAGGTCAACCCGCAAGAAGTAAATGGGAACTCTGATCTGTCAGACATGCATGTCACCGAACCGTCAGGCTTTTCAATAAAAGCTACAGGAGGGTTCACGTTAACTATCGCCCTCCCCCGCCCTTTTGAATAAATATGGATAAATGCTTTTAAACGGCTTCTGCCTCTGCAGTTTTTGCTGTCGCCCAAGGCCATGGCCCTCTTGGCTTCTTTTTTTTTTCTTATTCAGGGTACCAAAAAATCAAGTACCTAGTTAGTAAAATATAAAGATACTTTAAAAATAGCTAATTCAGTCTAATAAGGTTGTAGTTGTGTAAACAATTTTATATGCATATCAACCACCTCTAAGATAGGCACTTTAAATGCTTAAATATAAATTTATTGTTACATACACGCACGTTTACATATTAATTTGTTGTATTCTTTAATAAAATACCTATTAAATTCTTCTCCAGAGCAATCATTATCCCCTTTTCTTATATGTAAGGTTTTAAACAAATCAATGTTTCGTTTCCTAAAACTGTTTTGCAATAAAATCTAATAAGATATTTCTTTTTAAATGTTTCAGATAAAAATATATATGTTTTGGTATTTGTTGCTAAATTCTTTACTTTCTTAAAAATCATTACTTTCTGGTTAGCAACTGTATCATTAGCAATGACAGGATACTAAAGTATCATGATACCAAACAAGATACCCACAATTAAGTTTATCATGCAATAATGTAAGGCGACAAAGCGGGGGGAGGCCAACTTTGTCGCCTCCGTTTTGCAGTTGATGTTACATGAAAAGCGAAACTAGACTCGAGCGAAGCCTTCCCGTCTTCAAGTTGGAGTCCCACGACGCCAGCTTAACATAGATCGTCTTCCAAAGGGTTTTTTTTGAAGTTATACTTCTTTAGGCGCGTTATGAAAAAATGATGAGAGTGAAATTTTAAGATGCGCGCGCATCACTGTAACACAAAATTTTAACATAATGAAGTTGGTCTTGGACTTCATGCGTTACTTTTGTGTTTACCGCACACTAAGAAAATCTACCAATAAAATAGAAATAAAATCTCTATTTAGTGGGTGCTAACGACTGCATTGTGAAGGCCTATCAAAAGTATTTATTAATCTGGAACAACGGAACCAAAGCGCGATTCAGGAGACTACAGCGCCATCTCTTGACCATTGGTGTAGTAGAACCAAAAACCACATCTTTATTTTTTGTAATAAAGTAACAAAAAGTATTTATTAATCTGGAACAATGGAACCAAAGCGCGATTCAGGAGACTACAGCGCCATCTCTTGACCATTGGTGTAGTAGAACCAAAAACCACATGTTTATTTTTTGTAATAAAGTAACAGTTATATGTATTCATATTTATAATATTTATCCACATGTTTCTTGTTTGTATATTCGGAATACGTGTTTGAGTTTCATACAAGTGCAAATCACATTTGTTCTAATAAATTATATTCAGTAGCGATTTTAATTGAATATTTTGATTATTTATTTATGTTTTCAAATTAAAACTGAACTTTATTGACTGTGTCCTTTTCCAGACTTTTTATTAATTTATTGTAATTAATTATTTGCATGCAATTAAAAACTAATTTTAAACGATGCCAAAGAAGGATAACTTCTCACGCGCCTACATAAGTACACGCACCCATTTTTATTATAAATATGTGGCTATCAAGGGGCTTCAATTCATGTTAAATGTTTACATACAGATTTTTACACTGACGAATACTAAGTAACTGAATTTCTTTATTTTATAAAATTCTTACATTACTAAAATCGATCGAGAATTAAGTGGTTTCGCCTGTAAAGTGATAGAAAAAGCGCCAAGTTCCTCGACTGAAGCAAGCCTTACTTACTTACTACGCAGAGTAAACTTACTTTTTCTGAGGTTCGCTTCAATGTATAAAAAATATATAATTTAATTTTTTTATAGGTGGCAGAAGCTGAAAATGGTGGAGCACATAGGAGTTCGCCATTAGTTTCCCAGCACACTGGGGCGTGGGCGTCGGGGGCGTGGCACGGGGCGTGGGGGTCCCCGTGCCGCCCCCCGGCGACCTACTCGCCACTATATCCATGTTCGAGCAGCAGATCAAGGCTGAACCTATGAGGTACGTATCAGAACCCGTATTAAGGTCTTAATAGGCATACAAAACGGTCAAAATTCACTAATGAACTTTTAACTTTAGTTGTTCACCTAAAAGTTGAGCATTCATTGTAAAATTTATTTATTGTGTAAAGCAGTTAGGAATACGGCAGATTATCATAATGTATTCTCCGTCGAAAGTGAATCTTTATGAAATTAAAAGTCAGTTGGAAAATTAAACAATTTTGGATATTTTGACCTGTTACCCTGTTGTTACTCTATAATAGGTCTACCTGACACTTATACTAAAAAACAGACTCTAATACTTCAGCCGCGACTGCATGGTTACAGTCGCGGCTGAAAGTATTAGAGTCTGCAAACACAACTACAAACTCTCCACTGTTGTTTAGCGGTTTGATTCTTTAATTTTTGACCTGACGGGATCTATACTGGCTGTACATTTGACACAGTGGTAGAACAGATTAAACATTCCTCTGTTTATGTAGTAATTCAAGTGAAAGAGTTATCTTTATGATAATACGCCTTTGATTAGCATAAAATCTCTAATTTCAAAATTTTAATATATAATACCTCTTGGATAAGGCTTACTTAGTTAAAACTGTATGCTCCTAACTGACATTAGTTAAAAGTCCTTTGAGAAATAAAAAAAACTCTATATTTTTTTTATCATTACAGCTTCTACACATCTCATCCTCATGTACACTCCGGTCCCCCTACAATAGTCCGATCTGATAGTCATCCAATAATCAACATGAACCAGCATCACCAATCACACCAGGAGGACTCTAAAGACAGCTTGATCATACAACAGCAAGTACAACACCAGCAAGAATTAATGGAACAGCACCAACAACAAGAATTACAACAGCAAGATGACGAGGTAAATAAATATGAATAACTACAAAGAAAATAAAAAAAAGGCTTTACTTATCCTTAAATAAAGTTAAGAGTGCGATATCACAACTTTGTTTTGATTTTGCAGTTAAGTTTCAAAGGAATGGATGATGAAGGTGTTGAAATGGAAATGGACAGCCGACAATGTTCTCAGGTGAGAAGATTAATATGATTTTAAAATAAGACTTGATATAATTGTTATATCTTTGTTTGTGCCATCGGAAATGTAGTTGTTTAATAAAGTATTAAAAAGTTTCTTTTACAGGGTATGGGAGTTGATATGGGATCAGTTCAAACTAAAATGGAAGTAACAAATGGAGGCCACTCAACCCCTAGATCGAAACCACAAGCTTGCAAGGTAAATAACTACACGTATCTACTTTTTTCTTGTTTCCCTTTATTTTACTTACATTATGTTAAATTGTTTTAGGTATGCGGTAAAGTGTTGTCGTCTGCATCGTCATACTATGTCCACATGAAGCTGCACTCTGGAAATAAGCCCTTTCAGTGTACTGTAAGTACCAGTACTTACTATTTTATAAAGGTTGTTTGACTAAGCCTATAACAGTAAGACCCTCATTTCTCTTGAATTTTTTGGTATAAAACACTACGAAAGCTTTGAACTAAAAACAGCGTCACATTACTTTTATTTCACAAACAAATACACGACTATCATGATCAAGTTTGAGCTAACGCCCCGGGTACACTACTACACTTATCGGCCGAACTAGTATGCTCGGGCGTCATCGGCCAATTGAATTACCATTTACCATTTAGGAATTTCAAAAGTCCTGACCAAAATCCTGACATTTCGAAAAAACTCCAGGCGTTTTAGTCACAAAATGGTACCATTACTCACATAGTTACAATGATATGTTATTTAAATCAACATGTACTTTTATTTTTCATATTCAATGTAATTTAAAAAATCCGGACAATTAAAAGATCCGCACTAATCCGGACGGATGGTAATCATAATCTTGTATGAATCGGTTGACTGGTAGATAATGTCTATGGCAGTAAGTCCGCCGTTTACTATTTTTTTGATAATAAAGAATAAATTAATACATGGATTCGGGCGGGCATCATCGGACCATGGCGCTCGTGTTAAAGTAGTGTACCACTGTCCTTCTTTTACAAACGTTGGATTTGAGTCACCGTGTTTGGTCGATGACCAAAGGAGATTGCTCAGCTTCCATACATGTTTGGCCTAAAGACCAATAATCATGAAAAATTATTTCCTAGATTCGGAATTATATATAAATTACTGTAGAAACGAATATTATTGACGGACACCCCTGAGAACTTCTATAAACCATATACACTGAACATATTAAAATAATAAAAAACAAATAAGTTATATACTAAACTAGGGAAATCAAGCCAAGTACCGAAATTATGGATTAACTTCAGGTATATAGAGCATGTAGATTAACAGATAGTTGCCTGTTTTTAAAGTTAATGAATAAGAGTAACTTTTAAAATCAGGTGTCATTTCCGTTAAGTTTTCCATAATAAGGTACTCTGTGACAGAAACTGTGTGATGATTGTGAATGAGCCACAGATTAAAGAAAATTTTTAAACTCTCGTTAACCAAAGAAAGCTAAGAGATTTAGGTTCTGTAGCCATATATTCAGTAGCTGCATTATTTTTGTTATGTTTTTAAGATCACACCTTATAATTTTATTTATTTATTTATTTATAGTCAGGGAACGTAGGCCCATAGATAAAAGTCTAACATATATACAGATTATAATGTGTTTATGGAGGTGTTTGGCGAAAAATGTATGGCAATATACTTAATGATGTCGCCTACCATCTATAATAATTGTCTGAGCACATTTGCATCTAGTGAAAATGATAAATAGTTGTGGATATTAATACCACAGTGTAATAAAAAAAATGTTTTATTTTATGGATCTTTACAAAATAGATTTGTTTTTATGTTATATAAACAACTTCGATCACTCTTTGGCTGAATGTTACTACACCCATAGCCATTAAAAATGATTCGTATGTTTTCCAAACCGGTAAAATTAAAAGTCCTTTTTAAAGTAAGTATATTATACAAAGGTGTCCGTTGAAATCTAATGACTGTAAATTAAATTATAAATTACGCCAAGAATTACCGTGTATGTCAATATTTTTTGTGCATTTAGGCCAATTTGAGCAATCTCCTTTATTTCTATTTTATTAAGACAGTTCTTTTTCATTGAAAGAAAGAAAAGCATTTTATTAGCCTTCACAGCATTAATTTAGAAGAACAAAATGGTTATATAATAGTAAAACATAGACATAAGAATAAAAAAAAACATCCTGCCGTGTAAGGCCAATAGGGCGCTGCCTCAGCTGTGCTCTGTGGTAAACGCTTTCGTGATACCTACGTTCCCTACCACAGCAGCGCTGATTTTCAGCCAGTGCCTTTTGACAAAGGTGATCTGCGAATGCCGGAATAAAGCGAGACAATAACAACAAAGAACACAATTATACATATAACGGTATACAATTCTAATTAATGACTATCACATACATTACATACATTCTAATTAATACATTACCCCAAAGATTTCAATCTTTGCATTACCCTATCATGAGGGGTCCCAATATTATCATTGACTGTCAATTACTCCTTTCTTTAAGTCTAAAGTTGCTAAGTATAGTGTGGTCTCTGTGCACATGCGAAGGTTTGCGACGCGGCCTTTTGCCGTAAGCCATACCTGGAGGTGCACATGCGCACGCACACGGGCGAGCGGCCCTTTCAATGCGACCTCTGCCTCAAACGATTCACGCAGAAATCCAGTCTCAACACGCACAAACGTGTCCACACCGGTGAGTTTATTGGAACACTTAATTCTATGCCCTCTGTGTGTCTTTCCTGGAATAAAGATCAAGAGAACGAATCTGTTATAGATATGATACAGTGAATAGTGATTCTTTTTGCGATCCATAAAATCATCCATATAACTCCCTGAATAACGTTTAATTTCTATGAGCGAGTATAATACGTATATACATGGACGTATAAAAAAAGGCGGACAGAGTCCCGGTAAACAACAAACTGTGTCGCTCAGAGTCGGCCAGGTCGCTATATGTACAAGCCGGCACACACACATTCACACCATAGTCAGCCATTACGCGTGCAAACGTCAAAGCAGCCGATACGTTAAGTGGAGATAAAAATAAGTTAAAACAAGATGTCTTGCGTGGTAAAATGGTGTAAAAACCGTAGTGACCGAAAGAAAAAAAATCCAGGAATCACGTTTCATAGGTAAATGAACAATATAATCACTTTTTTCTAGTTTTTAGAAATCGAAATCAATTTTCATTCTAAGCACAAAATAATTAATCTAAAGTCCAGTGTTGTCAATGTTCACGTAACCATATTACCTAAAATATGGGAAATTGGGGTGACATTAGCTTCAATCTATTATTTGTTATTCTTTTTTATCAGATTCCCTAAAGAAAATGTAGAATGGAGAAATGACTGGATCCAAGTTATTAGGAATTGTAACGGAGATGATGAATGTATTCCAAATAAATATAGTGTCATTTGCAGTATCCATTTTGAAGCTGGAGACTTATATACTACTAAAAGAGGACTCCGGCGTGTTGTTACGCATGCAGTACCTCAAAAGGTAAATTAAAAATTTTAACCGACTTCAAAAAGAAAGAGGTTCTATACGTCATATTTGTCATTTTTTTTTTCAATTGTTGTTCGTGCATATCTCCGAGATTCGTGGACCGATTTTGATGATTATTTTTTTGTTTGAATCAGTTTATTAGCGAGATGGCTGTATTAATTAAGTGCAGAGCTGATGAATATTTTCGGAGGGAAACAATGGAACTCCTCAATTACAAACAGTACTCAATGCATGTTTTGTTAATTTAAGAAATATAAAAAAGAATGCAGGCCTGGCCAGGCATATTTAGGTGATTTACTCTGGCTTATGAAAAGTGGAAAATATAAACTTTTTCATACAAAAATAAAAACAGACTTCATGTTAGTTTTCCAATTACAGAGCATAATGCGACTCAGTGGCTACCAATGCCGAATTATGCTGATGATTAATTGGAACGTGAATTAGTTTTCAAATGCACCAGCAAAGTGCGCTAAGTTCAGTGTTGAAAAAAAAGTGGAATATAAAAAAAGTCAATATTTGTTATATATAATAGTTTGAATTAACTTTGATTATTTAAAAAAACCTACAATGAAACAAAAGTTTTAAAATATTTTCAACGATAAATAATATTACTAACGATAATATTTAAACAAAACATTTCGATCAATGCCAACTTAAAAACAGTGCGTATGAACACAATTTTCGCCTTTCCAGTATCGATCGAAACGGTGCAGTGTGTTAAATTTTTGCCACGGGACCAACGTTCGATGCATCACCGCGGTCGTCGGTTCAAATCCCGCACTCGTGTTTTATTTTTTATTATATTTTTTTTCCATTTTTTATATATTTGTTTTAGACCCCAGCACCTGTTCTTATTTTTATTTGTCTCCCTTTTATTTAGACTTTATAATTATAATTTTTGGACTAAAGGTGGTAAACTGTGGAGCATGTGGAAGTTTTTTGGCGCCGGGCAATGCTGTTGTTTGCTGTGCTTGCCCAATAAAATATCATAAGGCCTGCCTCGCCATCTATTAATATCAGAGAAAAAACTTGAATTAATATCAAAGAAAAAAAATACTGCATAAATAAATAGTATTATTGCATAAGTTGACAAATAATGCTATGCAATAGCTTTACCGCGGCAGTCCCCGAGTGCAACACGATTTTTTTTTAAGTACACGATTTGCATACCTATTTTCTAAATACAGTGGAGCCCCGGTTATCCGGCCCCTGGCTAATGCGGCACCCCCTATAATCCGACATCGTCTATTACATACAAGTATTCGCTAATTCACGATTGAACAAGTTACAACTTGTACGCACCATCACAATTGTGCTCGACGCGTAGGGTATTGTTTTTTATATTTTTTTGTAAATTCTATAGCATTTGACGTTACTTTTATAATAAAACATAATCTTTCTATTGTGTTGTTTAATTTACTCAATTTGACATACATAACAAAGTAAGTTTTGTAATCTTATCATTGGATCTGTAATTTGTCGGATTACAAGGTACTCTTTCGTAAAAAAATTCGGACTATAGGGGGTCTTAGGCAGTACTCTATAATCCGACAAATTCGATAGTTCGACACTGCCCTGCAAAATGTTTGTCGGACTACCGGGGATCCACTGCATTCTTTTAAGACCCTTTACTTTGATACCTCGCTTGACGGGTTATAAGCATTTTTTTTCTAAAGGTTTCATTTTGGCGCCTTATTATTGGGCATACATACATGCATACACGCTCGAAAAACATTATCCACCGCAGTCGGGTAAAATTTTGAACAATTAAAATATTTTGATCTTTTTACTGTGTTTTATTGGTAAAATATTGGCTAACCTAGCAACCCTGCATTCACTCACTCATAGATAACCGCCGCCATTACGGTGCCTCACTTTTGTCTTAGCCGAAATTCTGTCCGCCTTTTTTTATACGTCCTTGCGTATATAATAGTTTATTAAATTATTTTGACATTTAACTTTTAAGAAATATTTAAATTTAAAGAAAAATTAACTAGAAAAAGATCTACGCGGTCCAGGCAGCAGACGGGAATCAGTGCATCCGTCCGGATAGCGGAGTGTGCGGGTTCGAGTCCCATATGCTATCTGGACTGCGTGGATTTTTTTTTAGTAAAGTTTTTTTCTAAATTCATATATTTCGTCAAAAAAGACATGAGTGACAAGAGCATAATGGATAGCTCAAACTGTGTTTCTCGTCTGTGAGGTAACAAAACTAATAAGCAACAGAAGGTTGGCAAGTTTATCAACAATGCCCTTGTCAGCACGAACCGAAATCGAATTCGTCACATTTTCGAGTGCGAATCATCATCGAGAAAATTTGTATGGAAACTTGAACAGCGCCACAACTGACGTAATTTATTGACATTTCAGGCGTATCAAGATCGAATGCAACTACTTATTCGAATTGGATAATGCTTATTTTTTATAGAAACTTTTACGATGCGATACGTTACGGGACTGTCAAAAATTCGTGCTTGGACCTCTGGGCACCCTCTATACGACGCGTCGTACGTCTAGTCTCACAGGCGTGACCTTACGCACATTATTTTGGTAGCTCAATCCATGTCCATTCTCGTCATGTGTTGTAGCTAACTTATGTTTTTTCCAATTAAATTTGGCTCTGACACTAGTTCCTATTTCTAAATTGAACCTCCCAGAGTATCTGATCTTACTTTTCCTTTAAAAGATTTTGATGTCACCCTTCAGCATTACCGGCCAGGCCTTTACCCATACACTAGATTTGATCGCATTATGGTTTCGTTGAAACATATTCTTTGTATCTCTTAATACAATTATTTATGTCCGTTCACTTGATCTCTTCACTAGAAAGTAGACTAATAAATTATTTTAAGTGAAAGAAAACAAAAACAATCTTTTTTTTGTGCCTTTTTCCCTTCTTAATTGTTGCCTGTCCATTTTTATAAGTTTTTGTTTTCATTTACTTAGATTAAATATGAAAGAATTTCAATAATACATTTTATAGTCAATAGCTATTTATTATTGTAATTCGAACATAACATTTTAAAGTATTAATTATGGTTTAACAAAACTATACCATAAAAATGTATTATTGTGTTTGTATTTGATATTTATAAATGTATTTACTTGTAACAAAAACAAAGAATATTTTAACTGTATAATGTTTTACATATACAAATAAATATACATGAATAAAAAATATATATAATGATGCACAAACTCTGGTACGATAAGATTCAAAAAAGACAATAGCAGGAGTGTTGAGACTTCACATCACTCATTCAGACTTCAGAGTTTATATATTTTTGGTTATCGATATACTATCCATCGGTACCTGTTTTTGTTACAAGCAGAATGATGGTTATTTTGTTGATAATTCTAGAATTTAATTATTGTCGGTTAGGTAATATGATAGGCTATAATAATGCAAAGCAGTTATATTTAGTTATTTTAGCCATAATAGATTTTTAGGAGGGAGGTTTTAGGTACTTAAATGTAAATGTACCTATTTTAGGTATATATATATATATATATACAAATACATTACACTCAAAATTAACATGTTATCTTAGAAATACATAATTTAAAGTATTCTGTTACTGTATGACCATGAGGGGATTATAGAAATTCTGACATTGAAAATATCAATAACGATAACCTCCTCCTGTTTTCCGAATACCAAAATATGTAAAGTTTTATTTTGTTTTTAAATTATTTTACTCTATAATATTGAAAGTCGAATTACTTACTTACATATTTTGCTTATATCCTATTTTGACGCCCTGATATGAATATTTTATAATATTTATTATGTATTGTCTATAAATATATTTACACCATTAATGTTTGTGTTTATGTTTGCAATGAGCTTGAATGCTGCTCGTTATAAAAATATAGATAATGTTCCTAAAGATACTTTAGAAGCATGTTATATTATGTATTTATATAGCTATTTTTTATGTTGTGATGTGCAAATATAATATCATTGACAGAAAAAAATCTTTACCAATATTCAAGTTTGTATAACAAGTCTTTTATTATGGATTTATTTTCCTGTCTTTATGTTGAATTCCTATATAAGACTTCCTATGTAACTATATAGTACACGGCCTCTGGACGGAGCTTTATGAAACGTTTTATATACCTACTATAACTTTAGACACTATTTTCGTCTCCTATAAACTATATAATTAATTCTAAATTATTGATTACTCACATAAGACACTGGTGCGACACACAGATCGCTGAAATAACCGACAATACATATGCTTAACATGAAAATGTGAATAGTTTTTGAGTTGTGTCGTTAAATCGTATCGTTGTACTAAATCAGGGCGTGAGGAAGGCATTACTCGTGCGAGGTAAACAGGGGGAGGTATGAACGTACAATGGATTACGCCGGACGTTATTGATGAACTCGGTGAATCCCTTGTATGTGGAATGTGCGGCTCGGCCTCTAGCTAGTTGAGTGTTCCGAGCGGGTATTGTAGGAATGTGGCCTGGGTTCTAGATGAGCACATGCGCGCCTTGATGGTGAAGGAGCGGCCCTACAAGTGTGACCTCTGTCTGATGCGGTTCACGCAGAGCTCCAGCCTCAACCGACACAAGAAAATACACACGGGTGGGTTCTTTTCGGGTATACTCTCGCGACATCCCGGTCGAAACTGTATGTCATCATCATCATCAGTTATCCGTTTTGTCCGTCCCCTTAATGGCTCCTCAAGCCACTGAAAATCATTTGTAATGAATAGTGAGCCTTAATTGTTCTATTCCGTCAGACGAATACAGACGCGCCTAAAGCACTTCTTTACCAATACAGCGTCTGTTTTCTCCATCTCTCACTAAACTCATAAAATCTAGTTTGTGTCTGCACAGAAAATTCCCTACCAACCAAGTCCAGATGACATGCGTGACTTTATAATCCTTGAGGCAGAACGGTACTAACGAAACATTAGATAATAGCCTACCTCCCCCTGAGTGTGTGTGGATGAGTGTAGATGTTTAACACGCTAGGCATTAATCGTAAATGTTGTTTGAGAGGGTGTTGAGTTGCTATATCGAAACTCGTATAACTTATAGAGGAGCACAGACGAGCCCTGTTAGAGAAAGTGCGGCCGTACCAGTGCCACATCTGTTTTATGCGCTTCACTCAGAAGTCCAGCCTGGGCCGACATGGGAAAATACACACTGGTAGGCATTTTCCCCTAAAATCCTTATGTAGACAATCAATTTTTAATTATAGAGCTCACATTATTAGGCACTATCATCAGGCAGTGCATGGTGCAGAATCGTTGTTGTAGCTGAATTTTGTTGGTATTTCTAGAGGAGCACATCCAATCGCTGATCAACAAAGTGCGCCCCTATCAATGCGACATCTGTGACAAGCGGTTCACTCAGAAGTCCAGCCTTGGCACTCATAAACGTATACACACTGGTGGGTCCCTTGACATTTTTATTTCCATTCGGTTTCTAAGCCACAATCCTTGTTCATTTCTGTAAAAAATATCTACCTTCATTTTATTTATTTTTTGTTGTGGCTTTGACACCTATGTTTTGTGAATAGTTTTTAAGGGTTCCCAAATATCGAATGCCTCTTTTTAAATAAACTAGAAGTATGGTTAGCGATTCGGAAGTGTTTGTAAATTTGTTTCGTTACAAAGTTTTATTTTTATAAGTCGAACGCAGAATAAATTTATTTAGGATATATACACACACTCAAAAACTATTCACAAACAATTTAAGTAAGCATGTGTACGTTGTGAGGATTTTCGTTCAGTTCAAGTAGGAGAGAGAATGTTTGATGGACAAATAACACGGTTAAAATTCCTTAATGGTAGTGAGAGTTTAATATGGAATTGGTATGCGTCGATGCGTCGCTATTGTAATTATTTGTCCATCGTGGTTTTGTTTTGTTTCTCTGTCCCCCCGTGTCCGTGTGTTGGCGGCGCAGGGGAGCGGCCGTTCCAGTGCACCGTCTGCCTCAAGTCCTTCACGCAGAAGTGCGCGCTCAATTTGCACGAAAAAATACATACGGGTTAGTAGCCCACATATATTTTATTCAGCAGCATTCCTTACAAAACGACTCTATAAATAAATAACGAGTGATCACGCACTCACATTTCATTTAGCGTCATGCTTCGTTCCTATTTTTCCGTTGCCCGCCTAACCCGTTGTTTTACACTCCCACATTTCAGTAGCTTCCATCTCGTTGCTTTCGACTAACATCTCTTCTCTATCTCTTGTATATGCGCGCTTCCACGTGCTTCTGCATTCGAAGATACTCGCATTATCATTATTATAATCAGCAAGTCATTCACTCCCCCTCATTTGCGTACATAGCGATGATTTTAGTGTATCATTTTATTTTGTATTTCATCATTACTTTCATGAATAATAATTCTTTCACAAAAGCGGTAATGCAATCGCTGCAGTGACGCATAATCGGTGCCTCCATCGGCCTCGGGTCGATGTCAAAATTGGGTGTTCAAAATTGGGGTATTGTCGCCGCGTGCGGCCATTTGTGGTTTGAGATTGGCAGCGGGCGGGCGACCAAGGCCGCATGATCGCGAGCGCGGCGATTGGCATGCGTCGGCGACGTGCGTTACTCGCTTTTGTGTGTGCACTGGGCGTAGTGCAAGGGCGTCCTTTCACGTGCGGGCAATGCCCGGCGGCGTTCGCCCGCCGCCCCTACCTGGACATTCACATGCGCACGCATACAGGCGAGCGGCCCTATCAGTGCGACGCGTGTCTGAAGCGCTTCACGCAGAAGTCCAGCCTCAATATACATAAGCGGACGCACACAGGTGGGTGACAGTCGCGAGCCGGACTGGCCCTCCGCCCGCCCCCAGCCTCTCTCCACTCATACTCTGCCTCTCCTCCAAATCTATTATTCTTTGTTTATATCGTGTTCGTGTGTTATCCGTTATTCGCTACGTTACACTCGTAATCGACGATAGCGTGATCGATCGCGACCGGCATCCGACGGTCGTAGAGATATGTAAAGATTTGGAGCGGAGTTAGCGGCGAGCGGCGACCAGTCCGCGCCGCGATCTCCGTAGAGCGAGGGCGTCTAGCGTCCTTGCCGGCTGGCCGCTGCTATAATATATATGTTGGGCACCAGTCCAGGGGAGGCCGTTCCAGTGCCTGTCGTGCCCCGCCGCCTTCACCTGCAAGCAATACCTGGAGATACACACGCGCACGCACACCGGCGAGCGTCCGTATCAGTGCGACATCTGCCTGAAGCGCTTCACACAGAAATCCAGTCTCAACATTCACAAGCGGACGCACTCAGGTATGTGCCGGCGCGCGGCCGCCGCCCGTTAGGGACGTATGAACGAGTGAGAGAGAGCGCGTGCGAGGGAGAGGGCGCGTGGGCGCGGCCCCGAGGATAGCGCGCTGACCGTCGGTTTCGTCCACAGTGCAGGGCCGGCCCTTCCAGTGTCTGCAGTGCCCCGCCGCCTTCACCTGCAAGCAGTACCTCGAGATCCACAACCGCACGCACACCGGCGAGCGACCATACCAATGTGACGTCTGCCTCAAGAGATTCGCTCAAAAATCAACACTCAACATACACAAACGAACGCACACAGGTCAGTTACTTTCGTTCCTTTATTTTTGCTTTTTTCATTATTCTTCATAATAAAGCTTGTTAACCAATATGTGTGTGTTCTTTTGATTATTCAATAGATCATAAAAATATCTATATTTTATGTTGAATAAATGAACTAAAAATAAAAAATTGTTTTCGTGTTGTCGGTGCCACATTATCAGTATGCAAAACGTGAGTGCTTATGTATACTATGTCGTGTTATTGGTATTGAATTAACGGTTGGAATGGTTAGTGCAAGGGCGGCCGTATCAGTGCATGGAGTGCCCAGCGGCGTTCACTTGTAAGCCGTACCTGGAGATTCACATGCGCACGCACACGGGCGAGCGGCCCTTCGAGTGCGATGTCTGTTACAAGCGCTTCACGCAGAAATCGACGCTCAACATTCACAAGCGAATCCACACTGGTATGCGAACGCGTCAGAACTCAGAACGCATGCTGTCTGTTTTACATTGTAGGCTCTACACACGATTGAATCTGAAAAAGACAAATAGCATTCTTTACTGATTAGATAATAATAAATTAAATGACCAGAAAATATTTGATGGGCTTTCTGTGCGATCCTGTCTGAGTCATATTCGTCATGAACTTTTTAACCACTAACGACAACATTTGGAAACATCAATATTTTTTTATTAAAATAAAAAATTATGAACTGTTATCTCATTTATAAGATATTAAATGAATAAGTAAAAGAGTATAGTTTGTTCTTTTTATTATCAAATCTTATCACTTAGCAATAAAGGTCATGACACAATTAGATGGGGTCGCACATATAGTTTATTATTTGTAAAAGTCCTGAGAATATGTTTTGTCCTATGTCGATGTAAGCTTTTTATCGAGTGTTTGTTTTTTATACTTTGTGACTTTTATATTTCAATTTAACTTTAACTCATTCAATGAAATTTATATTAATTAAGTGTATTCATTTATGCTAATTGTCTTATTCGCACTAGTGGACATTGGAAACTGTATGAAGTATTCATAATAAATAGAAGATTTCAGAATAAAGAAGACGGCAAATGCGTTAAGGTATTGAAACAAAACTGTTGAAATTCAACTATATTTGCAAAGCAATGATGTGGCACCGACAACAGCATCATAACATGCCTTTATCATCAGCTGCATCATCATTACTCATTTTATTTTTAAATTATCTTTTATCTGTATGCATTCCTTTGTTTCAAATTCAATCATCATTTATTTTATTGTGAAATTATTGCAAGGGATCCCATTCAAATGGTCATCATAAGTTTTTTTTCATTACTATGTTGCATTTTGCCGTCTTTCTTACGTCTATTTTTTCTTTCACTCTTGCTTGATTCATCATAGCTATGATTTTATTACTGCACTCATAAAATTCTAATGAAATTTTGTTATTTCAATAATAACGTTCCTTTTTAGGTGAACGACCTTATGCTTGTGATATTTGTCAAAAGAGGTTTGCTGTAAAGAGCTACGTTACGGCGCACAGGTAAAACAAAACTTTCATTATATTCACATATAATTCACATTTAATTTTTACCATTAATTAATAAGGCACGTTGAAGGGTTTTGCCTTAAACGATTCAAAAGGTCCGGAATTAAATTCTTGTGTTATTTTTTTATTAAAATGACCAATATTTTTTATCAGAAGGACTTACAAGACAACAAGTTCTAGATTGTATGCCAATCATAGAAAAGAAGAAAACATTCTTGTCATTCATACATAACCGAGAAAAGAATACAAAGAAGTAAACAATAACATAATGTGGGCAAAGGCGGCCTTATCGCTTTAAGCGATTTCTTCCAGACAACCTTTACGGTAAAGGATAAATAGGGAACTTACTATTATTTATCTCCGTAGATGGTCTCACGTGGCCGATAAGCCTTTAAACTGCGACCGTTGCTCGATGACGTTCACATCAAAGTCCCAGTTCGCGCTCCACATCCGCACGCACTCGGCGGGCCCGTGCTACGAGTGCAGCGTGTGCGGACGCACCTTCGTCAGAGATAGCTATCTAATAAGGTATTGTAGCTTATATGGCATTTATTTATTTATTCTTTATTATCAAAATAGAGTAAATGGCGGACTTAATGCCATATGCATTCTCTACCAGTCAACCAGTATGGGTGTATGAGACGAATGTTTTAGCGATAGAGTGCGAGCCACTAAAGTTGGCATTGGTGTCGATTCTGGCATGATTCTCTAAACATAAAACTAAATTTAACCTCAGTCTCTATAGATACTCTATCCCTCTCATGTAGCGAATGACAAGAATAAACTTTTGCCAAATTTTATTTTAGGTTGAGAGAATCTTACCAGTATATACCTACTCGTTAAAAAAGTCTAAGCAACATAAACTTTTGACCGATTTTAAATATTTTCATTATGTACTTATATTCTTTTTTTAATAATAATTTTATTTGTTAGTGACTAAAGCAAAAGAAAACCTTCTAACAAATTATACATTTCACGATAGTATAAAAATATCTATTGATAAAACTTGCAGTTTTTGAAGTTATACTTCTTTAGACGCGTTATGAAAAAATTATGACAGTGAAATTTTAAGATGCGCGCGCATCAGTGTAACACAAAAATTAACTTTTGTGTTTACCGCACATTAAGAAAATCTACCAACAAAATAGAAATAGAATCTCTATTTAGTGGGTGCTAACGACTGCATTGTGAAGGCCTATCAAAAGTATTTATTAATCTGGAACAACGGAACCAAAGCGCGATTCAGGAGACTACAGCGCCATCTCTTGACCATTGGTGTAGTAGAACCAAAAACCACATCTTTATTTTTTGTAATAAAGTAACAGTTATAGGTATTCATATTTATAATATTTATCCACATGTTTCTAGTTTGTATATTCGGAATACGTGTTTGAGTTTCATACAAGTGCAAATCACATATGTTCTAATAAATTTTATTCAGTAGCGATTTTAATTGAATATTTTGATTATTTATTTATTTTTTCAAATTAAAACTGAACTTTATTGACTGTGTCCTTTTCCAGACTTTTTATTAATTTATTGTAATTAATTATTTGCATGCAATTAAAAACTAATTTTAAACGATGCCAAAGAAGGATAACTTCTCACGCGCCTACATAAGTACACGCACCCATTTTTTGCGTAAATAATGCATGTTGCTTAGACTTTTGAATGTGTTAAGTTTGAAAAAGAATGTGTTCATTATTAGTTGCCAACTTCAATAAGTCTTTACGAAGTTGAGGACGAAGAAATGCATGGCTAGCTTTTCGAAGAATCCGCCGTAAAGTTGTTCACATATCCTATGATTAGTCATTGTGAAAGTTTCTTAACTTCAACAATTGCAGACATAATTCCCAGACAGGGGCACAGTTACTTTCTCATTTATTTATATATTAATAATATAGTAGATTTAAGCTAATATTGTACATATTCTATGTTCATGCCAAATTTCTTCTTTGTTGCCACTTGATTAACGACATATAAAAAAATTATCACAGGCATCACAACCGCGTGCACCGCGAAAACCACAGCAACGTGTCAGCGAACAGCATCGGCACCATTAACAGCGTCGCCACCAACGCCAACAACTCCAACAATGGCAACTACGACTCTCCCGGCGTTTGCGACTTGAGGTTTGTGTCCATTAACGACCTTATAACCATTGACATAGGCACCGCAACCGCGTGCATCGTTAGAATCATAACAAATCGTCTGCGAACAGCATCGGCACCATCAACAGCGTCGCCACCAACGCCAACAACTCCAACAATGGCAACTACGATTTGCCCGGCGTTTGCGACTTGAGGTTTGTGTCCATTAACGACCTTTTAACCGTTGTCATAGGCACCGCAATCGCGTGCACCGTGGGAATCATAGCAACGTGTCTGCGAACAGCATCGGCACAGACCATAGTGCCCTTTAAGAAATTTACAGCTAGATATCATAACAAAGTAAACCGAAACTGTGTGCATCAGTTTTCATAATATAATCTGACCTATATTATGATCCGGCTGTGCTTATCAAAAAGTGTATGTACGCCCGGCTTCTGCGACTTAAGGTTTATATCCACCAACGACCCAACAACAACAACAACAAAACCGTTGGCAACCCATCTCCAACAACGGCAACTACGACTCGTCCGGCGTCTGCGAATTTAGGTTTGTGCCGCATAGAATAGACAGAATGGACTGAGCAATTCTTATGGCCTGCTGTCAAATTAATTTAAACGCCAACTATAGTGCGACTTCTTTTTGGCGGTTGAGAAGTTGGCAGCGAGCGCAACTATGCGCAGGTTTCAGTTCAGTTAAAGCACGCGAGGACTTACTTTAACATACATTTCCTATGTGAGTTACGCTAACTTTAGAGTGACAAATATGGTTGTTACTCACTACTGCCGCTTGATCAAACCAAAATCTTTCAGTCAAGTGGCATGTCATTCCAATATGTCTCTCCACACACGGTAAGTTTGGCTTGATCAAGCGGCATGATTGTGAGTGGCCACCATTAAGTTTGAACCGTCGTACTTCGTACGACTTCTCTCTTTTTTTAGCTTAAATTGAAATATTTTTTCTTGAATATTGGATATTTTTTCTATATCATTGTTTGTGTATAATAATGGACATGCATTACGTAATTTATGTAAAAATAAAATGATATTTCTAGGAAGCGTTATGGGATTATTTTTGTTTACGATACTTAAGCAAGGTGCATTTGCTTAGGCGCCGATTTATTTTGTACATATCTTTATGGAGTTATAAAGATTGATTTGATTGATGATTGCAAAAAACACTTGAACTTAATTTCGGCCATATGGCCGACGATGGTATGGGCTAGGTCACAGGCTGGCTTAGGCTTTAGTTCAGATATAATCCCGCGGATGTTAGCTTCACACCACCGGCCACTCGGCCAAGTGCATGAACTAAATGTCTCAAATATCGGTTCCTCTCATACTGAGCAATATTACTATCGCAACGAGCCATCAGTTGGGTAAAACTAACCTGTCTCACGACTCTTAACTAAGTGAGCTCGTGATAGTAAATTTTTGGTCACCAATCCAATGACCGACCGCTGCGAAAGTTGCTTAACTTCAACAATCGCAGCAGAACGCGCAAACCACTTGTGCCATCAAGTTCCTCCTTAACTAAGTACTTGTTCTGAAATATGCAGCAATAAATAATTAAATTCATTGCTACTAGCAAAATATGGACATGGTCTGAAATAAATTATTATTAATAAAGTACACTTAGAGTTAAGTTTTAGCTGTAACTTTTGTTGTTATGATTTTGTGAAACATAAAACTTTAATTGAATTTGCAGCTTTGTCCCAATGGTGAATCGCTACATGACGTCACAGGGTACGCAAGTTTCAATGCAAGATACACAGAGCAAAATGTCAGCCCTGTCGCCGCAATCTATAGCGTCAATATGTAAGTGTATAACAAATGTTTTATTCGTTAAATTTATCTTAATAACAACTAGCTGTAAGTATTTGAGAAAATAATGTATAGTGAGTCAACTTTAAAATATGCAACAATTCCTTCATGCATGATTTTTATGTAACTAACCGTTTACGCAGCGCACGCAACCAAAGCTCTTAATTTTCCCGTTTTTGTTTCTATTGGTCGAAGCGTAATTTTATATAGCCTTTCTCAATAAATGGACAATCCAGCACAGAATTTTTCAAATCAAACTTGTATTAGCGATTAACGTCAACCAAACGATCAGTCGAACTCTTCAGCTTTATAATCAAATCAAATAAGTTTATTGGTTATAACATGCAGTGAATACATAGACATACAATTTTTATATAACCAAAGTAGTCGCTACTCAGTAAACGCTGCAACATTAGGTCACAGCCCTGATCTTCCGTAGCGCCAGTATGCGTCAGTGACACTAGTAGACTTAAAAACGCATCCTTTTCAGGCTGCGTCGTCAGAATTGTGTCGAAACGACGCAGCTTGAAAAGGATGCGCAACGTCAAAAAAAGTAATAAATTATTATCGTACTTAACCTATAAATTAAAACAAAAAGGGAAGATACGGCACTCGCGGCTCAAAAGTGATCTGCTTAAATTGTGGTGCATGACACTAATTCCCTTTAGTCACAATTGGACATTCAATTGTGGCTGCATGTGCACTCAATATAACATTGCGTATGTTCTCTGTTATAAGGATAAAACAATGCCTTCGATGCTTTTATGAAGAACACAAATAGTTCAAAATCAAATAATAAATGCCTCGGCAACACTTTTCATTCGTAAAACTGTAAAAACACGCTTTGTCGTGTATGTTATTTACGTAATCGCCATTTTGTTATCAAGAAAAGGAAAACAATACAGCTCAACCGTACGAACTCTGAAGCGGATTTGCCGTTTAGCTCACGCTGCGTTGAAGCATACAGTTCTGTCTCGCTCTCTCGATTGAATGTTTATATACAGACGTGTGCGTGTGAGAGTTGCTTATGTAGTTGAGTCGGATCATATTTTGTTTGATAGTATGAGCGTACCGTATCTTCCCTTTTTGTTTTAATCTAAGACTTAACCCGTTTAGACATACAAAATTATTATAACCAAAAAAACGGTCGCTACTTAGTAAACGCTGCAACATAAGGTCACAGCACTGATCTTCCGTAGCGCCAGTATGCGTCAGTGACACTAGGAGCCTTACCTTTTTTTTTATATAAATAATACACAAGGATTAATTTTACCAGAAAACAAAAAAATATCCATACGGTCCAGTTTTCAGACAGGACTCGAACCTGCACCTTCTGCAATCCGGGCTTGATAATAAGCGTAGATTGAAAGTTAAATGTTTTGTTAACAGCTTCACCTCCTCCCCCGCACACGCCTACCCCGCAGCCCATGTCTGGTCAAATGCATCTAGGAGACTGATCGCCAAGAAAGGTATGTAGCTAGCAAAATAATCTATAATAGGGTGTTTGACAAGTTTTAGAAAATGATCTCAAGTTATTAATTGTTTAACATTAGTATGTTTATGGAGTCCATAAAAAGTGCATGTTTTTAATTCTGTTGTGTAATTCAGTAAAAAACGAAAATAAAAATTCAATTTTCAAGTTCCCGCGAAAACGTTTCTTTGGAAGGTATAGCGTCTCGCTAGTGTGTGACGTCACACGACTGTCATTAAAACGTCAAACGATACAATGGTGTCGATTTTGGCATGATTCTCTAAACTTAAAACTGAAGTTAACATCAGCCTCTCCTTTTCATTCTGTATAGAGAATGACAAGGATACACTGTTGTCAAATTTAAGTTTACCTTTAGAGAATCCTGTCAGAATCGACACCAATGTAATGTCACTTTGGCTGGAAGTATACTAGCGTGTGACGTCACTTTAGCCTTGGCCAATCCCAGGCGCTTTTTCGTTCACGTGACCATGGAGCAAAAAATCTGTTCTATTTAATGATTTTAAAAGTTATTAATTTGTTTTTCTTACGGAATAGTAAAATTGCTTTTAATATCCATATTAAATACAGATGCCAACAATTGGTACATTATTTTTTGTTCTGTTAAATTGCCTATTATGTAGTCTTTAGATTCGTGATAAAAAAATCTAAATAAGTACTTGTAAATATTTCATTCAGTGGAACTTGTACAAAAACTGTCAATTGTCGACAAAATATAGTATAGAATGAAATATTTACAAGTACTTACATAGTTTTTTTTATTTACATATCTATCTATTCCATTATAAAAAAAAATCATATTACAATAAAAAAACTGACTTTTGAAGTGGGTTAAAAAAACTAGAGCCTCAGTGCTAATTAATGTATTTGGCCGTATACAGAAAGAAAGCTGGAAGCCGACCAGCGCTTGTCGTTGCTGGTCCTTACTGGTAACAGTTACATAAAGGAAGCAGATTGAAGCGTAGTTGTTCATTAATTTCAAAGGACGATGCCAGCGCTGACTAGCGCGTGTCGAAGATTGTCGGCGACGTTCGGCGCTTATCGGCGCTGGTCCATAGAAATGTCTGTGCCGGTTATCTGCGCGAACCGGTTCCTATAAGCGCTTGTAGGCTACCAGCTTTCTTTCTGTATATGGCCTCTGTGTTTTACAAATCTCATTAGGATTATTCCATTCCAGCTCTCGGTTGACAAAGGACCAGAGTGCAATATTTGGAGAGTGGCAGCCATTAACTGGAGCAGCTATGATCACAAAAGGAACGAGGAGACAGGTTCTCCCGATTAATTAGGTTTCAGCATGGACTCATGCAACATGTTTGTTTATGTTATTGCGTTTATCCAGTGTAGTAGTTCGGAAGCGACGCGGCGCGGGAAGTCGCGTCCCGCTCCGAGGGCGAGAGTGGCAGAAGATGGAATTACGTTAGCTTGTGGAATCCCTCGATAACACCAAGTGGACATCACAGAGATGAAGACGTAGTGAGTAGTCACGTAGCGGTACCGCCTATGATATGATATGCATTGTGATTTATAACCACAAAACTGTGATTTATCTATACCATCACATTAATCTATTCGTTCTAGTGGTGGCGTTCATAAATCAATACTTAAAAAAAACTCTCATCATTTTAGATGTAGGCCTAAAAATTTGATCTCATATTCTAATTTGCTTAGTGTGATAAAATTTTGGAATCGTAAATGGTAAATCTCCAACTTTGAAATTCTAAATTTAATGTTCGTCGTTAGCTTATCATCATACCCACTCTCATTAGTTGTAGTGAAATGTAACAATATCTTATTGCGATGCTTTAACTTAGATTGTCAATGTATAAAGAGGAGTTCAATAATTTTATAGAATTGTTACCAATGAGAGGTAAATTATGATCGCTGAGAAACTTAAAAGGACTCTACATGATACTCCGTGTAATTAATCCATAAGAATGCTTTAATAAAGTCTCAAGTTCATACGAAGTAATAATAATACATAAGTACAAAGTAAATAAACCATATACTTTCAGAGTCCTCAGAGGCAATATTGAAAGCTTCACAAAAATTGATGTCTTATATGATGTTTATTGGAGAAATCCAGAGAAGTGCCTGTTGCAACATAAAATTGGCAATATTTTTTAATCGTATTACGTTCATGTGAGGTTACGTTCAGTGTGTGAGTCATCGGCCGAGTCTCTTCGAGTGTTAGGGTCAGTACATATCTAACGGAAAATGCGTCGAGCGTATCATCGTGGTATGATCGACGCACTAACGCATCGGTTGGGTGTGAAAGGTTGAATGTTTTATTGTATGTTTGCCTATTCTGGCGTTACGCGACTGATAAAATTCGACATATTTTCGGTCAGATATGTACAGACCCTTAGGCGCTGCGGTCACGCCGTTCATTGTGATCGCGCCCGGCGCCCGTGTAGCCAGAGCGTATAATGATTTGTGAAGCTTCTTACTAAACTTTGTGTGCCTTCTAGCGGATAGCGACATTAGGCAATATCGATCATAACACCATGATGAATTAAAAAAAAACGTTATTTTTTCTAATTTCCATAATGGATGTTCATAATTAAGTATTCTCATACATATAAAGCATCATATACAGCATATTTTGATTACCGTTAGTATAATGCAGTTTTCATGTTACCGTGTATGAGGTAAAGTGCGAACTGTTTGTTTCCATTACTGTTTCGAATAATAGTAATTATGAATAGTATATAGAGCAGTAGTCTTCCAATACCTTGAGACAGAGTTGTGCACTGTAGAGTGCAGCTGATGCGTCCGCTGCGGGGGTTCCTTATGGTTTGCCATTATTGATATCAAAGATAGATTGGTGCCATTTCTATGTAAATGATGTGGTAGAGTAAGTTTAGTTAAGTCTGCCGGTCAGGGTAGTACTGGAAATAAAATATTGTAAGAGAACTTATCCTCGATTTATACTTTATTTACATTGAACAATTTGAAACATTTTATTTCTTTTTTTTTTGTATTATTATTATACATATTTCTATATTTACTGTTATTTTTAATACGAATACATTATTTTATTTCCATATTGTGTGTGTCCATGTGCTGGGTCAAAAATTGTAAATATTGATAGGATTTATTTATTCAAGTATATCGAAAAGTAAAAACAATTCAGAATTTAAAAAGTGAATGTATGATTAGTAGATTATAAAAATTACGCTCTACAATCATAGAAATAAAATATCGAACTGAGAAGAATAATAAATTGGAATTAATGTTAGAATATTTAGCACAGAACTATACTTTGGGTACTATGTACTATAAAATCAAAATTTTCCTTGTAGGTGTACATAAGTATACATAATAATATATACATATTAATGTTGTTTGATAGTCCTCAATATTTTTTTATATTTTGATAGTTCTGTATTTGAAAGAAACTCAAGAAAAATAGGCCAACGTCTCATTTATCATTTTAAAGTAATGATTAAATCTATGTACACAATATTTTAAGATAAAGTAATTGATGCATTTAGGTGCCCAGAAACGTTAGGGATTACATCTTCTCTTTTTATTTTATTTTTTTCAAATTAATGTGTTAGTAAGTTTCTTACCAAGCCATTGATAACAGTATTATTTAGACAAACTAGGACTTGGGTTTAAAGAGTAGTATAAATCCTCAGATACCATTTTATTAAACGTCGACAGAAAATTTTGAAACATAGTTTATCAGCAGTGTGTGCGACATGAACCAGTATAAATATTGCTGGTGATATTGAATGTTGCTGCCGCTAATTTTATCCATAGATTTATAAATGGAAATAGGAACACCAACATAGTATACTAGATACATATTATATTGCCTCTATTTCTCGATAGCTCGGCGGAGATGATTTGTTTCTTTATAAATTGTAGAATTAGTAATATATTTTCGTTATTATATTTGTTTATTACAATTATAATTGTTTATCCTTGATTATTATGATTGACCTATCGTTGTTTCAGCTACGTCGAGCTTATGGAGAAGTAGACTGTAGATCCTTATTGTTTACGAGATTGTTCATGTGTTACCCGTCAATCATATATTACAAATAATGTATTAAAATGTACACGTAGGGTTGTCAGAACACATATTTCGTAAATAGTGAGGCTCCACAATGATGCATTGAAAGGGCACAGATGTATTACTGTCCATTCGTGAACTAATACCAAGTATCGGGCGTGTACACATCGCGTGTCCTCAATGTCCCAGCTATTTTACATACCGATGTTAGTTACTATATTTAGAATGTAATATTGAGCCATTTCAATTTACGTAATCGCTGTGTGGTATGTTTTGGTATTCTCTCTTGTTCTACTTAATTTTCAACCGTAGAAAAGACTGAATTACTTTAAAAGAATTCACGTTAAATTAAGAATACTCACCGGAACTATTGGCAATGTTAGGTTCGTTTGTTGATTTCGTTGTTTATATATCGAAGGGGTTGTGGTGTAGGACCAACCAGTTTCTTTGTAGGTCTCGAAATTTTGTTGAAGAGAAATCGTACATATCCTTACCCGTGAAAAAATGTATACTACTTCCCTTGTCGAAATGTGCTAGTCGAGGCGACCGAGCGCCGCTGACCAGTTACACTTGATTGTGGTAGTGTTATGAGCAAATACAGTGAGCCTTGTGTAATCATTATCTCTAAGGTACATACATATTTAGTTATATTGTATCGTTAGATTTACGCGAACTTCCGCTTTGCCAACATATTGCGTTGCTTACATTATAATCATACGAGAGTACAGCCTAAGGATTTTAACTTTTTTTTTTATATACTGAGAGCTATTTCTAAGTCACTGATTTTGTACGATTTGTATATTCTAACCAAATTATATTAAACGGCTGTAAGCCCTATGATTAACCAAAAATTTTTGGAGTTATTTACATCCCATTAATTGCTAATTTTTTATTAAAATCAATAAGCAAACATCATGGCATGATGATTATTGATACGGTCATTTAGTTATAGCTCATCAGAGTTTTTAATGACCAATATTTTAACTAAACTGTTTTCCTTTAATTGTTAAAATTTTTAGGCTAGTTTATAATATTTTAAATAAGTTAGATTTGTTAATTGTGGTGTATTACATTGCACGTGAATATAGCTCTTACAGCCTTAACATTATTATGTTATGTAATGACTGGATTGTGATAAAAATATTAGAACTATATTGGTTTGTTTCTCTAATAATAAAATCTTATTGTTTGTTGTTATTTTTGGTTAAGTGCACTACAGAAAATGCAAGGGGATGCAACGTTTAGGCAGGGCTGTAAGAGCATAATGTAGTCAGCATTATGTATATGCTTTAATGTGATTTTTTAAATGTACTCTTTATTATATAGTCTCATCAATCAATATTATTAGCGAACTAACAAATCGTTTTAATTTTTTATTCAGTTCATAGTGATTTATATTGAGATTGAGAAAAATAAATACAGAGTTTATTTAATTTTATGGAAAAAATATACATTGTAAAATTATTCTTTAGTGCTCATTTGCAGAGCTCTATCAAAAAAGAACTATACGAATGCAAATTAACAAGTCACGATTCTTTTAGAAGTCGCCATGTAGTGGAGAAAAATAAACGTGCCATGATATTTGTGGCTACTCATTTGTTTATTTTACTACTACTCCCCTTAATTTGAAATAGTATTCGTCAAAAAGTCCAAGTAACATGTACGATTTTGAACATTTGAATGATCCATAACACAATCGGAAAGTGTTTTTTTTAAATCGGTCAATTATATTTTCGAAAAAAAAAATTGTGAATACCTATCATACAGTTTCTGTAAATGATCCGTGTTGCTTAGACTTATTTTATGTGTGTGAACACCAACAGAAATAAAACAAATTGAATAGGGAATGTGCATGTATTTTCTTATATTTTTAATTTGTAGTTTATGTCCTCTATAGTAACTGTCGTATACAAAAATCAACGTCGGAAAAATAGTAGTTTAAAAAATTGTTAAAAATAGCCACTTTGTACGAACAGTTTAAACACGCGCTATTTTGGAACGCTGGGATGTGACGTCACGGTACATTAAACCTACAAAAAAGATCAATGACCTTACAAGATACTGACATTGTGCGTTCCATACCTTCACTACGGATGTAAGTTGGAACCTACGTCAATAATCAAATAGACATTGTTTCATACATTTTTGGTAAAAAATTTAATATCTGAAAAGTTGCACTCCGTGTCTAGGTGAAACTCGGCTTTGACATCTACGAACGCACTTTAATCTCGTTGATATCCTGTGAATATCACTCATAGACATAGTATTGTCTATGATATCACGTTTGTTTGTTGTTAGGTGTATATTTCTACGTCCCAGCCGCTCTCCTCGCGTTTTAAATATTTGATGTTCCCACAAATTTTTCGCACTTTTATATCATTAGCTCGAAAAGAAGTTTTACTAACAAATAGTTGTGCAGTTGTACCTCCATCAAGGAGGGAAAACTTAAAAGTCATCGTTTAAATAAAAATAAAATGCCGCCTATTTGAATTATATGCATATTCCCTATTGAAAGTATCAATGGGCGTTTGTGGAAACGTGAGATTTTTTACAAAACCGCTGATGGATAGGTAAGTTCTTGTATAATTTTATCGGGATGTTCATGGTCATCAAGACCAAGATGTGAAGTTAAGTCAGAATTGAATTAGTATGTGAATTTTATTATACCAACGCCAAAAGCCGTACAAAGTCTTAATGTACGGATCGTTTGACAACAAAGGAAAAAATGCAACTAGCAACATTTTTTATTCTAGCGAAGATAATTGGGTCGGGAGAAGTTCGGCTACTTCTTTTTCGTTTATAAATGCAGAATAAATCAATTTCCTCTCTTTCAAAAGCTTAACATACAAACTAAATACAAGACAAAAAATGGTCGCGCATTCTTGTATGTTAAACTATTTACATAAAGTTCATAATGCCATGTTGCAAAAATTCGCTTCCATGCGGCGGCTTAAATTGAGCCTTATGGTGAAAAAGACCGCGTTTTGACTACTTGTTCCCGTAAACCGAGTAAGTATTATTATTAAATTAAACAACAGAAATAAAATTAAAATATACACAATTTTATTATTCTAATGCAATGCAATCTACGACTATTTCTTTGACAACGTTTGTACCTATCACCTGCCGTGGCTATGGTGTTATCTGGGCTTTTGTAATACCTATTACTCGCGTGATGTTACTTCAAGTATTCTCCGCTCATTTCTTAGTATTCGTTAGTGTTGTTCTCATTAGCAATCGACGACTATTTCTTCTTTGACAACGTCCGCGTCACCGACTGGGGCGAGGGTGTTATCCGTAATAGGTACTGGGCTCATGTAATATCTATTTCTCGCGTGATGTTCTTTCAAGTATTTTCCGTCCATTTCTTAGTATTCCTTCGTTTTATTCTTATTAACAATCAATGACTATTTCTTCTTTAACAACGTTCGCGTCACCTGCCGGGGCTAAGGTGTTATCCGTAATAGGTGCTGGGCTCTTATAATACCTATTACTCGCGTGATGTTCCTTTAAGTATTCTCCGCCCATTTCATAATATTCCTCTTTAGTTATGCACCAGTTTTCGAATTCGTTGCTGCCGGCGAAGTCGCGTGCCCCGTACCAAGCATCGAGGCTGGCGTTCTTCGCCATTACCACCCTGTGGGTAGTTTGAAACGGACGCATTTCGAGTAGTTCTCTTTCTAGTCTCTCCTTCAAACCTTTAATTAAAAAATATATTTATGTAAATTACCTAATAAGACTGAATTGTGCACTTCGGTTAGATGAGGGTGTCAATTCTGGCATGATCCTCTAAACTAAAAAAAATACTATTTGAACATATTACACTATTATAACATGTTATACCTCATTCGATACTATAGTCATCCTATAAAAAAAAGTTGATTCCATTAATAAAAAATTCTTATAAAAAATTTTGAATTATTAAAAACTATAAAAATCAATAAATATGTAAAAAAATGTCAATGTAATTAAATCTAAAATTCAATATCATTAATTTAATATGAATAAGGTACATTTCAATTACAATACTTACAATAAAACTATAAAATATGTCGATGAAATCTAAAACTGAAATTAAATTTGATAACAGTGTATCCTTGTCATGCTCTGTACGAAATGAAAAGGAGAGACTGTTGTCAAAATTAGGTTAAAGTTTAAGAGAATCATGTCAGATTGATTTATTAAGATAACAAATAGTTTATATAAGCAAACATTGTTTACCTGGAAACTGTGAACAACCACCCGTCACAAATACATTATTAGCAAGCAGTAGTTGTTCTTCTGGGTTAAAATGTTTGAACACATACTCCATCGTCTCTGCCAGACCAGCTTCTAGATTGCCCATCATTGACGGCTGAAACATTAATTCTGGTGCTCTGAAAACAAAATGGTAAAATCATGTAATAGACTTTTGCAAAGGGCCTTAAAATAGTAAAAGTAGTTGCCTTCAAAGTAAATATTACAATAAAGGAGATTGCTCAAATTGGCCTAAATGCACAAAAAATATTGACATACACGGTAATTCTTGGAGTAATTTATAATTTAATTTACAGTCATTAGATTTCAACGGACACCTTTGTATAATATATTTACTTTAAAAAGGACTTTTAATTTTACCGGTTTAGAAACCATACGAATCATTTTTAATGGCTATGGGTGTAGTAACATTCAGCCAAAGACTTATCGAAGTTGTTTATATAACATACAAACAAATCTATTTTGTAGAGATGGATAAAATAAATTATTTTTTTATTACACTGTGGTATTAATATCCACAACTATATTATTATTTTCACTAGATGCAAATGTGCTCAGACAATTATTATAGATGGTAGGCGACATCATAAAGTCTATTGCCATACATTTTTCGCCAAACACCTCCCTAAACACATTATAATATGTTTAAATGTTAGACTTTAAGGTATCTATCTATGGGCCTACGTTCCCTGACTATAAATTAATAAATAAATAAAATTATAAGATGTGATACACTAAAAATCTAAAATATGGTTATCTTAAAAACATAACAAAAATAATGAAGCTACTGAATATATGGCTATAGAACCTAAATCTCTTAGCTTAATTTGGTTAACGAGAATTTAAAAATTCTCTCTAATCTGTGGCTCATTCACAATCATCACACAGTTTCTGTCACAGAGTACCTAATTATAACCGGAAATGATACCCGATTTTAAAAGTTACTCTTATGCATTAACTTTAAAAACAGGCAACTATCTGTTGATCTACATGCTCTATATACCTGAATCTAATCCATAATTTCGGTACTTGGCTTGATTTCCCTATTTTACTATATAACTTATTTGTTTTTTTATTATTTTAATATGTTCAGTGTATATGGTTTATAGAAGTTCTCAGGGGTGTCCGTCAATAATATTCGTTTCTACAGTAATTTATATATAATTTCGAATCTAGGAAACAATTTTTCATGATTATTGGTCTTTAGGCCAAACATGTATGGAAGCTGAGCAATCTCCTTTGGCAAAATTAGAATTAAAATAACTCATGATGCGAGAGCACTTTGTTATACATGTATTTTTGGCGATTATAAAGCGTTATTTTAGTAGGTATAGGTTGCGGTAAATTTCTTGAGCAAAACCACAAACAAATAAATATGCCCAGTGCACGTTTTTTGTATATAAAATCGCCACTGCGCAGGCTTCCTTGTCTATGGTCGTTATTCAAGAAGTTTGCCGGGACGTACACATAGAGGTATAAGAATAGAGTGGGGAAGGCGGCTCTAAAAGTGTCCGTCTAGTAGAAAGAGAATGAAGATGAGAGACCGCTAGCTATCTCTCTCTCTTGTGACGCATGCGCAGTCGTCTGTCCAATAGTTGGTCCAAGCATCACATCGAAATAGTAAGATGCTTACGGTTGACAATGCGCATGCGCGATAAGAGAGAGCAAAACTAGCGGTCTCTCATCTTCTTTCTTTTTCTATTAGAAGGACACTTCCACTTGTGGTAGAGTCTATATAACAAAACTAGAAAGAAACTCAATTATGTAGATGAAATTAAAATACTGTAGGCGGGCGGCCCTACCGCGTGCTAACGCAGCGCTCGGCCGTAGGCATTTATTTCAAGGACAGGGCGGAGTCACAATAATGTATAGATAATATTACCGTGGCTCGACCGTTGTTGTCGTGCCAGCGTCTGTGCAACGATGACGAGAAGTCGACGCCTCGGGGCGAGGCGGTGCTTGTCGCATACAATTAGTGTGAAAATGGATTACGACGTTCTTCGTTATAATCCATCTGACACTGCTGTTGACATTACTGATAAACCGAAAATTACGTGAACAAAAAAAGGAAACATCATCAATATTTTGATGTTCCTCTGCGGACTTTCCCAAGTTCGGAAAGCGATAATTTCGTATTTTATTGTAAACATATGTGATAACAAACACTTTAATGATTATTTACGGATGCCAAAAGGAACATTTGACGAACTTTTACAATTCATTTAACTTAATATAAAATATCCAAGACATTCATTTTAATAAATGCGTAATCCCGGCGGTCCTGGTCAGCGTTGGTACGACGATGACGCTCGAAAGACGCTAGCATGAAGAAGGGTCTCTTAAAACACTTGTAAATTCTCGGGAGTATATTTACGCCCATTAAAATTATAATAATTATAATCATATTATATATACATAAGTAATGACTTAACTTTCCAAAATGGAGCGTCAATAGATAAAACATCTTCCAATGTACAGCGAAACTGAAGAAGGGGCAATGACTTCAGTTGCCACCGGCGGCAACTAGGATTTTTTATTCCCATTTGCCTCCGGTGGCAATCCCCGCGGGGGGCGACTGGGAAGAATTACAAATACGAAAAGTCATGGAGTTACAGAAGCGTTAATGCCGAAAACAGAGCATATTCGAATTGAAAAGCACTTTGACATTCGTGTGTAATCACAGAGGGTGCTCTGTACGCTTAATAGGCTTGTGTCAACTAACAATAAATCGAATGGGTTACAGTTTCTAAATATGAATTATGATATACAGATAACAAAAAATAAAGCTATATATCATAATAATAAAGATTATTATTATTTTTAGAAAATAAATTCGAATAAAATAGGCATTAGATCACGTGACGGCAAACACCAATCAGAAAGACTGACGTCACCACGTGCAAAACATTACTTGTGGTTGCCGTTTCCATACATTTCATTGATATCTCATTCATGTTATTGTTACTTTGATACAATTATCAGTTTGTTTTCAGATAAGTATTGAAAGGAAGCCTAATAAATCCATGGAATTGGGATTTACCGAAGCAAATAATAATATTTTAACCAAAATAAAAAATTAATCACATAACTACTCGACATAATTAAGCATATCATTTGGCAACTAGAACAAGAATAAGAAGTGTTTATTATGAATAAATATACTGAACTCTCAAATAGACTCTAAATCATACCATAAAATTAAATCAGCTTACTTAACCTCAACCTATTGTCATTGTTTTATCAATATAATGCACTCAGACCAACAAAAAAAGAGCAATATAATTTATCCGGCTTGTATAACATTTTGATTTCATTGATTATGTTATGCAAAATACTTACATCAAAATGTTCATCACAAAATTATTCTTGTATTTGTTGATAAACAATGAATAGGTACCATCCCTCCTTGCAAGTTCTAACCATTTTTTCCGCATTTGTGGCATATAAATAATTTGTCTGGCGTTTTATGCTTCTCCTTTTATACTAGGACACTATACAGTACTTGTAATACGATGGATTCATTTTTAACTAAATAATTTTAATAGTCGGCGTACAGCGTATTGTTTGCTTTGCACGGCGTGACGTCATTCTAGACGCCATGACAGTCTAGAGCGTTTTCGAGGGAAATTTGAATAAGTTTTTTAAAATACAAAATACATATTGCTAATGTACTTTTTTATTTAAAATAATATTTTTTTGGGGTTAAATAAACATCAAGGTATATTATTAACCACTTTTTAAAATATAGGCAACTAGCCTATTGTCTTTGCAAAACGTTGATCCGCTTCTCGACCCTATAACCGAATATTAGGATTCTCTCTCCAAAGTAAATCCTGGATCGCTGTATTCCACGGGGCAGTTTTGTGCGGCTTTTTGTTCAGGTTCGTCTGAGCCCAAGCACGCCTTTGTAGCTCTATGGGGGAGTGAGGGAATTGTCGGGGGGGGGGGGGGGGGGGTCGAAGAACCCCTCGATGTAACTCGTGACATAACGTCACACTTATTCGTGCATGCAACCGGTGTTCATCAATTTCTGAGACATTATCACGTCAAAAGAAGAGAGACAACATTAGGTGTAAACCAAGACTGACTTTGGTCAACGTTATGGAATAAGGTGGTCATTCTCGTAATACACAATCAACAATTATCAGTGTTATGTTATAGTCATAATTTTATATCATTTACATTTGTAATGGAAAGTGGCTTCATGTTTTATTTCATGTCGAAGTCATTTTTCAATTTGACGACTGTATACAATACAGGGAGAAAAAAACAGCCCTTGCTGAGTGTCTTGCCGGTTCTTCTCAGTATAAGGTCTCCCGCCGTAGATTTGCGAACCGATGGCGTAGCTTTTCAACATTCACAAGTGCTTGTAACAGCCTAGACTGAATAAACTATATTGAATTTTGTTTTTTTTTTTTTTACATTTTGAGCAAAACACATACAGTCAATGGCAGTTGCAATTTAACTACAGTAGAACGCCGAATATCCGAATTAATAGGGACCGGAGTCGATTCGTATAACACAGGTCTACAACAAAAATGCTGTCTGGATGTTTTCAACTGATTAATATGTATTTAGGTGATCTGAATACTAAAAAAAACCAGAACGTCAGGTTATTTTGCAAAACGCAAAAAATACTATAAAAATAGCATTTTGGGCTGAACTAAAAGGATTAAAACGTGGAGCTAAAAAGTTATTATGACTGATTTTTTAATGTACACTGGCCATAACTAACACTAATTTCTAAATAAAGAACGCTCTGTGTGAGTTAAACTAACATAACTCATATATTTTATATTGTAACCTGAAAGTGCGCGCTCCAATACTATAGAAAGTTACGGGGTTGATTGTTAAGATATTAGATGGCTTATGGCTGATCCACAAATCATCAAAACCATGACGGATTCCAAAGAGAAGGATGGATTGGCTTTAAAGAGACCATAGAGAAATTATTCGGCAGTAAAAAAGACCCCAACTAATACAAGTAATCGTCCAAAAAATATTAAAAGCATTTTAAGCTTTATGCTGCATAATAAGTTTTAAAGAATATTTTCTTTTCATTCCCACCTCGACTAGTTTCCAGAAAATGTAGGAAATGTAATTGAAGGACAAGGTGAACCTTTTCACCGAGATGTTTAGGAGATAAATGGATACCATGGATGATGGAGCGTCTCAATGATAGCAGATTGCTGTTAAACGCTTCAGAGAGACCTTCCAGATGCTTCCTACAAGCAAAAATGTACCAAAAATAGTCTCACTGGGAAAAAGAAATGTGTGTAGTGCTTACTAATGAATGTAGTTTAGAAAAAAAAAGTTTAGTTACGTAGGTAATTAAAATAAAAAAATATATAGTCTTTTCAATTTTATTTAAAGATGATAACTTGTTTAAAGTAGATCATATATTGTCAGAAAACGTGACGTTCTACGACAAAATGAAGTCATTTTCGGATTCAGCACACCCAGAAACATAAGAATTACGCAAAAAAACCAAAACAGCTTTCAATTATTATTTTTTTGCAGACTTGTGTAATCGGACATAGACTCGTAATAAAGAAATTGTCACACAGAATAAACCTTATTACGTTTAATAAACACACTTCTACAATACCAAAGAAAAAACATGTGGTGTCTTGCCTCTAGCTTTCAACCATAACAGTTGAAATATATCTGGACTCCAGCGAGTTCCAACTTGTTACAACAAGACAAAACAAAAATAATTTGATTTTAATTTTTTGATGTGTAACATCTTTCCTCTCGCTTTCCTGCAATTTGTGGGAGTGATTTCGTAAAATGGGACGGAAGTGTGAGAAGTCGCGAAAGCGCGCACTAATTGATTTGATTTTAGAACATAATGTCAAATGGCTTATTCCTTTTGTAGTAGGTTTTATTTCTTTTTTTTACCAATATAAGGTGAGGTTTCAAATGTTACACATCATACGCGACTACCGTAAGGCTCGCTCGTTTTTTATTATACGCTTAGGACCGATTCGGATAATTGGCAATTCGGTTAAACAGCGTTCGGATAATCGGCGTTCTACTGTACTTACCTAATAGGTTCAATGGCGAGATGTAACTGGTGGTGCTGATTGGACGAAGTCTGCGGTTCGTGTTCGCGCAGTGCCTCTTCTAGTTCCATGAGGCGTTCACCGTCCGCTTCCGAATCTGAATCCGCGTCGCGGCTTATACTAAAATCAGATGATTATGAATGGAGATCACGTCACAAAAAAGAATAAATAATAATAATAAATACTTCCAATACTCACACCAATTAGCCTAGCCCCAAAGTAAGCACTGTAAGGACTTGTGTTATGGGCTACCAGGGTAACGGATAGAACACATATACTGTACATATATAAGTATATTTATATAGAAATACATATGAAGCATCCATGACTGGAGTACAAATGCTCATATTCATCACTCAAACATCTGCCCCCAACGGGATTCGAACCCGGGGCCTCTCGGTCGGCGACACCATGAAATTAGGCGTACAAACCACTTGGCCACGGCGGTCGTCAAAAAGAAAAGAATGTTAAGATATACAAGGAGACTGTTCATAAGTAATATTCGGGTTCCGGCAGCGATGAAATATAATATATACACTCCCGGACTCTTGAATCGAGCCACCTTACATTCCCGGGCCTAAAAGCCCAATACACAAAAAATGTACAATACTAGCTGTCCCAGCGAACTTCGTACCGCCATAAAAAATAGGGGTTGATTGTAAAGGGTTGAAAATTCAGGGTTAAACGTATTTACTAATGCTAATCATAAAAAAAATAAAAAAAAAACTTGAAAAATAAACAATTTAGGGGTGGATTACCCTTAACATTTAGGGGGATGAAAAATAGATGTTGTCCGATTCTCAGACCTACCCAATATGCACACAAAATTTCATGAGAATCGGGAAAGCCGTTTCGGAGGAGTTTAACCACAAACACCGCGACACGAGAATTTTATATATTAGAAGATAACAAAAAAGTTTTTATGTATTTTTAATGCTGGCATATTTCATCGTCTTTCCCGTATGTATTATTCCAAATTTGAATTTTAGAATTTAAAATAAAGAACAAAAGCCGAGCTTGGTCACTGATTTGAAAAAAATAATGACTGTTGAAAGTTGCTCTTGAAGCAATTTAATGTCGATTTGGTTTGAATTTTCGCAATTGTTGTAAACCAAAGTTTAGTTTAGTTATTTTTCTATAATTTGAACCGTTTTTGGCTATAAAATTATGGATACTTCACCTGAAGTAGCCACGCAAGCTGTAGCACTTCTTCAATCTGGGCTAAGTCAGCGAGATGTGAGTTCACAACTTCACATAAGTCGTTCCGCTGTTCAAAGATTGTACCACCGATACCTGGAGCCTGGCGGCTTCGTTCGGCGAACAGGAGGACCTCGTTACCGAGTGACAACGGCGAGACAAGATCAATACATTGTCACTACTAGCTTACGAAATCGACGCCTTAACTCTGTTCCGATACAAGAACAGATCAGGGACTTTCACGAAGTGGCTGTAAGTGCTCGGACCGTTAGAAGGCGACTCAATGAACGTGGTTTAAAGCCCCATAAGCCAGCCAATGGACCCAAATTGACATGAGCACACCGAATAGCCCGTCTAGAGTTTGCGCGCGAACATCTAAATTGGACTCGACATCAATGGAGCCAGGTTCTCTTCACAGATGAGTCCAAGATAATGCTTTACGGTAATGACGGAAGGAGTAAGGTGTACCAAAGACAGAACGAGCGTTTCGCGCAATGCTGTATTGACGAGAAAGTGAGTTATGGTGGAGGATCATGGACAGTCTGGGGAGGAATCTCTATGGAAGGCAAAACTGAGCTAGAGGTAGTGACGGGACCACTACTGCCGCCCCTAGATGGCAATAGATACATTCGCCAATGTTTAGAGAACCACGTGATGCCATATGCTGGATTTATTGGCCAAGATTTCGTTTTAATGCAAGGGCCCATACTGCGGGAATCGTCAGGGAGTACTTATATGACATTGGTATCACTGTTATGAGATGGCCAGTGCGAAGTCCTGATATGAATCCTATAGAGCATCTATGGGATGAGCTGAAGAGGCGTGTTCGAGCTCATCATCCTGCCCCGCAAACCATGCAGGAGCTCAAAAATGTAATTTTGGAAGAATGGGAGGACATTCCTCAACATGTCATAACGACATTGATTAATTCTATGCCAAACCGTATGAAAGCTATCATAAATGCACTGGGAGGCAATACAAGTTACTAAATAAACATTTCTTTTCATGTAAAACATGTCTTTATTTAAAAATCGATTAGATTTTTTTCCTTGAAAAAAGATAATATGGACTTGTTTCAACGTAACTCCACTTTTTTAATAAACTGTAGTTCAAATTTAGAACAGTGGCACTCTAAATGAATGATGAGTATACCAGCTCCAAAACTGCATCAAAACATTTTCCTTCTACATACATCTTTTATAAGTTACAGTACTCCAAACCAAAAAAATCAAGGTGGCTCGATTTAGGTGTCCGGGAGTGTATTATGTATATCATTTGAAGACTTGAAATAACATGAACAGATAATATATTTTTTTTTATTAATCACTGATTTATTTTAATTATTGTTTGAGAATTTAATAATTTCATAGGGATTCTGGCCACCCAGTCATAAGGCAATTCATATTGTTAGTTAGTGTCAGCTTAAAATGCGGTCTAGTAATGCTTGATATTCGTGAAATCGTGGTGAAATTATTATTCCAATTTATGATTCTACTTCTTGAAATGAAAATACCTAATAATAGAATAAGAAATGAACAGAATAATTAACAATCACTCCTTAAGTTAACTATGGAATAGAATATATTTGATCCATTGACAACAAACAGTGGATAGTGACTTGCCATTTGCCAATCAATAATTACGATTGTAATTTATTTACATAAATGTTTGGAGTCTGCCGAAGACTCACTACAGGGTGGTACCTCCATCCCGAATACAAAGGACATTGCTCGGTCCCCATACATTAAATGCCCTGGAACGCACAGCAATGAGAAAATGCTAGTTGTGTTCGGAATCATTCGTAAACTCTAATGAGGCATTTGTTGAGATACGGACAACTTTAGGAACCGTGGCCTACTACAGAATGTATTAGATTTTGAGGTTATAATTATTTTACTATCGGTAATAAGGTATATACCTGGTTATCATTATGATATTCATAAAAATAAACAGATATTATATGGGATGGGAGTATAAACTATCTTTACATAATTTCAGAAATAATCTTTTAATAAATATAATATCAATACCAGTGTCAAGTATTATTAACTGACGATTAACTAAGGTGCTTCTATTCATAAGTTGATAAATTCTTATGGTCGCCTATATTATATTTATTAAGGTAAACAATCTTGGCACAACTTTTTAACAAAATCACCCAATAAACTATTAAATTAAATCGTTATTATAGACTGAAACCTATTGAATCCAGTTATCAGTTGATTTTTGATGCTGTATTTTCAATAAAAGGAGTGCCAAGATTGTTTACCAAATAGGACAAGTTAGGATGAACGGACTGTACTAGATACTACAGTAACAGAACCTTTATTTTTTTAAACAGATTGTCCGTTTACTATGGTTAATTGCTAATAAATTAAAAAAATCAATAGAAAAATAATAGTGAAGAACATTCTTTTGGGCATGCTAGGGCCGATTTCGTCGATGTCCTTTAACCCTTCGTGTGTTGAGAAAATTATTTTCATTTTATCATATTTAGTAACAGTTTTTAATTTACACATCTAATATGTAGATAAGTTTGTAGAGAAACTATTCAGGATTGATTTTAGACACAAATGAACCCCCTGGGTGTACAGTACAACTCGAATAATATGAGAAAAATCAGCCAGAAAACTTTTTCATTTTCCGGCCGTGAAAAACAATGTAGATGGCTGCACAGCCGAGGGGAGGCCGTCTCCTATTTAATAGTTTTTTTTTTTAATAAAAAAAAACATGGAAGCTGACCTCTTGTAAGCATCCCAGTCGGAGTCTTGGTTGCCGAATTCGTCTCCGGCGGCGGCGAGACGCGATATGACCCGCATGCGCTCCGCCGCGGCCGCCGTGCGGCGCCGCACCATCGCCGCACGGCGCGCGCGACGAGCCTCGCGCCGCGACAGCAACTCGCAGTACTACACAACAATCTTCTAATTAAACTAGCTGTTCCAGCGAACTGCGTACCGCCATAAATAATAGGGGTTGGTGGTAGAAGGGTGAAAATTTAGGGTTGTATGTATTTTTGTATGATGTATAATCATAAAAAAAAACAAAAAATTTAGTCCAAAAAAGTTTTTTTTAAGGATGGAATTTAACCCTTAACATTTAGGGGAATGAAAAATATATGTTACTCAGAGCTACTAAAAATTTCACGAAAATCGGTTTAGACGTAGTTTAGTTCAATTACGCACACCGTGACACGAGAATTTTATATATTAGATTCTCGTTTTTTTTTAAGATCCATCATGCAAAAATACATAGGTACATACCTTCATTTTCACCCTTCTACCACCAACCCCTATTTTTTATGGCGGTACGAAGTTCGCTGGGTCAGCTAGTAATAATATATTAAGCGCGAACAAATTTTTTTTTTTTTTATATTACTAGGTAGGCAAATGACTCTACCTCACCTGATGTTAAGTGGTGATAAAGTCCAAACGCGAAGATAGCTGGTACAGCCCTCTGATTCCGGCCCCCTAAGCACGTCTTAGAATACCCCGACGACGAAATCACCGCGCCAACTCTCTGACTCCTCCCACACAGGCCACAAACACCAACACATCACAGCTAGCAAACTTGCACACTAGCTTAGCATTAGGCAGACACCGCACCCGTAGGATAAGAGTGCGAAGACCCGGTCTAAACACGGCACGCTGTACCAGGTAGGTACAGATAGGTATCTGGGCGTTTTCCCCGTCCTCCAAGACAACGGATGACTAGAGCCGAGGTCCAAGTCTCAGGGGCGCCCTCTAGTTGAGCCTACCCGCTCAGGAGGCCTACTCTAATTCAACGAATAACGAAATTTCGATCGAAACTTCGCACTTTTCATACTGTTTCAGGTTCGTTTGTAATTATAATAATACCTATTCGTTGTCGGAAAATAGATTGAGGTTTATATTTTCTAAGCCTTCTCAAAGAACGCTTCAATTTTATAGTTTATCGTTCAAATTAAGTATAACCTTAAATTGACGAAATTAAAAAGAGAGTAGACCCCCAGGAAAAAGAGAATAGACCCCCAGGTTCGAATGGTCCTCCAGACGGAGAGGAGATCCCCTCCCCGTTGGGAGATGCCATCCGCCTGGAATATCTCTAGAGGCACTCGCCAATTCTCGGCTTGAGGTCCCCTTAGGCCTCGCCGTCCCAAACCCGGTGACGCTGTAAAGGTCATCTGCGACTAACAGCATACACACTAAAAAAAAAGCTGGGAATAAAGGGTAACTATACCGTGGTCCCCCCAGTAGGATAAGCCGATGGGAAATGTAATGTACTTATATTTACAAATTAGGTATACAGTGGTCCCGATTCTGGCGTGATTCTCTAAACTTAAAACTAAATTTAATATCAGTTTCTCCTTTTCGTTCTGTATAGAGAATGACAAGGATATACTGCTGTCAAATTTAAGTTTAGGTTTAGAGAATCATGCTAGAATCGACACCAGTTTACTATTTATTGAGATTCAAATTTAACTTATAATTAGTTCATTGTCGGGGTCGAGTTTGTTTTTGAAGGGGGTTGCGGTCTGTTGAAAAATAAATAAATAAATACAAACTACATATTGGTACAATAGATTCTATTAAAGGAGTGAATTTTAGTGTAGTGTTATAAAACTATATATTAAATGTAATATATAACATGAAAAAAAACCTATAGCCTTACTTAATTTCAATAAAATACATTAATTAATTAATGCGATTTTGGCATTGTTTCTCCCTTAAAAGTATCTCTCTGTGTGGATCATTTTTTCAAACACTCGTGAGTAAAATTATTTTCGAGTGATAAGAGACGATTTCTGTACTTAGATTTCAAAGCCACCATAGGCCAGAAACCTTTTGCGCATAAGTAAGAAATAGCAAAGGCTATCCATGTTTTCAAAGCTTCCGTCTCTAGGCGTCCGTACTCACGTCGTCGTGCAAGCCAAAATTTATCTAAATCTTGAAATAAAACATTTAGTTGTAAAGTTTTATCAGACGATAGCTGAATGAGATATTTTTCTTAACTTTTTGGCTTTTTCGTGGATCGCGAAATAAAAAAACCGGCCAAGTGCGAGTCGGACTCGCGCACCAAGGGTTCTTTAAAATATGTGATGGAACTAAAAATTTACGGTTTTCGCAATTTTTCCTTTATCTGTGCTACAAGACGCTGCTTCGTACCAAATTTCAAGATTCTGAGTTCACGGGAAGTACCCTGTAAGTTTTGATTCCCTTGCGAGTTTCGAAAATTTGCCGAGATTTGCGGCATTAACGGTTGTATCTTTTGATTGCTAACTTAGAAGTTTGATTTTTACACAGTTTCAAGGGCCAGTAGACCTGAGTATTTGATATAAATTTCAGCTTCATACCTCCACGCGTTCCTGAGGAAAAGGGTCTTGACAGACGGACGGACGGACAACAAAGTGATCCTATAAGGGTTCCGTTTTTCCCTTTCGAGGTGAGGAACACTAAAAATGATTTAGAAACGATGGGTTAGAGAATATGTTGATTGTACCTTAGCCCTAGTTTCAGTGAGCCAGGTCTCCAAGGCCTCAGGGTCGGTAGGGGGCTGGATGCGGCCCGTGGGTCTCGGCTCAGGCATGTCTTCAGCCGTCGCCGCACTCGCTATGCGCTGTTTGTTCTTCTCTATGCGCATGTTCACGTTTGCTATCTGACGCTATAATATTCCAATAATTATAGATATACAGGGTTAATTTTAAAACATCAACAACTTCTTAGGGTGTGATTCTACCCATCAACAGGAACAACTTGTATTATGGGACCAACTCTGAAATTGCGAAAAAAAAATCAGCTGTTTCATACATTTCGGTCAATTAGCTGATACACTTTTGTATGAAACAGACGATTGAAACGACGATGATTTTTTTCGCGATTTCAGCTTTGGTCCCATAATAAAAGTTGTTCCTGATGATGGGTAGATGATTCTATTTCTAGTCTCCCTATTTCATCCATAGGAAAGGGGGTGATCCCCCTAAGAGATTGTGTTTTAAAATTAACCTTGTATATAACGTAAGTTGTCATCATCTTCAGCCTATTAATAGCCCCACCGCAGGGGCACAAGCCTTTCCTATGGATGAAATAGGGAGACTGGGCCATGACCCACTGAGCAGGCCCATTGCGAATTGGTGGGTGCTAACGACTGCAGATGCAGCCAAAATTTCATTCTTCACTTTACAAAATATAATTTCATGTTGTTGACGATAAAAAGTAGTATGTTACTGTCTCTCGGCATAATTTAATTATCTCTATAGCAAAATTCATCATAATTGATTTAGGAGTTGACGTGTGAACAAACTTACTTTCACATATTTAATAAATAACTTAGGATTTTACATTTACAATTCAATAAAGAGATAGTTATAAATGTGTTTCTATAAAGTTATTAATTTTGTGTTAGATAGAAAATAGTTTAGTATTAGACAGAAATAAAACAAATTTACCTGCAAATCTTCGTAACTTTTTATATCAAAACCCTTTATTGCTTCATTGAATTCATCTGTGTCACCATCTTCTATCAGTTCCTTAAAAAAAGATTTATTTCTGTTACGCACAAATATTATAGAAAAGTATATAATAATGACGACCTCCATAGCCGAGTGATTTATACGCCGGATTTCATGGTGTCGCCTTCTAGAGAGGTCCCGGGTTCGAATCCCAGTGGGGGCAGATGTTTGTGTGATGAACACAAGTATTTGTACTCCAGTCATGGATGTTTAATATGTATTTCTATATAAATACACACAAATCGCATCATATCAACTTTAAGGAGAGGAAATTGCCCTGGAGTAAAACTAGGCAACAATGATATACCTGAGACCGACTGTGTCAAGTATCTGGCTTTCCATCTGGACAAGAGGTTAACTTGGAAAACACACATCAAACAGAAGCGTGACCAGATAAACATAAAGTTTAAAAACCTTTATTGGCTGATGGGACAGAATTCAGTTCTCACAGTGGACAACAAACGGCTTCTTTACAATTCTATATTAAAACCTGTATGGACTTACGGTATTCAATTATGGGGAGTGGCCAGTAACAGCAACATAATGTGCCTTCAAAGAACTCAAAACGGAATTCTTCGAAACATAGCAAACGCACCATGGTTCTCACGAAACAGCGAAATCCATGAGTACCTAAATGTTCCCACTATAATAGAAGAAATACAAGGCTGCAAGGAAAGATACTTCCAACGACTAACCATGCACCCAAACCCACTGGCCAACGAGTTGCTAGATACGTCAAATATAACTAACAGACTCAGAAGACGTAATGTTGTTTAGCTGGGAAGCTGAGGCACTGGCCTCTGCTCTCTTAAAGTCATTCCGCATGCAACAAAATTGATAAAAGTCCTTGAGGACTGATGGCAATTAAGATTGAAAAAAAATATATATATAAATATACAACACAAGCCTACAGTGCTCACTTTGGGGCAGGGCTAATGGTGTGTTAAAAAAATAAAATAAAATAAACTTAAACCTGAATGGCTAGTAACTGGTTTAGTTGTTCTTCATCCTCAGCCAGTCTTTCCTCTCTCTTTCTTGCATTTATTTCCAATAATCTGCGCGCCATTTCCTTTTTGCGTTCTTTTTGTTGTTCAGCTGTAATCAATTAATAACTCCCTAGATATGTTTAGACAATAAAATAAGATTGCCCTATTAATCTTATTTTAGAAGAACTAAATTCTGGAATATATTTATCAGACATAAGAAACATTGATAACCTCCATGGTGGAATGCTATGCACACCAGTTTAAAGGTGTCACCTACACAGAGGACCTGGGTTCAAATCTCAGTGAGGCAAATGTTTGTTTGATGAGTAGGTACAATCATTTGTACCCAAATCTTGGCTGCTTATATACATTTCCACAAAAATATGTGTATTTCTATTCTATCAGTTACCCTAGTATCCCCCTTACAGTGCTTGACCTAGGCTAATTAGTATGAATGTTAAAAAATAATAAAAAAAATCCTCACCAGTTAATGTAGATGAACTGGTTGTTTGGACAAAAGGTAGTTGAATTCTTTTAACATTGGCTTCGTAATATTCAGGACTAGCCCATTTTCTGATTTCTTCCTGATAGTCAAGGGCTAAAGAGCAATGTTCGTGTAGTATTTCCTCTGCTCTTGACATAGTGATGGCATTCACATGGACTGGATATTTCAGTTGTAGTAGCTTGTGCAAGTAGCATATCATTTCACTACCTCCTGAAGTTTGTAAAAAAATCTATTGTTTGAAAATATACTTATTAAATATATTTTAAGTATTTTGTTGAAAAATGTAAGTTTTAATTTTACTTGAAATGTGCAACCTGTGGTATGGAAACCAATTTAAATTACCCAAATTAATTCTTCTTGCATGTTCTTCAACAACTTGACCCTTAATGACTGGTATTATATGTATGGTATGATATCCACAGTTAACAATGAGAGCTGTATCACCAATTTCATTTTTATACATGCTAAACAAAGAGTCCACTCCGTAACTCACTGCTGGAACTGCATAAGCTTCAAACAATAGTTCAGACATCACTGAAACAATTAATTAATGTGTATGAAAATTTTATGTTTAAACTTTATAAGGGCTACTTCATAAATAGACAAAATATAATAGGAAGCTCTTGAAAGAAAAGATTTGAAATCTTTTAAAGACAATAATGAAGATTTGTAGTATATAATTTATCAAGGAACCTGCTATTAATCAACACCTAACCAAGTGTATATAAATAAATTTATAAAATTCATACATTGCCTGCAGTAGTTAGGATTGACAAATGCTTCTGTCATGACAATGGGATGGGGGACACAGCTCTCACTGTCAATAGCAAGATGAGAGAAGATGTAGTCACATACTTGCTCCTGTGCTTCAAAGTGAGTCACTACATTTTTATCAAATTGAGTCTTCAGTTGAAACCTAAAACATTGATGTTGTTAAATAAAGTATACCCATAAACATAAACAAAACAATAATAATTTGTACAAATGCCACACAAGTCTTTATCAAGTTGTATTTGTTTCTTCTTTAATTACAGTGATGAGTGTTCTTTGTCATAATTATTAAATAGTTTAAAAAGAAGTACCTTACAGCTTCAATGTTTACAATATCATTGCCTATTTGAATGGGAGGGGTTACCGGAGGTTCTGCATCTTTCTTACTTCTGTCTTTTCTTGGTCTCGCTATCAGATTTTTAAATATAAGTTGTGGTTCATCATATATAGACCAACCAACCCTACACTGGTAAGAACCTGTAATAAATATAATATTAACAGAATATGGCACAAATATTCAAATTAAATTTAAACTGTAGGGACTTACCGTTGTCTATCACTAAGGGAATATGGCCAAACTTTAAAGAAGGCTCGTATTCGTGAACAATATCAGGAACCGTTTTGTAATCTTTTAATACCAAAACACTCTCCATGGTAAACAACAATATATATAATAACTAGCTGACCCAGCGAACTTCGTACCGCCCTAAAAAAATAGGGTTTGTCCAGCGGACTAAATTGTGAATCTAAACCATTCTCAGATCCCCTTGAACACACACAAAAAATTTCATCAAAATCGGTCCAGTCGTTTAAGAGAAGTTCAGTGACATACACACTCACAGAAGAATTATATATATAAAGATAACAATCGAGGATATTTATGAAACCTTGTTGTACAATATATATATTTAACGATTTTTGTGAATGAAAGTCCCGTCTTTTTATAAAGAATGTGTAATTCCATAAATTTACACATTAACCTAACTAAATTGTAATCAAAATAAACCCGGCATCCGTAGGGACATGAAAAAAGTATCGATACTTTGTGGTATCGAGTACTTTTCCTTTCGATACCGATACTTTTGTACTCGATACTTTGTATTCGATACTTTTACTAAATGAGTACTTTTTGGCAAGTATCGATACCTTTAAAAATTTGGATAAGCGCCTCATATTGATGGCAACGCCATCTTGTTAAATCATAGCAAACCTTCTAAAACGTTCCATAGGGTATTTGACAAGTTTTAGGCAACGATCTCACGTTATTGACTAATGTTTATGGAGTCCGTAAAAAGTGGATATTCATCATTCTGTCGTGTATTTCAGTAAAAATAACCAAATCAAAAACTCCATTTTCAAGTTGCCGCGAAAACGTTTCTCTGGATAATATGGCGTCTTACTAGTGTGTGACGTCACACGACTGTTATTAAAACGTCAAACGATACAATGTAATGTCACTTTGACCGGAAGTTTACTTGCGTGTGACGTCATTTTAGGCTCCGCCAATCCGAAGCGTTTTGGATCACGTGACAATAGATAAGAAAACTAATATCTTTTTCGTTATTTTGGCACTTTATTTTTAATACTGTCAAATGACCTATTGCGTTGTTATAAAGTCAGCAACTGACATATTCAAATTCTTTGCAATCTGTGACTGTGTTTATTTTGCGGTTTGTTTTGTTTCATAGTTATTTATTTAGCGACCATATTGTTAGGAACTGTGATTGATTCGCCGTTTATTGTGCTTTTCGCTTGACTGTATTTGATTTATTCAAGTGTAACACTATTATTCTGTCTGTGCTGTGTATACTTATTTGAAACCACCTGAAAAAAGAATATTAATGAACACTTTTTAGTGTCAGAAATCACAGCTATTTTCTTTTCATTATATAATATAGCAATTTGTGAATTTACATGTCCATATTTTTGTTTTTGATTATACGTACTATAATAAAATTCGATTGTTTTTCACACCGGGGGGGGGGGGGGGGGGGGTTGCTCATCAGGCCACAGAGGCTCCGATAAGGCCCTATGAAATGTACTCCATACTTTGAAGTATCGATACTTTTGTTTCGATACTTTTACGAGTACGATACTTTTTTACCGATACTACTCATGAGTACAGTATCGATACTTTCTATTCGATATCGTGTCCCTAGGCATCCGGCGAATGGGCAAGGCGCCATTTTTGTTTGACTGGGCTGCCGTTCCAAACCTACGCTCAAACCGCATCTTTTTACCCTGACGTTTCAATGTTTACATCTTGGTTTACATTTAATAGGGAGATTAATAAACAAGGACTACGCTAGGATTAGTTACTCCATGTTTTGTCTCTGTATATTGAATGACAAACAAAACACAGGGTAGCTAGTCTAAGCTTATTCCTTGTTTATTATTAAGGGATATAATGGTGTCGATTCTAGCGTGTTAAACATCAGTCTCTTCTTTTCATTATGTATAGAGAATGACAAGGATGCACTGTTGTCAAATTTAAGTTTAGCTTTAGAGAATCATGCCAGTCCCTGTAGCATGAGCACCTCAATTTACGTTATAACACATTTTTTATCGGGTCTTACTATCAAACTCCATAATAATTTGACAATTGAGCATGATAAAAACGCGTTAAGTATCATATCGCGGTACTCATGCTAGGGAGGCATAATCGACATCAATGTATGAAACTTAAGTCAATCTTACATTTGTTGTTACCCAGGTTTGTACCGCAGCTTAGTACGTCAAAAAAAATCTGTCAGTGTTGCCATGTCCAAAACCAAATATACGGTGATTTCACTTATCATTATGATATTTTTTGTGAGTTCCTGATTTATCAAATATTTCTCACTCCGTTTTTGATATAATCAAAAATCTCTGGTTTTGTGTTGATACTTTTTTTATATTTTATTCTTCAGACATCTAGCAGCTAAATGCTTAAAAATAAAATAAACTTATTACCTACTCTTTTTTAGTCCTCCATCGATCATAAGTTGAATGGTCTCTTTATGATGAACAGTACTGGATTAAAAGTGGGCAAAGGATTCTAAGTACATACTTGTTTTTTCCTTTATAAAAGAATAAATAAAATAGATATTACTTTTGTACAGCTTTTTTGTGTCTTTTTATGTATTGTCACACCAGGAACACTGGAAACAAATCTATCCAGAAAAGATAAACAACGTCACGGCCGTTATTCCATGTACTCGCGAACCAAAGTACCTTAAAACGAAATCCGAGTGTAACGGTCCACTCAAATATGAGCCTTAGAAGAGGGGCTTAAGAGTGAAAGTGCAATGACAGCTGCCAAATTGTTTAAAACTCATGGTTGTTAAAGCGCCTACTGACATACCTGCCACAGGGACAATCTAGGGTGCACGGCGATCGGCCCAATATCGGCTTGTCTCTATGTTGAGCTAAACACGCGCGTTGATGATGGTCCCAGTGTTATCAAAAAATATGTTACCGTAAAAAAGGAAATACTGGGTGAAGAATTGGCAACAGAAAGAAATGTATTGTAAATAAATAATGTTTATGATTAGAAAAAAAAACACGCGGACCTGGCAGCAGACGGGACTCGAACCCGCACCCTTCGCTATCCGGGCGAATGCACTGATCAGTTATGCTACCGCAGCCCTGACGGCCTTATCGAATTCTTACGAGCCTTTGTTAAGTTACTGCTTAAAGCTGCCCGTGTGCCATACACGGGCAGATTGAATGGTTGGTTCTTAGGACTTGAATAGTGTTCAGTGAGTGTTTGTAGAATTCTAATCAATAGTGCGTGTTAACTATGAAGTTAGGTATATATCTATGTGGAGGGAGCATTTAGAACAAAAAAGTGAAGACAAGTTCATTAACTCTAGTAATGTTTTATATCCTGTTCATCTTACTAAAAGTAAGATTGGAAGTTGCCTGAATAGTGATGTCATCCCGTAACAATATTGGTAATATAATAAAATGGTAGGAAAGTCAAAAATGTACATTGAATATTTTTTTAAAGAATGCTTGGGGTGTGATCTACAATGTATACCGAAGCCAAAAATATAGTTTTTAGAATTTTTGTCTGTTTTTCTGTATGTATGTCCGGGATAAACTCAAGAAGTCGGGTCAACATATAGGCTACATATATCACGCTATCACCTACGGGGAACGAACAGTGAACCTTTATTTCTTCAACGCATTCTGCTTGCCACACTTGCCACACGTGCAAGACACCATCTACAAACTTAAAATTTGGCAGGTAGGTTCCCTATAGGGTGTAGATAACCGCTAAGTACGAATTCACGAAACTCGACTCCTAAGGCGGTAATACGGGGGTTGGAAGTTTGTATGAAAGTCCTATGTTTTTGAAGTAAGAGATCAAGTCTCTCAAGGACATCGACGAAATTGGCCCTAGCATGCCCAAAAGAATGTCCTTCACTGTAATTTTTCTATATTTTTTTGATTTATTAGCAATTAATCATAGTAAACGGACAATCTGTTTAAAAAAATAAAAGTTCAGTTACTAGATACTAGTCTTTTCATCCTAACTTGTCATTGGTCAACAATCTCGGCACTCCTTTTTATTGAAAATACAGCATTAAAAATCAACTGATAACTGGATTCAATAGGTTTCAGTCTATAATAACGATTTATTTTAATAGTTTATTGGCTTCGTTATTATTTTATTTTTAAATGGGTGATTTTGTTAAAAAGTTGTGCCAAGATTGTTTACCTTTGCATATAGGCGACCATAAGTATTTATCAACCTGTGAAGAACTAGGTACCTTAGTTAATAATACTTGTCACTAGTATTTATATTTTATTTATAAAACGATTATTTCTGAAATTATTTAAAGGTAGTTTATACCCCCATCTCATATAATATCTGTTTATTTTTATGAAAATCATAATGATAACCAGGTACATACCTTATTACCGATTGTAAAATATAAAAACAGGTAAATGGAAAGACTTTGAACATTTCATTTGAAAAGAAATCTATTATTACAACAGGTAGGTATACGTATCATAGGTGCCAACTGCCAACACTCATAAATCAATATGAATATAAGCATTTAATATTTTTATTATTAATTGCATTTTATGTTCATTTAATGCATATTATTTAAGTGCTTACATAGAGGTAAACACTAAATCTATTCAGAATATATAAAGTGTACATCTTTTACGATTAAGTATAATAATTATAACCTCCAAATCTAATATATTCTGTAGTAGATCACGGTTCCTCAAGTTGTCCGTATCTCAACAAGAGTTTATGAATGATTCCGAACACAACTAGCATTTTCTCATTGCTGTGCGTTCTAGGTCATTCAATGTATGGGGAACGAGCAATGTCCTTTAACATGTATGCTCTATAGATGGTTTAGAGGTGTAATAATAATGTATCATTAGAAATAAACGCTTTTGGGGTAAAAAAGTATGTACAAATAACTAACTCCACACGTACGAAGTCGCGAGCGTCCGCTAGTTGTTAATAAATGTATCAATAGTAGTAGGTACTTAAGTGGTTGCTTTCTCTATGAGTAGTACCTATCATCAAGCAGCTGAGAACCGGAAAAGAAACGTTTGTTTCCATTGTCAAACTACGTAGTGTAATGCGGTTGTAATAAATTCTTTAATCAAACTGCAATGACAGCATGGATCATTGATACCGTTTTAGGCCTAATAGTTCACTTATCAATACAGTTATTTTCTTGGATGAAAATAGATAGGCTTCCAGTATTCTATAAAATCAAACCACACAATCATATTAAGTATTTTTTTTATTCACAATACTGACGTAGCATGTAATTTTAACCCATTTTGCTACTATTCTACGTAGTCCTAGCAGGTATTGCGGCTACTGTATTCACAATACATTTTCAATATTCATGAATATAACATTAATACTTGCAGGAATGTGCTGAGCAACATTAACACCTGTTTACAAGATTTCCATTGAATTTAACAATCGTTTTTATTCCAAGATTATAATAACAATAAGATATAATTTAGGATAAATATAGGCATACTTTACAATATTTATATACATCGTCATTATCACGCAAACAAATAAAACTTTATGGTAGGTGTACATTAGATATTGTAAACAAAAACATTTTGGGGTAAGGTAATTTGTGGCTTATATTTCATTGCAATTACTAGTTGTTATATTAACAGTAATATCGTTATGGCAGGTCAAAATTTCCGCTTAAAAATTGCAATAATAATATCTTAGATATCTATAACAACAACAAAATAAATGTTATTTATTTAAATCCTCAATAGACTTTAACGAATTTAGGCTTTAGCTCCGACTACAGTGCCAGCTTGTTTATCGATTTGTTCTTTCTCCAATTGCTTGCCGAGGTATTCCCTGAAAAATAAACATGACAAAACTAGTCATAATATCAGTTTTGAAGAAATAAAATTTTCATTGATTTTATTCTGAAGTCTGGCATATAGCAACCTCGATGTCTACATAATGTCTATATCTTTTATTAAAGTTCATGTCCATACGAATCTATTGCTTTAAATAAATGGTTTTAATTTTGACTTAATTGAACCTTAATTCTGTCATTGTCTTATCTTTACCAAACAAAGTACACAGAGTAGTTTTTAAGACTAGTACGCTAAGCACGAACTTTGACAGATGCGTTTTTGTATAAATATAGTCTTACAGAGTAAATTATTATAATTTTATGTTGCTGACATTTGAATATTAGTTTAATGTTATATTGTACGCCCGAAATGGGCAAGTTGTTGGCACTACCTAATTTTAAGAACCATTTGTACAAAGTTCTGGACAATAAATGTTTAGCTTATCTCATCTTCGTATCGTCAACGTCTAAGTATCTATGGAAACTAAGCAGAGGCACCCGACGTAAGAACAAACTAGCTTTTTCCATCGAAAATTTTACTTTGTCGCTGGTTGTTCGTGCTTGGGGTACGGATTTAGAGGGGACCCTAGTGACTAGTCGAAATTTAGTTTTTTTTTCTCTGTTGTAGGTAGGGTAGGGTTACCATCCGCCCGGATAAGTCCGGACATGTCCGAACTTTTATACCACAGTCCGGACTTTGCCCGGATTTTTTAAATTACATTGAATATGAATAATACATGTACAAATTGATTTAAATACTAGACCATAGTAACTAAGTGAGTAATGGTACCATGCTGTGACTAAAAAGTCCGGTATTTTTTTTAAAAAGTCACCCTAGTTGAAGGGCCTCCTCTTCTGTGGGGCCCTGGGCCACAGCCCCAGCTGCCCTGCCTTAAATCCGGCCCTGGCATCGGGGTGTTTATGGTTCATTTTACGAAATTTTGTGCAAATATAAGTATTAATTATTATTTGTACTAGAGGAGAGGAGAACTCTGGAGTAGTTCAATTACGCACACAGCGACACGAGAATTTAAAACATTAGATAATAATCAGAATAACTTACCAGTTATGGACCATTAGCTTCTGTACAGCGAGTAGGGCTTCGTATCTTACGTTGGGGTCATCGTGGCTGAGGAGGTACATAACGCGCTGTTTGCCACCCAACTGTTCGATAATGCTGTTTGAAAAAGAGCTTGTTGTTAATATAAAAAAAATGATTCTATATTATAAAGTCAGTGTAGAATAAGTTAATAAGGTTAAGAAGAGACTGGCACTTAGAACAGATGCATTCCAGATAAAGTTGAAACTACAACATGAGAGCGATATAAAAGTGCTTACTGCTTGCCGCGCGGGTAGTGACGAAAATATTCGCCAACGTCATAGTACGCTATAGTACCTTTAGCACGGACTAATTTCGAATTCGAATAGTTGAAATCGATCTCGATACGCGTCAAATATTAAGAAGTTTTGTATGGAAGATTTTTAATTCTCGTTTCGTCCGTTGTGGCGGTGTGCAATTTCCATTCAAAACTTCTTGACATTTGACACGTACCGAGATAGTAGTAGTAGGAGTAGGTCTAGGTAGGAGTATTGTTCCGCGCATATTGATGAACAATAAACAAATCGCCTTTCAATAAAATCACTCAACAAAAGTGCAACAAAAAAGATGCTGAAAACACAAATAATACGTCTCACTGCTTCCACGACGCACGTATTCACCGACGTTGTAGCACTTCAGCGACCGCCAGCATTACAGGGCCCTGCTTCAGCAAGTGTGCGAGAGTGGTATATGGTTTAAATTTTAACTCGATACCTTTACGCGTTCCCGAGATACAGGGTCTTGACAGACAGACGGACAACAAAGTGATCTTTTAAGGGTCCGTTTTTTTCTTTTGAGGTACCCTAAAAAGTGCTTCAAAAAACGTCCTAAAATAATGAAACTCTCCGCCGCCGCGAGCCTTTCTCTTTCTCCATCGCTGCCGCCTCACGCCGCGCGATATATCGTCAACCCCCTCCGCGCCGCCGTAATGCTTTTTCGTGACAGCAACATCCTAACACCCCCCGTCTTTAAATAAGTTCCACATCAAAAGCCACCATCCTGAGGGTGCTGGCAGAACGGTCCGATTCTCCGATGCTAGCTCGCTGGATACGACTGCATGCACTCATATAGGCAGGAGCATCGTGGGGTGACATCGGTTTGTCAAATATTTATTTATTTATTCAAGCCATATGTGTTTATCGACTAACATTAGTTTTTAAGTATAATCTTTTTGTTACTTACCCACTATGGAATCATTGTTATCCGAAATAAAAGATTATTATTATTAAAAGCAGATAATGCGACTTACTGCTTCCCGCGCGGGTAGTGACGCACGTATTCACCGACATCGTAGCACGCCACCGCCAGCACTACGGGGTCTTGGCTCTTCTCCAGCAAGTGTACAAGGGTGCGCAACAGCTCTTGCCCGCGCTCGTTCAACCGAGCTGCGTTCTCGCGCCAGAACTTGGCCGATTTGTGCACGGGCGACCATTCGAGACTGAAAAATTGACACTCTTCAATATCTAAAGAAAAGTATACTAGAAAAAAAAACACGCTGACCAGAGACCACTCAAACCCGCACCCTTCGCTATCCGGGCGAATGCACTGACCATTATGTAACCACGGCCCTAACGGCCGCGTCGAATTTTCTCTAGCCTTAGGCTGCAAGGCAGCGCCATCTCTTCGTATTGTAGGTAACCCACAATGTCAAATGAATACCTTTACAAGTATTAAACACTAGTGGCCCGCCCACGCTTCGCTTCGGTGTAGAGCTGTAGCGTAGAATTCGATTTTTCCTCACCTTTTAAACCTTCCCTAGATCTCCACGAACACACGAACATTTCAAGACCAAGATAAGATAAATCCGTTCAGCCGTTCTCGAGTTTTAGCGAGACTAAGGAGAAGCAATTGATTTTTATATATATAGATTTGAAAGAAGAAATAGCAATCATAGTTAATTATAGTATACTTTTCTTTAGATTGAAACATCTAGAAGTTAAATGCTTAAAAAAAAATACATACTTGTTCCATATACCTCTACATTTCTGGCTCTAGCATGATGTTCTAAACCTAAAATTAGATTTGACGGCAGAACAGCTAATTAACTCGTGTCATTAAAGGAATCGAAAATGACGACGCAAGACATTCTGTCTCTCTTGCATATTAATTTGAATAGCATGTGTGAGAGGGACAGAACGTCTTACGTCATTTATATAAATACCCGTAGACTTTATTAGCTTAATACTTTAAATGTAAAATGTTGAGGGTTATGAATAAATGATTATTATTATTATTATTTGCGATTTCTTTCCTTAATTACACGAGTTATATCCTTGCCATGCTCTACAAAGAATGAAAAGAGTAAAATTTCGTTTTAAGTTTAGAGAATCATTCTAGAATCTGGTCCTCTTTTTAATATCGAAATAATGTTATATTATTTTTATGGCTAATCAAAATTTATGATTGATTTTGTGTCTTTACAATTTTGCATATACTTTTAAAATAAAACTAATAATAAAAAACGTGACAAGTACGAGTTGGATTCGCCCACCGAGGGTTCCGCACAATGTATTATTGCGGTAGTTTAAGCAAAAAGGAGCCGGAAAATGTTAGTTACAGTTCATAAAATAACAAAATGCATTTTTAAAATACAATTAGTTAAAGTTTTTTTAATCTATTTTAAAACACGATGATTTAGTAGCCCCGCCACATTGTTATGTCACACCGTATCTAGTATATGCCATTGTGTCATCTATCAACTCAGTATTTAAGACTTGTACGTAAATGTAGGCCTTAATATCAATAAGTTATAAAAAATAATATTCTTCAACTTTTACCGTAACCTACGTCAAAGGCGAAATCATAAAACAATGACTTATTCAAAGATGATAAAAAAAATAGTGAGGAATTCACATACATCCCAGATTCGCAACCGCGCGCGAAACGAAACGCGAAAGCGCGTTGATTACGTAATAGGAGGCGGGTTTAGCTTATAAAAAATACCGTTTAACAGCCGGTTCGCGTCATAAGCTTTTACTGCTTTTAGTTAGTCACAGTCAAGCAATCTTTGAGGACAGCCGTGTCCGTATTTACTTACTACAACACGTTGCGTTGCGTATGGTAATAATTCTACATTAAGTCCCGCTGGGGTGAGTTTAAATACTTTCTAGGATTAAAAACAATATTAAGATGTACACTTCTCTAAAAAAGTTTAACGTAAACATTTGTAACGCCTGTCTGTCCTACTCTTATTTAAAATTTTGAACAGTTGGTCGTTGGGAACGTTTTGACAGTCCAGGAGCAGGTTATTAAGGTGCTGCCCTTTGGGTTCTAGGTACTAAGCCTACCGTATCGCAAGCGAAGACCAACTCCTGTTCCCAAAGGCTGCCGGAATATTTCAGGCGAGAAAGTCAGACCAAATAAAAAGTATAGACGGAGTCTGCCGAACCAAAAAGTGAAGCCGATAAAACTACGCCTCGCCGTGTACATACACAGTTACACGCACACACATGCAACGAAACAACGCCTTGGCTTCCCAGTCGAGCTATCCCGCGCGTGACGTAATAATAAATAACAATATTTATTAGAGAAAATGCCGAATTGTGTAGTGAAAACGTGTAGAAACGAATCTTCCAAGAATAAAAAACAAGATGGAATCACATTTCATACGTAAGTAAAGTTATAAACTAATATTTTCAATTAATCAAAATCAAATTTGAGGTTGTCGCTTTGTAAACAAAACCTGAACGAAATGCTGCCATGATTATACGTTACAGTTTTACCCTTTTGTTGGGTAGCGTGAAATATAACGTAACGTTATTTTATTAAATATATTGTGTGGCATACTTTTATATTATTCGAATATTGTAATGCATGGATAAACAATTACACGAAACATCTTTTTTCTTTATGTATTCGTATAAATTTTTTGGGATGTAATACACATTATTTAATATACGTTTTTTTTAAGATTTCCTAATCGAGATCAAGATTTAAAAGAGAAGTGGATTGCAGTCATTCGTAAGAGTAGAAATGAACCATTGTGGCAACCAGCTTCCCGCAGCGTAGTTTGTTCGACTCATTTTCAGAGCGACGATTTGTAAAATAATAATATATTTGTAATTTTATTTGTATTGTACTTTTTAATGGCCTTTTTGACCCAAAATTCGCGATGTTTGTGGATTTATTTTATTATGTTCTTGTATAGGAACTAGTGATTATATTTTGTGTATTCTATAGAAAATTTCATGTACATTTTAATAAAAGAAACTGTTTATCAACATTTGTATATGCTTTTCGTTTTATCGATATAAAGTTGAGATGACTGATTTGTAAGCGATTTCAAGTGCCTTGTTGCGAGTGCTTGATACTATAAAATGAACAAACCTATTCCACCCGAGACTTGTAACTAAAGTAAAATAAACAATCCAACATAATTAAACGTCAACACATAAATCAAGGCACTTGGATCTCGCATTTGATTTAACCAACACTTGAAACACGACCATTTTTTTTCTGTTGCGTGTTATATTTTATAATTGTATTTGGTAAGTTATTATATACATTCATTCATATATAGTACATTCTATATGTACAAAAACCTGGATTTATAATTTACAAATTTTGAAAATATACCTCATTTTACCTATTTAAACGACTTTTTTTATCTTTCCTGAGTTTACCATAATGTAATTAAAATAAATTATAGACATGACGCATTGTGTACACACTGTTTTATTGAAAATTTTATGGAGAATCCAAATATACGTTTGTGAAGGGTATTTTTACAAAATAACAGAGAAATCGGCAGAACAATGAATCGTTCCCACCCAGCGGGCGGGCGGTCCATAAAGAAGTCCGGCATTTGTAGGTGAGAACGGCGCATGACCTTTGGCTCACGAGAGGTTTAGAGAATAAGCTTACGATATTTTTTTCTAATATTTTATAACGTTATTATTAATAACGTTATGAAATAACGTTATTACATTTTTCTAATATTGGGGTGTTTTATATGACTATGGTAACACTGGCTAATGCACTACATACATAAAAAACCGGCTTCACTTTTTGGTCCGGCAGACTCCGCCTTTACTTTTTATTTGGTCTGAAGCGAGAAAAGAACTGCACCATTTGAACACGTAACGGCATTCTTCGGCGGAACCTACCAACGCCCCTTGCTGCCGCTTAAACTTTCGAAGGAGCTGGACCTTCGACTTATCTGAAGACCAATGCTCTCAGGCCAGTGACCCCCCCTTTATTTCCCCCTCTGCTGAGACGCGACGGCCACAGAATTGTATTTGGGCAATATAAGGATAATATCAGGCTATACCGGTTGCAACGTCAAGACCGCAGAGCCTAAGTTTAACTACGCGCGAAATTTGACAATGTTATGTTTAAATGAATTTTTAATGCACTTAATTAACGATTGAATAAAAATGTTATGTTTTTTTAGCATATTTAATTGAGACACTTCAAAAAAATCGTGTAATACCCTATTGTAGAACTGAGTATATGGTTTAAATTTCTGTTCGATTCCTTCATGCGTTCTCTGGAAAAAGGGCCTTGACAGACAATTGGCAAATAAACGGAACCCTTATGGATTCGTCATGCCTGTCTGTCCGTCCGTATGACAAAGCCACTTTTTTCCGAAACTATACGAACACTATTGGTACTTGGTAAGTAGATGTATTGTGTGAACCGCATTAATATTTCCATACAAAAATAGAAAAAAAAAATAGGGTATCCCCATACTTAACTAACTTAAATAACTGAAACTCGATTTTTTTTTCATCAAACCCATACGTGTGGTATCTATGGATAGGTCTTCAAAATTTATATTGATAAAATGTGTTTTTTCTTTTGAGATACGGAACCCTATAAAGTTTCTAAAAGTTAGTGTAAAACTCACCGCCCGCTCTTCACCTCAGTGGCGTACTGGTCGAACGAGCTGAGGTCCTGCACTGAAGCCTGCAAGCGCTCGTTGAGGAACTCCACGTCGTTCATGATGTCTTCGTCGTCGGACCGCTTCTGCTCCAATATGGAAAGCTGCTTCAGTACCTTGCATTGCACCATGGCGATGCAATGCTCTTTAGCTACCTGAGACAATGGAAAATAGAGATAGACAAACAAGGTATTAAGTCATCATAGATAGGTTCCAGCAGCGCGCGATCCGCATCATAGGCGATAAGGACGTGACCTCGAGCCTCTTCAATTACGCCGTGACGTGGCGTCACTAAACGCGTTCTATCGTCTGTACCACGGCGAGTGTTCTGAGGAGTTATTCTCTCTTATTCCACCTTCCCCTTTCCTTCAGAGAATCACGGGCGCTGGCTTGCATTGTCACCGTTTAACTGTGGCAACAGTTTCAACGCGTACAAAGAAATTAGTTGACTCATTTCTTTGTCGCACTATCCGTAAATGGAATGCTATGCCCGCTCACGTGTTCCCTCGCTCTTACAAACTGGGATCCTGTAAAACAGGCGCACAGTGATCAATAATGAGATATTAGGTGGATAATATTCAAATTTGATATTGTGAGGGTAGTTTAAACAAATCATCGCGATGTGATTGGGGGTACTTACCTCATATTCTTGTTTAATATGAACGGTTGAAGATAAGTCATTACTGAGATTATCAGCTAGTAAATGCAGTGCTCTCGCTAATTGTACTGATTTGTTCTATTTACTTCCTGTTATATTCCCAGGTATTATGTACTATAGTTTTAATATATAGCGAGATTAGTAGTTCTTGAGCGAAACCACAGACAAATAAACTTGCGCACTAGTCGTTTTTGTATCTAAAATTGCTACCACGTCTATGGTCGATGGATAAAATTTTTTGCCGGGATGTATTTATTACCTTCGATTTTGCGACTGATCACAGAGTCAGTATGAGTGCGACACAAATTTAATGGCCGCTGTGAAGTTAGCACCATTCGAAAGAAAACGAAATATTGTATTGTAGGCGCGTGAGAAATATCCCTGAACTAAAATCTGTGCAAAGTAGCTCTCTCGTCTAACTTCACAACTATCATAAAGTTTAAAAAGCACACTACTCTGTGATCATGGGCCATGGGCACTTGTTACATTGCCGAAATATTGCACTCGCAAAAAAGAGGCCCTACTGCCTATCGGGATTGCTTTGGCTATTGCTATAGCTTATGCTTTCATTTTGTTATTTCCGCAGACCGCAGAGTTTCCAAATGCCTCGCGCTTTTTTTGCAGTGGTAATAACAATATTAAAGGAAATGAGCCCGAGGTATAGGAGAGTAGAGGGATAACTGTGCTTCATTTACACTTAACATCAAGTGAGACGAAATTGCAAAATCTACATGTTAACAACCGCTATATTTAAAAATATATATATATTAACCTCCCACTATTCCTCGTTCTATAAACCTGAAAGTACTACTATATTAATGTGATTATTTAACCCTCAAGCTTTTGTTCAAATTTATTTCCAATAAAAATCTAATATTATAACATAGCTCCCCAGCTTTATTTGTTTTATGTTTGTGTGTGTTTTTCTTCACAGGTAAAAGTGTTTATCTAATAATGAAAATGGGGAACGCATTGCAAACGCTGAATGTAGATGCCCTTAAAGCTCCGGAGCATCTTCATCAGTTGGAAATCGGGTACCACCAGACCCCTCTTTCCCAGTGGGCACTTTGGGCAAGTGCACAGGGCCCCGCAATAATTAGGGGCCTCCCTCAGATCAAATACAAAGTCCCTAGTTCCGGTCAGATCACCAAACGATAACCAATATTTATTACCAAAAAACTTATATAATTATTTGGACCTAAATTACTGACTACAATACCAACTTACTAGCTTTACATAAGCGAAGCTATTCTACTCTCGCCCAAAAATTAGGCTTTCGAACTTCATGCTGAAGTTAGCATGAAGTTCGAAAAAAGCTTAGATAAATCTAAATATACATATAATGGTATACTAAGCACATACACATTTTAAAGAAAAATCATCAGTAGTACACTCATCAGTATGATTCGCTCCATTTCAAGTCATAATTCACGTAAAAGTCCTAGGGGCCCCATTTTCATTTTTTTTATTGCATGTCATATTACATTCATGATGGTACATTAATTTATTATTATTCTAATATGCCCAGGGCCCCCAATAGGTTAAAAACGGCCCTGGGTACCACTACCACACCCGGACTCCAGGCATTGGGCCCACAGAACGTATCGTGTGACCTGTGCAGGAGTCTGGTTTTTACTGTTATTTCATCGAGCCCCAAAGCGTACTTAAATGAGCAGGGAGGAGTCCTAAATACCTTCTTCTCGCTCTCCCGGTGGTTGGAGGATGCGTAAGGCATTTACAGGACATATAAAAAAAGGCCAGTCATAGTCACCTGCGAGTCTTCCGGTTTCTCGATCAGGTTACGGAACACTGCCAGCACTATGCGGGTGACCTTCTCCTTGACGGAGTCGCTCAAGATGTCGGCGAGGATGGGGATGGCGTTGAACTTATTCATCTTCTCGGCCAAAAGCGGATTGAAGGTGAGCACCCACAGGCAAAACACTAGCTGGTATTGGACCTAGGAAATGTTTATACACAGGATATTATTTCAAAAGCTTCGATTGGAAATAATAAACAAATTGTAACAAGTTTCTATAACTGGTGAGAGGGAACAACGTGAAATATCGGAAGAGGGATGGCAAACCTCAAAAAAGCAGCAAAGTCAAAAAAAGAGCGTACTCCTTCCTTAGGGCTAGCGCATACATACAACTTTGAGTTGAACAACAATTTTGTTGTGTATCGTATGTTTATAGCAATATATTGAAGCGCACATACTGTCAACTCGATAGTTGTACAACAAAAAAATCAAAAAGCTGTATCGATCTGCTTTTGATTAAAAAGTTGGACAACTATCGATCAAATGCTCAATTTGTATTGCATCGTATCGATGTGCACATACTATCGACTAAACAGTCGATCCGCGACTGTCAGTCTAGCATAAGCATTTGGAGCGGCTTCACGTCTCTTGTCACCATGGCGGGCTTTGCGAGAACTATTACGGAGGGAGGAGGATACAGAGGAGATCATTATTAGTGTAGCAAAAAGGCCTGCACTTCAATTAAAGGGTCTGAAAGAGTATTCAGACATAAATCTAAAGAAAAAGCTATGTGAGAAAGTGAAAGTGAAAAGTGAAATGTCAGGTTCGAGAGGAATAACCAAAAAAACCAAATTAAACGCGGACGAAGTCGCGGGCGGCCACAAGCATTTTAATAAATAAATTAATTAAAAAAAATGTATGATTTTATTTTTTAAACAAAGATTTTATACAATATCAATATTTAAAATTTCTATAAAGCAAAGCAAAAATTTGTTAATTGACATTATTTGTAACATCTTGATTCGAGCGTAGCTAAATAAAGACTGGTCGAATTGAGGAGATAAAAAGAATCGACGATCCACTGCATCTATTGTATGCGTACTTCCATCAACTAAACGGTTTAGTTGTGTAGAAATCACGAGAACTACAAAACGCGACAAAACAGTTTATTCGATGCATAAGTTGTATATATGCGCTAGCCCTTAAAGGCCGCCGGCATCGCATTTGTGATACTCCTGGGTTTTACCATTGGTGACAGTGATCACTTACCATCAGATGAGCCGTCAGTTTGTATGCCCTCTATAATTATATGTTATAAAAATCTACAACAGAGATGACGTAATCCCCTTTGTGCCAGTTGAATATTAAATTGCTGTTTTATCAATGAATGATTTAAATTTTTCTGTCTGATAATAATCATTTTGATGAGCATAAAATTAAATGCAAAATCGAAAACCTTACTATGTTCATTACCTGGAAGTTGACCCTTGAAGCGAGGATGGACAATAGCGTAGAGATGCCATCGACGGATAAGAAAGCGAAGCGGTACTCGTCGACTCGTAGCATCATTTGCAGGCAACGCGCCACCGACTGGATGTAGTCATTGTTCTGTCCACACAAACCATCGAAATAGTAAAAATATTTACATCAAACAACTCGAACATTAATATATTTTTCACTATTTGTAAGGATATTGTGTTGAAGTAGTAAATTGTAAAAAAATAAAGCTTAACTGATTCCTCGCCTGCGGGGTATAGGGTGTGGGGGAGGAAGTGGAAGGGGGTGTGAGAGGTGCAGGCGGCGGGCACTTGTAATTTTGACAAGAATGTGTTGTTTGTTGTAAATGTTTGACAATAATCTCCCCCACACCATTTACTCGGGACTCAGTTAAGCAATCTAGCTATACCTATTTTATGTAAACAATAAAGCTAGCTAATGGGTCCACAAATATAAATATAAAGAGAGAACGATTCTACCTTTCTAATTTGAGGAGTATGTAATGATTCAACTATAGATGGTTCTGGCGGATTCAGGGCTCAGACCAAATAAAAAGTAAAGACGGAGTCTGCCGAACAAAAAAGTGAAGCCGATAAAACTACGCCTCGCCGTGTACATACACAGTTACACGCACACACATGCAACGAAACAACGCCTTGGCTTCCCAGTCGAGCTATCCCGCGCGTGACGTAATAATAAATAACAATATTTATTAGAGAAAATGCCGAATTGTGTAGTGAAAACGTGTAGAAACGAATCTTCCAAGAATAAAAAACAAGATGGAATCACATTTCATACGTAAGTAAAGTTATAAACTAATATTTTCAATTAATCAAAATCAAATTTGAGGTTGTCGCTTTGTAAACAAAACCTGAACGAAATGCTGCCATGATTATACGTTACAGTTTTACCCTTTTGTTGGGTAGCGTGAAATATAACGTAACGTTATTTTATTAAATACATTGTGTAAGCATACTTTTATATTACACGAATATTGTAATGCATGGATAAACAATTACACGAAACATCTTTATTATCTTTATTCTTTATGTATTCGTATATTTTTTTTGGGATGTAATACACATTATATATTATACGTTTTTTTACAATTTCCTAATCGAGATCAAAATCTAAAAGAGAAGTGGATTGCAGTCATTCGTAAGAGTAGAAATGAACCATTGCGGCAACCAGCTTCCCGCAGCGTGGTTTGTTCGACTCATTTTCAGAGCGACGATTTGTACTACACAACAAAAAGGTTACGTCGTGTAAAACAAAATGCATATCCAAAGGTATTTTTTTACTTAACTTAATATGGTTACTTAGGTTAATTTATATTTTAAAGATTCCAATAATTCTTCAGTCGTGCAGACGGTTGAAACACAAAATTACATCAATTTTATTTCACAATATTCACTATGAACAAATAAAAGAATAATTAAAATATGACGCTAACCGCACTCCATGAAATTTGTTTTTATTATATATTTTTTAACTAAACTTTTATTAGTGTAACAGTTATTAAACTTATAAATCACAGGAACCCCGGATCTCCAAGCGCAGGACCATACGCTCACGAGAGGTTGCATCTAGCGCTAGTGTAAAACTAATCTGGACTAGTTTAGAGAATAAGCCTAGGTACGATATTGTTTTCTAATATTTTATAACGTTATTACATTTTTCTAATATTGGGGTATTATAAATGACTATTGTAACACGGGCTAATGCACTACAACCGGCTTAACTTTTTTGTTCGGCAGACTCCGTCTTTACTTTTTATTTGGTCTGAGATTCAGGGTTGTTGCTAAAATAATCACATTCACTTAGCTGGCCTGCACAGTGCTTTACATACGTACAAGGCGTAACAATGCAATATGATAATAGGCATTTGCTGTAATGAAAGTTTTCTGGAAAGATCAAGAAGCAGCATCGAAACCTTAATGAGATTGAAATACTGCTTTAAATAATTCTTTTGAGAAAAGAGGCAAAGAAAGGTGAATCGTATGAATACCGTTTCCTCGAAGAACTGTTGAAGTAAGAGGGAAGAAAATAATTATGCCAACAATATGAATACTGGTCTCCAAACATTTATAAAAAATACACTACTCAACGATATTAAATACCCTAGATACAACAACACGAACAAAATCGTGTCCGAAACCTGCCCAAAAGGTACATTGGACGATCCACGGAGCTCCGTAAGATGATTGCGTAGTCAAAAACAAAATTAGAGCTTATTTAAACAGTCGTCTTTTATGCATACTGTATAAGGTCTTAATTAACGCAAGCATGAAAGAGTTATGACAATTCGAAATGCAAGCTCGTAAAATTTTACGACTAATTATATGCGGAAGAGTATAGACCTTATTTCTTTGACTTTATGCGGAATTCTGAATGCGCTGTTAGCAATATAACAGGTACGGACCGCGAGGTACAGAGACGGCTATATTACTCACCATGCATTTGAATATCATAAAAAAAATCTATAAAATCAGTTTATAGTAAGTCTTACAACAATATTTGCTTCAAATGCGTTAAATAAACAAACATTGATTAGATACCTGTCGAAAAAACGACAGTTTACGTACTATAAGTATTATTTTTGAATTTTTCACGGAGCTCTGCGGCATCTTTTGCCTTTTCAACGGTCCGCGCGTGACTGTGAACCAAGAAGTGCTTAAGTGGTGTTCAAACACTTATTATTAATATTAATTTGAGACAAGTATTTTTATTTTTTATTCTTTAGACATTTAATCAGTTTGAATCAATTAATTATATTAAAGAACTATTTATCGAAATTAAAACCTAAAAAAACATCAAAAGCCACATTGAAACCCTTGAAAGCAAAAGTGAGGTCACACACTGGAAGACATCCCTCAACCAAAAAAGTTACAAATGAATAGAGTAGTTATTTAATAGTAAATTCAGGTCAGCTGGCAAGCGTGCTCGGTTAATGGTGGTGTAAGAAACTCAAGAGTATTTAGATACCTACAATGTATTTCACATTTTTATAATTTTCACATTTATAATGTGTTAGTCATGACATCCATCCTAATCTACAACATATAATTTGTTTATAACACAGTGTTCTGTATATTGTACGCAAGTGTACCTTATAGAGGCCTGGTGGCAATTCCTCATTGGGTTTCAATTCATCAAATGAACTGTACAGGCTCGAGTACTTCTCCTGAGCATCGTCAGCGTTTTTATTCTTGTGAAGCTGTTGGTGTTTGACGGGTTTATCGGCGAAATTTTGTTTCTCATGCTCCCACATAACCTGCTCTGCCTGTTCTAACTCGGCAGTCATTTTCTCCGCCTTTCCAGAAAACAAACCTTTCAATTGACAATAATGTCATCAAATTCCCCACGATGCGTGATGCTTGCGCGTGATGGTCGTCGCAGTTTAGATCCCAAGCATATTTTATTTATATACTACTCTACTATTTCATTAAGACTATTTCCAATTCAAATTGTAGTTGAAGATTTATATGATAAGTATAAGTGTAAATTTTATAGATGATACTGATCACAATATAAAGGTTTGTTTGTTAAACAATGCAAAGGATGATAAATTTGCTCATTTTAAATATTGTCCTAGAAAGAAATAACTCTCTCCTCCTCCTTATAAAATGGTTTTAAATAACCATAAAATATTAGAATTAACACATTAAACGAGATGGAATATTATGATTTGTAACAATTTAAAATATGTTTTGAACTGTGGTGTACAGAGTAAATGTAGTTTTTACTTAATTATTATTTTTTATTACTACACTAACAGCTCTAGAGCTAATATTTTATCGCAGCATTTGTGTTATGTATTATGTAGCAAATGTCTGTGAAGTCTATTTTTGATAAAGTTACAAAAAATTTTAAAATAAGCAATAAATAAATATTATTACAATAATTTTTGATAAATTTATTTAATTTTAGTCATGATATCCAGCAAATAATCCCTATATATTATTAAAGAAGTTATCACTTTATAACTTCAACTTAATTTAAAGAAATGCTTACTGTAATTCGTTTAATTACAGTAAACCATCTTTTCTTGAGAGAACTTTGTAGAATTGACTTCTCAGAATATACCCTTCACCTTTAAATATATATAATAGTGCTTAGACTGAAAATGATCTCTACAATGATTGGAACAATCTTTTTACTAAAACTGTGAATTTGAGACAAAGAAACAGTTATGATGATGGTGTGGTGATAATATAAGTTACTAAGTTAGCATCAAATAGTAAGGCATTAATGGTGGCATGATTGTAATGACCCCAGCATGACATCACAAAATTAATTAATGTTTCACATTGTAAACTCATGCGAATAAAAAAAATTCATGCTAAGAAAACTGCAAACTCAAATATATATACCATGCAACTATATGCACTCGAAATTTAATATGGGAACTACTTTTATCTGGCAAAACTTTACACATCTTATCCAGAATGCAAATGAAATTCTTACATTGGACTTGAGCTGGTCCTTCAACCATGAAAGGTAAAAGTGCAGGTCGCTCTTGTCCATCAACTGAGGGTGCCAGCAAGCGAGTTTAGCGATGATACGTGCAGTCATATGTTGCACAAACTCATCCTGTCGGTTTAGCAAATTAAGGAATGGCTGCCAAACATTCCCCATGGAGAATCTGTTCTCCCGGAATATCTTCACTCTAGATTTATCTTCCTGAAAAATTTTGATAGTAATTATAAAAGAGTAAAAGAGAAAGCAACAAAACTCATTTTTTTAATGAAAATATGGTCTCAAAATTATTAATTGATCACCAAGTCAGTAACTATTTGTTTCCACATTGGACTAAATAAAAATTGCAATAGGTACAATTTTAGTTTTTCCAATGTCCAAATCTAAAATTGTGAGCAGGCTTATTGGACAAAACTAAAATTGTAATAAGTGGCATTGAGTAACCCAAATTTAAAATAATTTTTGTTTACTATTTACTCTTGTTAAGCAAAGGAAAATATTTATAAAACTAATAATTCTACAAAACAAGTTACTCCCTTTTCATCTATATGTTATAAAAGAGTAGCATATGCTCACAATATAGATTTTTTGTCAAATAAGGGATAAGGATACTGATGATACTAACAGAAAGAATGTCGTCAATCAACACAAGCACATATTGGATGGTGTGGTCCTTGCTGATATGGGTAAGCAGATTGAGGAAGACTTCAGCACAAACTTCTGGGTTCTTGCCAGGGAGATCCTTCTGGCCACGTTGATCCAAGTTCACAATGAAGTCATGATCACGCTGAGTGATCATTTGTGACCTAACAACAGAAAAAGTTTTACGTTGAGGAACGACACCAGACCAGACGAATTAAAAATATTGTGACGTCATGAAAGATCAATACTTACTGCAAGTATGATTGCCAGTTAATTTGGGACTGGCGAATTTCACTAGCTCGTATTTGCAATACGCTGGTGGCAGCAATCATATCTGAAATATATTAATCCATTAGCGTACCAATGAAAACTAGAAATAAACAAAGGCGTATTAAAGTTTAACACTTACCGATTTTATCGTCACCCAGCGTAGGGATTAGTTTGCTGACATTTTCATTGTTGAGATTAGCCATTTTGGCTAAATTTTACGAAATTTCAATTTGGAATCAAATTAAAAGACTCCCTAAATCGAAAAACAGTGACAGACAGACAGCCTCAGCTGAGAGATCTTGTGACTACACTTACTCTGAAGTTAGCTACTCTGAAGATGATAATATTCGCTTACCTTCTCTAATGAATACACGACGTGCTAGAAAAGACAGAGACACAGAATATTATAAAGCAGTTGTCACTTCCTAAAATAGTGCCAACCTTACCATCTAAATGACATTTAATTCCTATCGTTCAGAAATCAAGTTATCTTATCAAGTTCTATTAAGAATATCAAGTTCTCTTTTTGAAATCATTTGTAAAGCTGCGTACACATCGGCTGAATGATCCAAACAATTTAGCTTACGTGACCGCCAGGATGGCAGGTCAGTAATTTTATTTAGTGTTGAAATCACTTGAAATGGTGGCCAAGAATTGCTTTCTATTTACTTCCTCAATATTTAAAGAATAATTAAAACATTTAAAGTGACCTGCGGTTCTGACGTCAGGATGGCTGGTCACCCACCCGTAGAATACTTACCAAAATGTACTCTTAATTCTAGGAATTTTCATACGCTAATAATTACTTCCCATTTGCTTCCTTAAAACCCTATAAGCCTTTATTTTGTAGCTATACAGGAAATAAAGATACGTTCATTAAGTTTAACATCGGATTGGTAAAAAACCTGCTTTTATAAATTTATGGTCACCTGGAACGTATTTCCGTCATTATATTAGCGCCCTGTTATTCATGTTTATGAAACAACAATGATCCGCGATCATGATCGTAAGTAGTCTTAGTTCCATGAGCTATAAACAGTTCCACATTTGCCTACTATTTTCTTATATCTATGATATCTTTTAAATTGAAAATGTGTATTTTTAAAAAGACAATTTTCATGATTTCACCAGCTACATGTTGCCATGCATAATAGCATGTCTGGGTAACATTGATTTTATTGAGGGTGTTCAAAGTTTTGCAATTAAATAAAAATTTTTTTTAATCTAAAATATTAATAAGTAACAACAATGTTTTCTTTACGATGATTCTCTAAACTTGAAACTAAAATTAGGTTTAGAGAATCATACAAGAATCGATACCACTTACAAGTTACTGGTCGATTGGCGACGGTAATCCATCATTAACCAATAAGTGAACACTTTCTAATCCGACATCAATAACTGTTCATGTGCAAGCTCGCACAGTCCTATACCTAATTAAAAGAAAAATTCCTGTTTTTTGTTTTTTGCACAAAAATTGCGTCGTTCCGCGATCTGATACTGTGAGTATTGTGTGTCGAGAACAGGTACGAGTGAATAGTGAGAATGTGACTAGTGGTAGGGGTATCGAGCGCAGTAAAAGACGAAGTCAGAGGGTAGACCGATATGTCTGCCAAGGACCGTACTACGCCACTGCGCACGAATCCGCAACTACCTCCAAGATTTCCGCCAAAAATCTGCTAAGTTTTTCTGCCTCGAGAAACTGCCTGGCACCATCTCGTACGCAGCATGGCTGACCAGCCGACCCCGACGCCGTCAACCTCGCTAGGCCTCACTCCGATTTTGGACGAGGAGCTCGCCAGCGTTTTAGCCTGGTCGATCGAGATAGCATCGCCCGGCGTCAAATATGCATTTTACGCCACGATGGTAGCTCTGCTCGTCGAGTCCAGCATGCTATCGGACCGGCTGAATCGCTGGCTGAGCTCCTACGTTCGCTTGCTGAAGTTCGAGGCGGGCGAAACACCTGTCCTATGGCCCGCCGATGAGATGGCCCTGGAGGCGTTGCAGGCACAAAGCGGTTCGCCGCTTCATCGCAAGCTAGACTAGCCACCTCCTCGCCAAAAGCCGAGGACAAGCGTCCTCGAACAGGACACCCGCGCGACCCGCGCCTACGCCGGTCACTCAGCATCGGCGACCACCCAGAGCCGACGCCACCATCACCATCGCAGCAGCCAACTCCAGCAGCGCAGCGCGACTGTGCACCACGGAGAGTAATCGCAGCCACTGCTTTACCGACACCACCACCGGAGAGCTATGTGCAAGACGCGAAAAATTTCGCACCTACCCTCAAAGCCGCCAATTTTCACCCACCGTCGCATCGCACCCAGCATGCAACCAGCCCCCGGCACAGCTCCCACGGCCCAACGGGCACATAAGTTCTAAGCTCAACCACTAGCGGCGGGTGCTAGTGGTTGAGCACCTACCGGACTGGCCCACCCACATGAGACTCCTGAGCGACGCCCTTGGCCTTGGTAGCCATTCAAGGGCTGCCCTTTAACACACAAGGGCTACGAAGTCGAGCACGTGAAGCAGAAGCCTGGGGCAAACAGGCCGCACCGGATGTATCTTCTACGCAGCCGTGAAGAGAACAGGCGTCATCCCGGCCATTTACTCGGTGAGTGAGCTCCTGAGTATAGCCGGAATCACCATGGAAGCATGGAGAGGCAAGGAGGGCCCTGCGCAGTGCCATCGCTGCCAGGGCTTCCTACACTCCAGTAAGGGATGCCATCGCACGCTTGCCAGCGTGCGCTGCGGAGACCCGCACGCCGCCGCCGCCTACCCCCGCCCACTAGTACAGCCCACAACTTGTGCTTACTGCAAGGGCCCGCATCCTGCTAATCACAGCACAGCTCGTGCCCCGTGACTAGTGCCGTCTTTGGCCTATTGGAGGCCCTGGGCAAATTAGGATAATGGGGCCCTCTATGACCCCCGTTTGGTGATCTAACAAGAACTAGGGACTTTGTATTTGTGATCTGAGGTGCCCACCTATCGATCACGGGGCCCTGAGCACTTGCCCAAAGTGCCCACTGGGAAAGACGGGTCTGTCCGTGATTCACCGCGAGGCGCGAAACAGGAAAGCGTCTACAGTGGCCCGAACAGGCCACACGCCCGCCGTACCACCCCAACAAAGGAACGAGGTGAGTGAGCATGCGCCGGGTGGCCGGCGCGAATGCCGCTCCCACGCAGGCGAAGCCCAAAACCAAGCGTCGCCGCAAAAAAAAAAACCGCATCGACAATACAACGACACCCGCCGCACCACCACGCGTCGCAGCCAATCAAAAGGAACACACCCCATCACCGGTCTCAATCGACGCAATCCGACAGCCGCTTAATCTTGCCGAGCAGGTGAAGGATTTTATGGAAAAACACCGATAGCCGTGTTCGAAACTACCCCACAGACGGTGCTCCCCCCTTACGCCAAACGCCTGCGAGACGCGAGAAAAAAAAGACGCTCATATGTCTGCGAATAACATCGACCCACTATTACTTCAGTTACTCCGTGATCAAGGCGCTTGCAACAGTGCCGAAATATCGGAGACTCATAAAAAACAAGGTACATGGTAACGATCCCGTTAATGTTAGTTACCATGAAAGTTTAAAACAATATAAAAATTAAGATGTCTTGTGGAGAAACGAGGTGCACGGGTGGGCGTGCGTTGCGCCGATTGGCTCTCCAGCCGCACTCCTCCGCGTTTTATTCAGCGCTAAAGTTACGTGCCGCGACTTATACTAAATGTATGAAACCAATACATTTCTGACGTGTCTCGATACAACACGATAGGCTAGTATATTTGCGTCTTAATTCTGAACGAAAGGAAGTATTGCCATTCGGAAATAATAATAAACATCTGTGGTGTAACTTTAATGTGATGACAATTGACAAAAGTATTATTTTAAAGGAAACAGATTTGTAAAATATTTTGAGAAATCGTATTATTGTACCCATATTTTAAGTATACGTACCCACCAAGATCCAATTTATAACTTAAACTTATTGTTTTGCATAGAAAGTCATAAAAGTTGGTTTGTGTACTTACGATCATATTTGTCTTCAACAAATAATGCTTGTGTTGCTCTATCCATTTTCCACTTTCGTTAGGTTATGTCTTGTGATAAATTGTTATTTTATAGATTCATAATCTTTTTATTGTTTTTTGCAGCATTATAATTTTGTGCTTCTCTCAAAAGCATGACGTGACACATTTGGCTGTAAATAATTTTGGAAACTGGCCAGTTCTTTTGTCACATACGACAAACGATGACTACTATGCATTCAGAAGATTGTCAAACTAATGACCCAAATAACTTATTTCCGATGGCAATTGAGTCATTAAGGTTTCCTTTGGATAGTACTATGCGTATTATATTTACAGGATATTACAATGGCTTTAGTGTTGAAGTAAGGTCCCCAGAGGAAATGGCTATGCTACATCATATGGGTTGTTTTGGTAAAGGTTCTATGTCTCGTTCTAAGCCTAAGATGACACATAATGATAATGGTCCATGTATTATGCGAAAGAGGCAATTTTTGAAAAGGAGTGATTGGCATAGAAAGTTTAACCAAAGATTGGATAACCCTGAATCGGACACATTTTTCAAAGACATTGATGAATTAGCAGCAAGTATTATAAAGGGGGGTGAAAATATCAGAAAAAGAGATGTTATTGATTTAGTGTCCAGTGAAGATGAAGAAAGTGATCATTCTGAAGGCATAGACAACTTTGATCATCCAGTTTTATTAGATGCCTGTGATAAACAAGACCTAGTTGTAATAGTACCAAATAGTGACTCGGAAGAAGAAAATTACTTCGAAAAACTCAAACCAGAATGTTGTGTAAATAGAGTTAAAATACAAGAAAAGCTCATGTTAACTCTTGAAGAAGCCTTCTTTTTATCATATGGTCTTGGCTGTTTACAAGTATTAAACAATGAAGAAAAGGTAATTAATACAGATCAGCTGTGGGATCTTTTCAAAAATATGGATAAGAGATTTGTTCATAGATATGTTGTATATCATTATTATCGATCTAAGGGATATATAGTGAAATCTGGAATAAAATTTGGTGGAGATTACTGTAAGTGTCTTTATATATGAACTAAGAAATTGTTGTGGTTATTTTATACCAATTCACAATGATTTATATATTCATAAAGCCAAATAAAAGAATTGGACAAATTAATCACTTTTTGTGATTTTTCTTAATTTTAATTATTGCATGCTCCTCAAATGTATTAATATATTTAGTATTTGTAGTGTTTTCTAAAACAATGGAACAGATTATGAAAATTTCATCAAATGAAAGCTATATTGGTATTATAATATAAATGCATTAAAATAAAGTTACTCAGCAAGGACAAATTGATAGTTAGTAGTAATGCATATAAATAATAATAAATGAATGCTTTATTTACAGAAATATGCATAATGTCTTGTATACAATATATTCTCTTGCAAGAAGGCTAGAATACAAGTCCATTTCCACAACTACTCTAATAGATCTAGATCTTTATTCAACTATATTAAATACAATCCGAGACAATAGAGAATAGAAAAGTATCATGTTAAAACAATGTTTCCTAATCAACCAATCAACTTATTCGGATATATCTGTTATGGTAATATATAACTTGTAATTTATTTTTTATTGTTTCAGTAATATACAAAGAAGTTCCATCAATTGCACATGCTGACTACATAATTGTGATAAAAGATGAACTACAGAAATTTGACTGGATCTCAACGCTAGGTCATGTTCGGATGGCAACAACTACTGTAAAGGTACCTACTTCTTTCAGTAGGCAAACTTCTACATATATTAGTATGAATCATTAAAACATTTTTATAAAACGTCAAAATCAACATTTTTTTTCAGGAAGTTTTGGTTGTGGAAGTTTCAAAGACTGATCATAATTTATTAGACACGGCTGAAAATGTTAGTGCCTATAAAGTGCGGGAAATAATTTTATCTAGAAAAAATCCTTTTTCAATAAATGATGATGATTAAAATATACTTGTTTGTATTTATATAATTCAACAACTTCATCCTTATTTTTATCATTAAACTCTCTTCATAGTTTTTTTAATACCGGTTTTTCTGTATTCACTCCTCTCTTTCAAATATTCTTCTGTACAATATTGTCTAAATTCTTCATTATTGTACCAAGAGCCAAGACATGTTTTTAATGCTGAATTTTCTTTCCTACACTTAACTACCATTAATAATGAAGATTCTTTGCAACATTTCTCAAACTCTGCAACTTCCGGAATACACTTTTCTGTTCTTGCCTTTTCTCTCATTAATTTAGGAACCATAACTTCAGTCTCCACTTTTCGTAGTGTTTTATCTTCAGGATCACCTATTGAAAATGAGATTATTATTAGCCTTAACTGTTTTTTTTGTGGTTAGTAGATTCTGTCGTTTCAATTTAAGTATTAAACTAAGCCTACCTAAGCCTAGGGGTCCACCAGAAAATTTCGGAGGCAATACAGATTTGTCCGTCATTATAATTTAATTTTTAAAGTTTTTGGGGTAAAAAATTATAATCGTACTCCGGAATCTATCAATTTCATTTTGACAACTTTATTTTGTAAGATCCTCTTTTTGAGTAAAAGCAAAGGATACTATGTCTATAAGCTTTTTCAATAAACTTCTGTGAAGTAGTACTACAAGACGGTTATTGCGAGCACTTGATCAATATATTATATCGTGTAAGTGGTTATATTTAACACCAAATCACAATGGTGTCGATTCCGGCATGATTCTCTGAACTTAAAACTTAACATCAGACTTCTTTTCGTTTTGTATAGAGAACGACAAGGAAGCGGTGTCAATTCTGGTGTCATTCTTTAAATTTAACATCAGTCTCTCCTTTTCATTCTGTATAGAGAATGACAAGGATACACTGTTGTCAAATTTAAGTTTAGATTTAGAGAATCGTGCCATTATCGTCACTATTGGGTTTGTATGATAAAAATTACATATTTGCAAATAATTGTTTTAAACGTGATAAAACAAGTTTCCGGAACCATATTAATATTCTATAGTAAGACCACAGACTTAATATTGTTAGTCTGTGAGTAAGGGTACGGCCACAGTGCACGCAGAATCAGATTCAGACTCAGAAAACAAGCGCGAGAAATAAACGCTTCGAAAATTGCTAACCTAAATTGCTGAAGTTGGTAACCCTAACTGCAGGATATAGTTATTTAAGTGACCTTTTTCTTGGTTGTGTTATAAACAAACATTTAGTGCCTTGCTTCTTGTTTGCGATCTACTCTTGTTTCTTAATTTATATATTGGAATTAACATAATGAATATAGAAGCCCTTTCGCGAAACTTTTTTTAACCCTGCTGTATGGGTTAAAAGAGGCAAGAACTATTAAAATAGGAATGTCGTTGATGGGTGCTGGCAAAACTTCGCTGGAGATATGGGTGTGCACTGTGACCGTACCCTAAGACCATAATGTAAAGTTTTAATTCTACGCCCCGAATTACTGATTCGATAAATTTTATGACAAACTGCAAGTCTCTAATGACAATGAAGAACTATAGTTATTTGTTTCAAGTTTAGAAATCATTTTAAATTTCGAATAAGGTAACTCATGGGCGCATAAACATCAAAACGGTCATGATAGTGGGATCAATTCTGGCACGATTCTGTAAACTTAAAACTAAATTTAACATCAGTCTCTCCTTTACATTCTGTATAGAGATTGACAAGGATACACTGTTGTCAAATTTAAGTGTAGGTTTAGAGAACCCTGCCAGAATCAATAGCAGTGTGCCGCTAGAATAAAAGTAACATTTTCGAAAAAATTACTTTGGTCGTTCTTAAGTTCATTTTACGTTGTCAGATTAGATGCAAAGAGGGACCACCCGGGCATAGTGAGATAGTCAGATAAGAGGCCCTGTATCTGTCTTTTTCTCGTTCTTACGAATGCGACCAGAGATATGTATAATAATAATATATTTATCTATTGTACGCAGGCGAACTTGTAGTAACTTATAATAATTAATTACTTTTTAGTTTGCTGTGATTGGTTGTTTAAGAGCCTCTACCGACTACACCGTTTCATACCATGAACGTGCTAGGACCGTATCAAACACGGAAACTGACACGAAACGGCTTGCTATGCCCACTGAAACGACGTCTGCGGAGTGCTATCAAGTTTTAAATACGATAGGTATGGCTATTAAAACACTAACTGTTAGACAACTGGAAATGATTGCCATAATATTGGATGAGGAAGAAGAACAGAATCAAAAAAACCAGTTGACGCTACTGGATTCACGATTCTATAAAAGAACGAAAAACTGAAGGAGAATTTTGGACGTTGTATAAGCACTTAGTTGAAGATGTAGAAAAGTTCTTTCAGTACTTCCGGCGTTTAAGACGCCTATTTAACGGTCATCATACGCGATTCCTAACCCGTATAGTCACCGTTTTGTTGCCTGCGCGCATCGGTTTTGCAACGTCGCGTGCCATGCGCGGAGCGTATCGGCACCGGCAAAATTAATATATATTAGTAGCCGCTCCGTGCATGGCACGCGACGGTACTGGTCGGTGATGGAACGGGCTAGTGGGCATTGTCTCATACTTTTTAATACAAAGAATATTTTTTTGCCTGACACGTTCATAACACGGGTGTCGATTCTGGCACGATTCTCTAAATCTAAACTTAAATTTGACAACAGTGTATCCTTGTCATTCTCTATACAGAATGAAAAGGACAGACTGATGTTAAATTTAGTTTTAAGTTTAGAGAATCACGCTGGAATCGACACCACGGTCATGGTATAATACTGTGTAGTGGGTACATAAACCTTAATGTTATTGTATGCCATTGTTTAACGCTATATCGGGAAAAAAATAAAAATAAACAGAAATCTTAAATTATTCCGGGATAAAAAGCTTCCTTTTTAAACTTGTGATTTTATGGCATGCGCATTTCATTTTAATAAATTACGGTAGCTTTCCAATTACAGCATTATAGCGCATTATGCGGCATAATGCTTAACGTTGAGTGTTCCAACTACAGCAACGCTTCGCACAATTGAGCACTCTCAAAAGTAATGCTTACGTGTGATGTGTGCTATCGTACCAACCCAGTGACAGAAAATTAACAAGTGTTTTTTCTTTAAGTTGGCATTGATCGAAATGTTTTATTTATATGTTATCGTAACGTAAGTAATATTATTTGTTGTTCAGAAAGTATTAAAGCTTTCGTTTCATTAAATAGTTTTTTTTAAACAATCAAAGTTAATTCAAACTGTTAAAAAATAAATATAAGTATGGATGAAGGTACAAACATTGACTTTTTTTTTTCAACACTGAACTTAGCGCACTCTGCTGGTGCATTTGAAAACTAATTCACGTTCCAATTAAGCATCAGCATAATAGGGAAGATGCAATATTTTTATTTTTGTTTTCATTTTAAAGAATTCCATGTAGAATAAACCACAGATATATTAAAAAATGAAAACATTGTGATTTATCGGAAAAAATGCGGTTTTAAATTGACAATTTAAATTTTCGCGCGGAAACGAACCTATGGTTGCGATGACGTCACTCCTGTCTGTCACTGGTCGTAATTGTTCGTTGCTGGCTTTAAATTTTCATACTTTTGCATATTTTTTCGACTTTCGAAATATTTTTTTGAAAAATTTAAAATGGACTATCCATCAACATCATGTGATCATAACAATACCACTAATATTCCGAAAAAAAGCCGTGTTGACTCATGTTTTGTGCCAATCTACTTCAACAAAGTTCCCAAATAAATTGTTTTTGACTGGAACTTCTGACCCAAAACTGAAAAAAAAGTGGTTTCAAGCTGCGAAGAGAAATGACAATTATTCTCCAAAGACCATTATTCGATGCTGAGAAGATCACTTTGACGTAAGTCGGCGAATATACTTGTTATATGCTTAATTAATCTGCTTGTACGTAACCTACCTAATACTTACAAAACCTGTCTATAACATATTTTTAATTTTACAGTTGGAGAATGACGTTGAAAATTAGATAAAGTTTAAAATGTGTGGCACAATCGTCACATTGGCAGGACTGAATCAAGCTTTGCGGTTCATTTAAAATAACTGTAACACGATAACCTTCTTTACGTACTTTATAATAATAAATAAATATAAATAAATTTAGTTTTATACTCCGGAGAACTCGACCTTTTACTGTACATAATTTTCCATCTCTTTTAATTTGGACATAGCCGATTGCATTATCGCCGTAAATTTTGTAGAAGCCGCTGAATAAAATACGAAGTTTAACATTTACGATTTTTACATACCGTAATAATTTAGTCCCTTTCATTTCTACACTTAAAAACTCTGCACTTTGGACAAAAAAAGTTATAACCATGTCAACGCTAACTCTTGGTAAATTCCTGGAGTCTGCTTTGATAAACGCAAGTTCCATTTTTATTAAATGTAAAAAAACGCAATAAATATTCCCATAAAATTATTTACTTTAACAACCATAACCTCAAAGAAGTTGTCATAACAGGAGTGACGTCACTAAACGCTGATTGGTGTTTTAAAATACGTTCCATTTCAAGTATTTTTAATTCGTAATAATTGTTAAAAAACAACATTATGTAAAATAAAAACGTTGCAGTGGCATTTCTTTTATATTTTTTTAACATTTTAATCATAAAATTTTCATAAATCTTTATATATATAATTCTACTGTGAGTGTGTATGTCACTGAACTTCTCTTAAACGACTGGACCGATTTTGATGAAATTTTTTGTGTGTGTTCAAGGGGATCTGAGAATGGTTTAGATTCACAATTTTGTCCGCTGGACAACCCCTATTTTTTTAGGGCGGTACGAAGTTCGCTGGGTCAGCTAGTATTATATATGCATCTTCCCTATTCGGCATTGTGCGGCTCTGAGTCGCATTATGCTCTGTAATTGGAAGCAACATGCAAGAATTTTGAAGGTTGTCTGCAGTGTTGCCACCTTGGTGGTTTTTCCACCAGAACTGGTGCTTTTTTAACATGAAATCTAGCAACATATTTTTAAGGGGGAAATGCCCTAACTTTCCGAAATTTCATAATGTTCTATGTGGTTACTCACAGTTATTTCTGTAACATCTCATACATATTCACTGGTTTTTTATTTAAATTAGGGTTTTTTGTTATCAGAGATGTAATTGTAATTCAGCGGATTTTGGTGTATTTTATTAAATCCAAATTTTTGAAATCTGGCGATTATTTATCTTTGACTTGGCGCCTTAAAAAAATCCAAGGTGGCAACACTGGTTGTCTGTGATAGGCTACTCTGTGGTGATATGAGCTTGCATTTTCGACGTAAACTGTCAGTCACTGTCGCTGGCTGGCTGGAAATTCTCAATTTCATAAAATCGTCTTAAAACTATCGAGATTTTAGAAATCGTGACACTTTTAAACAAAGCATTAGTTTATATTGATTGTAAGTTTGGTTTTACCTTCACCAAAATACCTTTCTGTTCAAAATACGTTAAGTGTGATTGTGTTATTTTTGACGTGTGGCCTGTCGTATATAAATTGATAGTTTTTAGGGATAAAAAACAAATTAGTAAACATGGATCGTCTGCTACGTCTTGGCGGCGGAGTGCCAGGTTTATCTCAAGCGCCTCCTCCTACTGATGCACCTGTTGTAGACACTGCCGAACAGGTATACATCTCGTCTTTGGCCCTGTTGAAGATGTTAAAACACGGGCGCGCCGGTGTTCCAATGGAAGTTATGGGACTTATGTTAGGTAAGTGTATGATTAAACTAAACTGCATGTAAAATAAATACATTATTATCGATGGCAGTTGATGATGACATAGCATTTTTTCACCAATCCCTAATGGCCTGCATTCCAGGTGAATTTGTTGATGATTACACGGTGCGTGTCATAGACGTATTTGCCATGCCTCAAACTGGCACAGGAGTGTCGGTTGAAGCTGTAGATCCTGTCTTCCAAGCAAAGATGTTGGATATGTTGAAGCAAACTGGACGACCTGAGATGGTAGTGGGATGGTAATTTTACATTTATTTAAGTCTAATTATCACTATTTTATTTAATTCAATAAAAGCATATAAACTTGATTAAGTTCTCTGTCGACAACCTCTCAGTCACTTTATTATATTCTCAATATGAAAAAAAATTTATATTAGAAATTAGTGTATTTCATTTTCTTTTCAAACATTAAGTTAAGAACTTCATATTTTATACTATAAACAATAATTTTATTATATTTAAGTCATACCCATGGACGTATAAAAAAAGGTGGACAGAGTTTCGGCTAAGACAATACTGAGGCACCGTAATGGCGGCAGCTATTGATGAGTGAGTGAATTGTAGGGTTGCTAGGTTAGCCAATATTTTACCAATAAAACAGTAAAAACATGAAAATATTTTGATTGTTCAAAATTTTACTTTTTGCCCGACTGCGGAGGATAATGTTTTTCGAGCGTATGTATGCATGTATGTCCAATAATTTGGCACGCCCTACAGCCTGAACGTCTTGACGGATTTTGACATGCGAGGTGTCATTTGATTTGTCGTGGTTGTGTGAGTGGCACTCGGTATATTAAAATTTCAAAAAATCAAAATAACAGATTTTATGCGCCAAAATGAAACATTTTGAAAAAAAAGTATAAGTATTTTTATGACTCGTCAAGCGAGGTATCAAAGTGAAGGGTTTTAAAAGAATATTTAGAAAATATACAACTCGTGTAATTAAAAAATAATGAAATTAAAATGTCAAAATCAAAAAAAAATGTACTAGAAAGAAAAAAACAAGTCCAGTAGTCTAGAATTCTGTTTAATAAGGAACAAAGTTACTTTAACAGTGGGGACTCATTAGAAATTCTAGAATGTATCGAATTTTCTCAATATTAGGTAAATCAACTAAATATACATTGCCTGGCCTGCATTCTCTTTCATATTTCTTAAAATAAACTAACACCCATTGAGTACTGTTTGTAATTGAGGAGTTCCATTGTTTTCCTCCGAAAGTACTCATCAGATCTCCAGTAAACTAATATGCAGCCATCTCGCTAGTAAATTGATTAAAACAAAAAAAAAATCATCATAAACGGTCCACGAATCCGAGATTCTGCGCGAACAACAATAAAAAAAACAAATATGACGCATTGCGAACCTCTTTCTTTGCGAAGTCGGTTAAAAATTTTAATCAACCTTTTCACGTAATAACACGCCAGAGTCCTCCTTTAGTTGTATATAAGTCTTGAGCTTCAAAATGAAGACTAAAAATGACACTACTACATATTTGTTTGGAAATCATTCATTTTCCAGTAATTTCTCCATACTACATTTTCTTTAAGAAATCTGCTAAAAAAGAATAATAAATAATAGATTGAAGCTAATGTCAACCCAATTTCCCAAATTTTAGGTAATATGGTTACATGAACATTGGCAACACTGGGCTTTAGACTAATCATTTTGTCCTTAACATTTAAAATTGATTTCGATTTCTAAAAACTAGAAAAAAGTCATTCAATTATTCATTTACCTATGAAACGTGATTCCTGGATTTTTTTTCTTTCGGTCACTTTTTTTTTTTTTTATATAGATAGGTCCGACAAATGACTTCACCCCACCTGATGTTAAGTGAAGGTGAAGTCCAGACGCGAAGATAGCTGATACAGCAGTTCTACCTGCCACACCAGCCATCCTCACCCTGCCGGCCTGCATGTTGCTTCTTCACGCCTCTTTTAAAGGATCCCAAGTTGTAAGAGGGAGGGAACACGTGAACGGGCAGAGCATTCCATTTACGGATAGTGCGACAAAGAAATGAGTCACCAAATTGAAAATGAGTTAAGTACGCCAGAAGATCACCCGTCGATCGTTTCGGTCTAAATCCATATTGACGATCATTAATCAGGGAGTGATCCTCTAGGTAGGGGGTCAGATGGTTATTAAGGACCTTTTCTAGAACTTTACATAAAACTGAGGTGACTGCTATTGGCCGGTAGTTTGCCGGGTCTGAGCGATCCCCTTTTTTGGGCACCGGTTGCACGTTAGCATCTCTCCAAGTCTCCGGCACACGCCCCAAAGAATACGAGCATTGGTACAAGCGCGTGAGCACGGGAGACAACTCCGCTGCACATTTTTTAAGTACTACTGCTGGGATGCCATCAGGTCCACTAGCTTTCCGGACGTCGAGTGATTGCAATTCGGCACGAACCTCACGCTGCCTAATTTTAATAACAGGCATCGTTGTGCCACAGTGAGGTAATGATGGTGGCAGTGCATTGCAATCATCGATTCGGGAGTTAGCCGCAAAGAGTTTTGGCAGTAAATCAGCTTTCTCCTGCGGCTTATGAGCTAGTGTTCCGTCTGGGCATCTCAGAGGTGGCAGCGAGGGCTGGCAGAAGTTTTTTTGCACGGCCTTGGCCAAACGCCAGTAGCTACGGGAGCCCGCAGGATGAGTTATAAGTTCCTGGCCAACACGTGAAACACGCTGGGCATCCGCTCTGATGTAAGCCTTCTTACAGGCCTTGGAAGCAGAAATGTAGGCTGCTTTGAGTGAATCGACCCCGGGATCCTTGAGAGCGCGGCCTCTGATCCAATCACGATATGCCGCTTGCTTACGCGAAGTGTGCCTTTACTGATGAGATCAGAATGAGGAATATAGTATTCCATACCTGCTTTGACGTTTGCACGCGTAGTGGCTGACTATTGTGTGAATGTGTGCGTGCCGGCTTGTACATACAGCGACCTGGCCGACTCTGAGCGACACAGTTTATTGTTTACCGGGACTCTGTCCGCCTTTTTTTATAAGTCCATGGTCATACCTATGTAGAAGCAGCATTAATTAAAAAAATATTTATCCTTTTTTCTGAAATTACAGGTACCACTCGCATCCTGGCTTTGGATGTTGGTTATCTGGAGTCGACATTAATACTCAGCAGTCTTTCGAAGCTTTGTCTGAACGTGCTGTAGCTGTAGTGGTTGATCCGATTCAGTCAGTAAAAGGCAAAGTTGTGATTGATGCGTTTAGACTAATCAATCCTAACATGATGGTGCTTGGGCAGGAACCAAGGCAGACAACATCCAACTTGGGTCATTTACAGAAACCCTCAGTGCAGGCTCTCATTCACGGTCTCAACCGCCACTATTACTCTATCAGTATAAACTATAGGAAAAATGAGCTAGAGCAAAAGATGCTGTTGAACCTTCATAAAAAGTCCTGGATGGATGGTCTCACATTGTCAGATTATAAGGAACACTGTTCAATCAATGAAACAACAGTGACAGATATGCTGGACCTAGCTAAAAATTACAACAAAGCACTTGAAGATGAAGAGAAAATGACACCCGAACAGTTGGCAATTAAGAATGTAGGCAAACAAGATCCCAAGAGGCATTTAGAAGAGAAAGTAGATGTACTAATGTCCAATAACATTGTGCAATGTCTTGGAGCAATGCTCGACACAATGGTATTTAAATGATCTTTAGATGAAGTGTTTTTTATATTTTAATGTGTTAAGACAAACAACAATTAAGAAATCCATTTTAAGTTTCGTTCACTGGATGTATAAATGAATTTAGTGAAGGAATGAAAAGATTTTATACCATTTCATTTGATTTGGCTTAGTAAAAATGTATTTGGTTAAATAGTATTTGGTAGAATTCCTAAAAAGTCCATGATACCTTTTGATGATCTCATTAGCTAAATGGGCATCATTTTTAATTGAATATAGTTTTTGTGATAAATAAAGAATGCCAATTCTCTAAACACAATTTTATATCCACTCATATCTATACCTATAGTGAAAATGGTAAATGCTAACAATAGTTGTTTTTGCTCATTGCAAAGTTTATTGGTAAATATTAAGTCTCTAAATAATCTAGATAATCTTTTCATTCCAAAGCTGTATTATACTAATTTACTTAATTGTAATACAACTATTACATAATAAAACATTCTGATTTTTTATTAATAACTTTAATTGAATAGTCTCTGAGGTGCTATTTGTTTAGAAATGTTGTCAAGCCTGCTTTCCACAGTAGAATAGCATGGTAGGTTTACAAAATCTATATCAAACATTGGTTTCAGACGAGGTTGGAAATTAATAATATTTTGAATGATGTGCTTCAATTTGGTGTAAGCTTCATCAGCATTGTCTGTAGCTACCTGAATTGGTAATAAAATTGATTATGAATATTGTCAACAAGGAAGAATCAACATTACAGACATGGTCATGATAAGATCATAATTTACATGAATAGGATTCAGTTTGAACCAGAAAGAAATGATTATTTTAATATAATATAATTTTGTATGCCCAAAATACTTACAGTGTCCCAAAATATTCCAGGATACTTGCGATGGATATCTTCATAATCATCTCTGACATTGGTAGTACTAGTTTCACCAGGTTCCTGAAAAACATTTTTTTATATGTATATCTATAAGAAATCAAATCTACGTAATTATATTACGATAATACTATGTACCTTTGTTATTGGGTACAGGGGAAATATTGGGAAATGTAGTCATTATGACTACGTATGTTTATTTTCAAAAAATATTTTTTACTTACCATTTGATAATCGGCCAATTGTCTTATGATTGCATCAGGATCGTCCACGCGGGTATCTTTGCGTACTGCGACATCAGCTGTAAAATTAAAAAGTTTTTACATGTATTGGGTATACTCTATAGATAGACACAACTATGGTACCTACAGTCAAGGTGCTATGATGTGGTTATTCCACTTTGGGTCCATTTCCTTGAAATATATGATTGGATACTAATAAGAATCCCACGATTGGACTCCACTGAAACTTACAGTATAAAAAACTAAGCAACTATCACAATGGTTAGTCATCTTACTTAGTTTGGGTCACAAAAAAAATATTATCTCGGAAGTAGTTCTCAATCGTCTCACTTCACTCGTAACTTACTTCTAGGTAAATCTGCGTGAAATTCACATAGGTTAAATAAATATGTATGTTTTTTCGATTTTCGGTGATATGATTGATATTTCGAGATACGTTGCTGTACAATATATAATTGGCACTTTCGTTTTTATACATAAAAAAAACGAACAAGTGCGAGTAGGACTCGCCCACCGAGGGTTCCGTACAAACTAGTACGTACGCATCATAAACGGCAGCATCTTGTTTTTTACGTGAACTTAGAAGTGTGATTTTTCCACAGCTTCGAGGGACAGTAGATTTGGTTTAAGTTTCAACTCGATCCCTTCACGCGTTTCCGAGATAAAGGGTCTTGATTGACAGACTGACGGACAGACGTCGAACAAAGTGATTTTATAAGAGTTCCATTTTTTCTTTTAGTTAAGGAATCCTAAAAAGATGTGAAGTGGATCCCTTACATATTTGACGGAAGCTACTGGCTCTGAGTAAGCCGGTTTCCATTAAAAACGCGAGCCACAAGTCCAGGTCATCGCTGGAGTTGCCAGTGGTAGCGAACCGTCCGCCGTCCTTCAGTCCTGTAACTTTTGTACTGATTGAGCGGCCTGTCTTCATCTTATTTGGTGCTCGAGGATCTGTAAGGCAGATATACAATAACCTTCTATTCCATAGAAGATCATTGGGCTTGTATTAAGTATAGGTATCGGCAAACTTGAGCTCTTGAGTTACCACAGAAAATTAACTTGTGCAGGAGACTATATACTAAAAGGAAATACAAATGTGTTTGAAAGAAACAATGTCGCCAAACTGCAGTACAGTCTGTTGGCGACTTAATGCGCTTTTAATTTTAAATGAAATCTAATATAATATTTGATGTTTATTATTACATCTGATCTTTACCTGCTTAAATATACTTATAAACATATTCCTTTATATAATTCTTCGTTTCGTGTATAAGATCTAAGCAATCATTTTTAGTCCATGAAAGTATCTCATAAATACATTTTCAACTTTAAAAAAAAAACGTTTTTACTACAGCAATCTTCTGCTCTAAATATTTCAATAAATATTTTTGGTACTAAATACTTCCTTGTTCGTTTCCCGTAACAGTTACATACCCTTTGTTCCATAAACCTTTTTCTTAAATCTACACTCAAGTTACCTTTTATTACATTATCTGTTTTATATTGAGTACAATTAAACTGTTCTACTGCTAATAAATATTTAACTTTTTCATGTATTGGTAAAATATTGCATTCGTTAAACAATAAGTTATAATTATATTTTTACAGCCTAATTTGCTTTAACCACGGTAATAATATTGTTACGTGTCGGGATGGGGTTCGAAATTATATGCCAGTTCACGCTTGACAGTTCTTTATTCACCACTCGTTCACACAATTAACACACAATGTTAATTACAAAACACTGACTAAACACTGTATTTCACTATACAAGTCACTAAACTATCGCACTGGAATACTTTTGTTTCACTTTGATCGCCTTTGGATTCGCTCCGAAATCGCTGTTGAAACTCAACTGTCTCTGCGCGGCGCCAATCGCGCTTATATACGCCGATCGACGCATTCTAGAAAGTACCTGTTAAATTGAGAATTACCTAGCACCCGCGAGTACGAAATACCTACCTATACCTTCGCAGGTAACACGCATAACTTGTAAACAAGTGCAGATGTCGTTGCACTTTCACCCTTAAGCCGCACTGCATAAGGCTCATTTTAGAATGAGCCGCAATACTCGACCTCTATCGCGACCCGCGGTGATCTGGTAAATTCGATCTCTGGCACTTTCGCGGTTACGTTTCGAGAGCGTTTGTGACAATATCTTTGACTGTTAACATGATACTTTACTTAAATCGTACATATTTGTATTCTGCATATTTTATCTAAATACGATCGAATAGTTCTTCCATAGGCAGCTAAACCATAAGCGCGTATTCCACCTGACTAAATTCAGACGTCCTAGTTAGAATCCTAAAAAGAAAACTAATTAGAAGCTTCTGATCACACTTGACTAATTTAGTTACTGATTCAGTATGACTTTTTCGTAATGGCTCCAGTCCTGTCAAAGCAATAAAAAAATCGGTCTTTTCGTAGGCCTGGCCGTTGGTATGCGCGGACAGTGGTCGGCCCGCTGACTACGTAACGGGGAGCAGGAGGTGCGACGCTCCGGTTACTGGGGCCAAAGCCCCAGACAAAGTGGTCGCTGAGTCGTCGTTGCCCGGACGGGCAAGGGGTGGGGTGGCCAGTACGTGCTACACGAATTGTTAACGCACCCTACGGGCTCCCGTAGTTTTTGGCTTTGGCTAAGGCCGTGCAGCACAACTTCTGCCAGCCCTCGCTGCCACCTCTGCGATGTCCAGATGGGTCACTAGCTCATGAGCCGCAAGAGAAAGCCGATTTGTTGGCAAAGCTCTTTGCGGCTAACTCCCGAATCAGTGATTGCAATGAACTGCCACCTACACCTCCTCATTGTGGCACTACGATGCCTATCATTAAAATCAGGCAGCGTGATGTTCGTGCGGCGTTGCAATCACTCGACGTCCGGAAAGCTAGTGGACCCGATAGCATCCCAGCATTTGTGCTAAAGCAGCGGAGTTGTCTCCCATGCTTACGCGCATGTACCAACTCTCTTACTCTTTGGGGCGTGTGCCGGAGACATGGAGAGATGCCAATGTGCAACCGGTGCCCAAAAAAGGGGACCGCTCAGACCCGGCTAACTATCGGCCGATATCTGTCACTTCAGTGTTGTGTAAAGTCTTAGAAAGGGTCCTAAACAACCATCTAACTCGCTACCTTTTTTTTTTTTTTTTCCACCGTCAACAATACCCACACACGTGCCATTTACGCACCATACCGCGCGCTTGCCAGGCGTGCGACGTGTGTGGGACTCCCCGGCGCGGAACAACGCTGGTCCTACCCACTAAAAACCACCGGTACCCTCCTCGGCCCTTATGAGGGCGCTCTGGGATCGGCACACCTACGTGCAGTGGCGGATTTACCAGTAGGCTCAGTAGGCTGGAGCCTAGGGCGGCAGACTTTGGGGGGTGGCAAATTTGGCCCAAAATATACCAGAAAAACGAGTGACAAACATTATAATATTTTAGTAATCCGTATACAGGGTGTTACAAAAATACAAATAAAGCTTGATGGGCGTTGAAGTACATCATATACGGAGTCTTCTCTAATTTTCTTAAAATATTTGCATGAAGTTTCAACTTTTTTATAAAAACAGTTATTTTTAATGATTAATTAAAATATCGATAATTTTAAGACACGTCACTAGTTCGAGGATCATTAAAAATAACTGTTTTTATATAAAGTTAAAAATTCATGCAAATATTTTTAAAAAAATAGAAAAGACTCCATATATGATTAACTTCAACGCCCTTCAAGCTTTATTTGTATTTTTGTAACACCCTGTATAAAAGATTACTAAACACACTATAAAATATAGGTACTTATGCGATCATGAATTTTTAAAATATTCCAATACCGTTTCAATATTAATTACAATTTAAATTTAGTAATTTTTTAACTAACGGGGAAAAGCCCGTACGTAATGTGGACGATAGAACACAAGTCATAAAGTTGCAATTTCAGAATAAATATAATTGTGAACTAGCGTATTGAATTTCAAAGGTCAGTAGGGGCACGTTAATAATATCATACAGTATTCTATCTTCATACAAACGGTCGGAAAGCGAGTCATACCTACGCCACTCGAGTTCGATGGGCTCTCGGCGGGCACCCAGTCGCGAATGCGCCGCCGCGCCGCAACGACGACCGAACGGTCTGAATTGTTTTTTATGCAGTTAGCCGTGCTTAAACGTGCGTTTTGTATTGTAAATATTTGATTTAATTAAGTAGATATCTACATTATTTAGTGTGGAAAAGAACAGACGACGATCAATATCGTACAACAGCACAATTGCTGTTTTTGGTTGCTTGAACTCTTCAATAACACAGCCAGAGATATCATTTTTTAAATTACCTAAAATATTGGAAAGGTGTCTTACCTTTATAGAATATTTTTTATATACCTATCTACTAGTACGTAATTTGTTTCTAGTATTTAGGTTATTTTTCCATCGGTCAAAATATCTGGAATAATATATAAATAAGTGGTTAGGAAGAAAAAATAGACAAACGAGCAATCTACCTACACTCGCGTTAAAAACAAAACTACATAAAATACTGTAGGCAGGCGGCCCTACCGCGTGCTAACGCAGCGCTCGGCCGTAGGCATTTATTTTCAAGAACAGGGCGGAGTCACAATACTGTATAGATAATATTACCGTGGTAGGGGCGGCAAAAATTGAATAGCCTATTAGCGGCAAATTTTTTAATACCGCCACTGCCTACGTGCGCCACTACACCAGAGCAAACCTGACTCGCTACCTAGAAGATTACTCTCTGATTCACGATCATCAATACGGATTTAGGCCGAATCGATCGACGGGTGCCCTTCTAGCGTACGTGACACACATCTGGGGTGAAGCTATAGGCAAGCGGGGAGAGTCTCTGGCTATTAGCCTTGACATCGCCAAGGCTTTTGACAGGGTCTGGCACAAAAGCATTCTCTCCAAGCTTCCTGCATACGGTCTGTCTGCTCAGCTCTGCGCCTGGGTAGCTGACTTCCTGCGTGAACGTAGAATTCGCGTCCTTACAGACGGATGTAGTTCGCAGTTCACGTCAGTGAATGCCGGTGTTCCTCAGGGCTTCGTTCTATCCCCTACACTCTTTTTGCTGCATATCAGTGATTTGATTCCACTTGCCAATATTCATTGCTATGCAGACGATAGTACAGTGCATGCGAGATACTTTGGACATGCAGCGGCTGGGCAGGTAGAAACCAGGGAGAAACGGGAGAATCTTGTCACTGAACTTGTCAATGAGGCTTTGGACCACATTTCCGAATGGGGTACCAGGTCAATGCCAAGAAAACTCAGGCCTGCGCTTTCACGGCAAAAACATCGCCATTCCTTCCCCTTCCCTCTCTTCAGGGCACAACACTGGCGCTACAGAACAACATTACCATGCTCGGTATGGAAATTCGCTCAGACCTGAATCCAAAGGACTACATCGAAACCGTGATCAAAATAGCTTCACGCAAACTCGGAGTCCTGAACAAGGTGCGGCGTTTTTTCACGCCCTATCAACTGTGCTTGTTGTACAAAACGCAAGTGCGGTCCTGCGTCGAATATTGCTCGCACCTCTGGGATGGCTCCGCTAAGTACTTACTCGAGGCCTTGGATAGGTTGCAGCGGCGCGCTGTCCGCATCATTGGCGATGAAGAGGTAACCAAGAAACTCGAGTCTCGACAATTACGCCGCGATGTGGCATCATTAAGCGCATTCTACCGACTATACCACGGCGAGTGTTCTGAGAAGTTATTCTCCCTTATCCCTCCATCACCTTTTCTTCAGAGGACCACGCGCGCTGGCCTACGTTGCCACCGACTTACTGTGGCCACTATTCCTACACGAACAAAGAAATTTGGTGACTCATTTCTCGCAAGTGTTCCCTCCTTCCTATAATTTGGGGTCCTTTAAGAGAGGCGTGAAGAAGCAGCTATCTTCGCCTTTGGACTTTATTACCACTTAACATCAGGTGGGGTAGAGTCATTTGCCTACCTCTATATATAAAAAAAAGGGAGGGGTTGTCCGAGTAGCTCGGACTCACCACTGACTTCTGTCGCCCGCGTTTCCCCCCTCTTCTCCTAGGAGAAGGGGCGAGGAGACGTGGGCGACCGCGAGAGGGGGTGCCTGCCCCTGCATCGACGGCGAGGGGAGAGGGACGGGGAGAACTACGCTCCCCCTCCCGATCCCCTGGGAATAGCGGCCCCCCCACCTGCAGTTCTCTCCTGCAAAGGGGGGTGGGGGGCGGCTGAGGGAGCTACAAGGGTATGCCCAAGTAGCCCTCCGCAGTGGACGGGGGGCGATGCGGTGGGCACTAGCGTACTCAGCCCCCACGCGCGGGTCATCCTGCGCACATCTGCGGGGTCCCCGCAATACCTCGGGAGACCCCTGCCGTGGAGCCCCGGCTAGGCCGGGAAGCTGCTGGGTGCGGAGTCGTGGATGAATCCCTAAATGGGGACCCTGCAGCTTCGCATTAAGCAGTGTAGAAGGTATTCGCAGGGTTTTTAGCCAGGTGTGAGGTCCGTTCGGCGGGGTGCCTCTTAAAGGCGCCGTTGTCTGTAAACAGTATTTTTGCCTGCGTAACAAAAAAAAAGGTAAAAAACTAAAAACGTGGATGAAAAAATATTAATATTATTTTTATCGTTTTTATTCCAAAGATATGGCATATCTTTATAAAATTTGATTATGTTACACATAACTTCTTTATCTTTTGCCGCCGACATCGCGCGACATCCCGTTCTATCTATGCTCAAGACTAGAATTATTACTGAGAATCTTTCTATAATACGGGCCTAAGTCAGTCAGAAGCCACACTTCTTCCGATTTAGAATGCTAATAAGGATCCTAACTTCCTAAATGCTATTTCACTTGACTGAATTAGTTACTGAATGATTTAGAACGTCTGAATTTAGTCAGATGGAATACGCGCTATATCTAAGAATTGAATCAGCCAAAGCATGATACAATATAAATAAAGTTCCTCTGCTTACTATACATTTTATGTTATTAAATTTATATAACACAGATCTTAATATACTACACACAATATAACATGCGATTTCCTATTAAAATTAGGTACTGTTTATAATAAGCCAACATTACAATTAATTTTATTGTTATGTAAGCAATCATAAGTGTGACCAATTATATTCAGCTTTTTAGGTTCTTTCATATATGGGGGTTTTATTATCATACATTTGATTTTTGATACATTAAGCACCATATCTGAAATGTGCTACTTCAATCGAATGTTCCATGTCCGAAAGATCCTTGCCGGAATACATAAGGCATGTGTCGTATACATATTACACTTTTTTACCATATTAGCCATACTGTTCACATGCATTATGTACCCAACCGCAAAATTTAGCCGCCTACAATTTCGTTTAGCATTCCCTTACTTACCACGTGAAAACTAGTGCACCTATATTTATGGTACCACCTACTGACGTTCAATAATGTAGTTTGAAATTAACTGTAACGCAGTATCAATACCTATTTCTATTTTAGAATCTTAAGTAGGTATCTCTATCTAGATAGGTTACTTACGAGAACAGGGAGGAGGAAGACTAACCATCGATTTTACCACTGCCTTTCTCAGCTGGCTGTTTTGGTTCAGCTGCTTTGCCTGTCGTGTCCACGTGACCAACATTGTCCTGAGATGTGAACGTTACCGATTTGGAAGATTTCGAGCCATCCGGCAACACAGAATATCCTTTGTAAAAAAAACCAGAAAAGAGTTACATTAATAGAGGAGAGACCTTGTTAACAAAATATTGTAAACTCGGGGATCAAAAAGTACAGTTGTACTGTTTATTCAGCTGTAGTATTCAGAGGGCGCTTCAACGAACAAAAAAAATCGCTATGTATCCCCTTTTCTCGATAGGTAATTAAAATGTTGGATAGGAAAGGAAATGTACTGTTCTTAGAATAGTATTAACCTTATAATTTTATTATTTTTAAAGCATGTTTTTTAGTTATATTTTCTTTAGTATTAACCTTTTTAAGTTAAGAATCAAAATTGGCCCAATAAAAACATTTAGCCATTACCTTTCCATGTTGAAGAGGTGTATCTACTAAAATCAACACTTTTCGGTCCACCCTTAGATTGTCGTCTATCATTGTGCCTAAAACCAATACAAAATTATAATAATTTTATCTCAAAATTATAATATTTACTCTTATACAAAATGTCCGCCTAAGGTTTCGATCGAATCACACTATTATGCTTTCATAGCTACTTAAGCAATCGGAGCCAATCAGTACAGATATGTTTAGTGGCTGGATCCCAATGTGTTTCTACGTCTATTCCACATGACCGGGGTGTTCCCCAGGGCACCATTCTGGGTCAAATCCTACTTATTTTTTTTGCGCGGATATTGTTAAGTGTATACAAAAATACCACATTTATGCTGACAACCTACAAATATAAATATCATTCAGACCAAGTGATTACATGAATGCTCTTGAAGATCTTAATGACGATCTTCACTGAATTGTTAACTAGTCTAAAAAAAATTGTTTTCTGCCTTCCTTTAAAAACTTAGTACATACTATTTGGCACATAAAAGCAGCTCAGCAAACTGCTAGAGGATTTGAGCGTTTTCTTGAAGAGGAATAAAATTGAGCAAGTAAGGGTAGCACGTAATCTGGGGCTGAGTTTCGACGAAAGCTTAAGGTTTGAGGATCATAAAGCGGTATCAGTAAAAATCTAAAAGTAAGTAACTTTTGTTGCCTTAAGGTTTTTTACAAAATAAGACCTTTTCTATGCAGTGCGCGTACGCGTGCAGCTGACCGAGGCGCTGGTTCTATCAAAACTCAATTACGCTGATGCTGTGTATGGTCCACGATTGCTGAGTAGAACTGAGCGGGCTCATTTAGCGAGTTCAGAATGCATGTGGTCGGTTTTGCTTCTCTGTACCGACTAGAGGACACATCACTCCATTCCTTAATAACCATCATCTTGCAGATGAAGTCAAAACTACACCTTGCTTGCCTGCTTTTTGGAGTGATTAAGTCACAGGAACCTGTGCCTGTACGAGAAGCTTGGCTGGCTTGGAGCTCAGAGAGATCGTGAAAGGCGAGTATGCTCACAGCAAATGCCTACGATTGCGCATAGATCTGCATCTTTTGGGGTGCTTTCCGTTGTGCAGCCTCCAAAATATGGAACAATATCCCACCACCACTGAGGCGGATCAATTTGAATTACACCTTTAAACATCGAATAAAGCAATATCTTCTTGATGCGCAGCGGGAAATGGGCAGATCGCGGTGATTCCTCATTTATTTATGTGTGTTTGTGTGTATATGTATGTATGTATGTATATATATATATATATATATGTGTGTATGTATATATATACATAAATTCTTCCTGTGAGTTTAATTATTTATATTACTAAATAATTTTACGACTATGTATTTCTGTTTTTTTTAGTCTTATATTTCTTTTTTGCGATAGTCAGTTGTCAAAAGAACCAAGTGTCAATTGAAAACCAGAGTCAGGTTCCACAAATGTGACAACATGCTGAATTGACAACCTGTTTTGGCGGAGCCGCGAGATAGCAACAGATTAAATCACCGTAATGGTAACGAACGGTATGAAAAATTGAGTGTTACTTTTTTGCTGTGTTGTTATCCTATTGTTTACGATGTTTTTTTTTTCTTGTATTTTTTTTTTGTTCCTCAAGATCTTGTATCTACTGTCTCGTTGTTTGTGTCAAAATAAATGTATTTTCTTTCTTTCTTATCTTAAGATTATTGGATAGGACTTATAAACTACCACCCCATTATGAATAAATAAAAAAATTAAAAAATAAGCTAATAAATGAATAAATAAATATTTCCAACACTCACACCAATTAGCCTAGCCCCAAAGTAAGCACTATAAGGCTTGTGTTATGAGATACTAGGGTAACGGATAGAATACATATACTTTACATATATAAGTATATGTTTTATATAGAAATACATATTAAACATCCATGACTGAAGGTCTGAGGACTGGTTTGGGGGGGGGGCGCAAAGCATTGCATTGCGAAATTTTGGCAAAACCGGCAAGCCGCAACGCAATAATTGCATCAGTCAGCTGTAGGCAGTCCAAAAAGATGGAGTTCCGACGAAGAATTATATTTAAGCAATCTGAGGCCCAATTACGAACTTGTCAGATTTGTAATCTTATTGTCATTTTCAAATTTTGTACGGAAGGAGCCAGTTTTTTCTGTTGTTTGTTTATTTGTTCCTACGTCCGCTAAGGTAGGTACCCCAAGCACGAATTTTGACAGATTATTCGTATCGCCAACGTCAAAATTTCCAAGGAAATTAAATAATATTAATAGACAGCCCCTAAGAAGTAAGAAAAAACTAGCCTTTTCCATAGAAACTTGGGGGCTTGGGGTACTGTATTCGTATCGCGGGCCAGGCAAGCGGGCCGCCTGCCTGTACTGCAGGTACGACGGTTCATATAAAATGTACGAAAGTGATGTAAGAAGTTTTTTGGTACGCGATGAGTTGCGGTGCGGCCCGCCATTTTGTGCGTGAGGCTTAAGAAAACAAAGTGTGTAACTACCTAAGTACTAGTACAAAAGAGAATTATGTGTACTAGTTCAAGTTCAATTCAAGCTTATTCTCCCTGTCACTCAGGGTTCATCTGTCAAAGTAAATGCTGTTCAATGTGACGACTTGTCTTGTTACACTGCTTTCGAAAAGAAAATGACAGCATCGACGATCAGGAGAGAATACTACGCGACTCCGAGCGCAGTCAAGTGCTACGGAGCGGCGCGCGGCGCGACGCGACTCTCATGGCCGCTTCGCAGTGCTGTGCGCCGCTTGTGTTTTGTTCCATGTTTATATGAAACTAGCAAACCAGTGAACCAAATGTTCACCAAAACCTGATGTAAAAAAATAAAATAAAAATTAATTAATTGAGAACTTCGGAGATTTTGTGTGGTTTCGTTTGAAATTCGTGATTTCTCGAAAACCGGAAGTGCTACGTTACTCAAATCCGGTTTGTAGTCTTATCATACTATTCTTAACTTATAACTTAAATATTCTCTTTATCTATCTCTTACGGTTTGGCCGCTGAAACAGCACCACAGACGGACGGACGGACTTGTTTAATAGATAAGAGGTTTTTAAACTTATTTTGATATAAGACATAGGGTTTAACTTAAATTGTTAACTTCTCAGTATCTTCGCCCCGCCTCTCCCATGTGCGCTGCTGCTTTTTAAAGGCTTTACTAGTGTAAAGCTTTTTTGAAGTGACCTTATTAGCAGAAATAGTGAAGTACCCACACAGTCAAAATTAACAAACAATAGCGGAGAAGTGACCGTTAAAGCCTTTGAGCATTTGAGTCTAAGGATAAAGTAAGACTCAACAATAGAATAGGCAAACCAAAAATTTAAATCTATTGGTCTGGGTAAAGTGTAGGGCCGATTTTGATTTATCAAGCACTAATATGTAGGTACTTAGCGTTAGTTTGATTCCTGCTCTCTTGGTAGGAGCTTTGTCCATAGCTATTGTACTCCGCGTCCGTTCCCTGCGACTCCTTGTATAAGGAATACAAACTGGATTCTACTTGACTTTGTTCTTGAGGACGGTGTGCCGATTCTTCTATCGAAGTAGTGCTCTATGTGAAAAATAGTTAAGTAGGCTTTTATAAAATTAAGATGTTAAAATTTTAGTAATCTTCCCTTTTATATACATTTTTCAGGGATCCGTCCGTACACAAAGGGTGAAAACGGAACTCCACTACTAAGACTCCGCTGTCGTGTCTGTCATCAGGCTGTATTTCATTAACCGTGATAGCTAGTTAGTTGACATTTTCACAGATAACAACAAAAAGAAAAACAGAATAAAATAAATATTTAAGTAGGGCGGGCTGGGAGCTCCCATACAACCAACGTGATTATTGCACCTTGCCTTTTCAGATTTCCACCCGCTTCGGTCCCTTCAGAATTCTTTACTGCTGACAGTGTCAGGTTAACATCACGAGAGGACTGCCAAAACCCCTCGTCGCGGTTTTTTGATCGGAAGCCCCAAAATTTCTATAGCAATGAGATCATGTACCCTACCTACAAGATGGCAAAAAGTAATCGAAAAAATGGCACCTACTACATACTTAAGTTAAATGTAAATAAACTTTATTAAAAAACGTTTTGAATTTTAACATAAAATGCGAAGAAACTTTTTCCCCAACCTAATATATACTAAAAATACAAAGTTTATATCTACCGGTGCTAATAATGTGAGTAGATTGTATCCCCTGTTGTAATTGTTCGTGGCCTTGCGTGCTTCGCTGTCCATCATGAGGGAACATTCCGACTCCATAACGAATTCACTTTTTTCTTTTTCCTCGGGCAGAAACTGAAAATTATATCTTTTAAGCATTTCAATATGTAGACAAATATTGTGATAAATATAAATAAAATAAAAAGCATTACGTTTAGCTCTTTAACACTACTAAGTTGGTAGCCTCGATTATTTGTGTGCAGAAGTAGTACTTCGAATGGAATAGTAACTTGTTCATCTTTACTAGATTATTTGTATCTCTTACCTATTAGACAAGTCCGTCCGTCTGTCTGTGGTGCTGTTTCAGCGGCCAAACCGTAAGAGATAGATAAAGAGAATTTAAGTTATAAGTTAAGAATAGTCTGATAAAACTACAAACCGGATTTGAGTAACGTAGCACTTCCGGTTTCCGAGAAATCACGAATTTCAAACGAAACCACACAAAATCTCCGAAGTTCTCAATTTGGTGAACATTTGGTTCACTGGTTTGCTAGTTATTTATAATTTTTTCACTGTAAATTCCTATTCTAAATATTGGTACTTTTAAAGACAGATTAATTATAGTTTCGCACTGAGATTTACTCTTTTATCACCATCCTCAGTCTATCAAAGTTCCCACTGATGAGGCACAGACCTTCCCTTTGGATGAAATAGGGAAGTCTTCCTATTCCACCGTGACCCGACAGTGCAGATTGATGGCTGCTAACCGTGTGCTTAAAGTGTCTTCCGCGGTAGGAAGGATCTCGAGATAATAAGTTTTTGGTCACACAGCCAATGACTAGATACATCCCGCATCTAAAATTTCAAAATTTACACCTTTTATTATATTATTTAATAAAAATATGGTGTTACATCCATATACTTTTAGTTAGTTTTCCATATAAATTATCATACCTTATTTCACCCCACCAAACTTTATTTACGCTACAAAAAGAAAACAATCATAACAGCTAGCCTACGGCCTCTGATATTTTTTGGAACTCCTCTCTCGTTGAAGGAGAATATGATTACTAAAAGATAATAGTCTAGTCGTTCTGTCTTTTTTTGGTTTCGTTCGTTCGCTACCGAAATTTATTTACGGAGAAAGAGAGTAAAGCTCCTGATTGTTGTTATTTAATTGCCTAATTTCTATAAGATACCTAAGAATGTGGATACTAACATAAAGGATTTCGTTAAGTATGCCTGTAATTATGATTCGGCCCGACAACAACACTTGTAAAGTTGATCTTTCCAACGGTGTTTCCAACGACATTCTTTGCTGGTTTGCTAAATTACGCTCGCTGAAGAAAAATACAAGGACAAAATAAATAAGTTCTGCTCGTCTTTATATTTAAAATATATTTTAACTTTTTTACCTTCTACGTTTCTTTTGTTTCAATTCTAGTGATACTTTGTCTAATTTGGTGACAAGAATTAAGTAAGGTCTTAGTCCGCGCAACGCAAGCATCAATGCCCCTATTAGGTCCATACAAACAATCTTAACTTTACCCTCATTTACGAATGCTTCTTCACGGCCTAAAACAGTTAAAGAATATTATAAAATGCTGTCATTTATTCTTAAGTATTGTGATAACATCTAGTAGTCTGTCTATTCACGACTTCGTTCGCCTGTAAAAAAATCTCATTGATATTTATTTAAGAAACAAAACAGAGCCTGTTTAATGTCCGGTTCATAAATTATCTCCTCTTTCCTGTTTTCTATTTATTGCTTGCTAAGTGAAAAAAGGAGTTACTAACAAATATACTTCAAAAGGGCTACTCCATTTCAACGAAAAAGGAAATTTCGATTGAAATTTCGCACGTTCCTTACTCTGTTTCTTTTTCATTTCGAAAATTTGTTGGTCCGTAAATAGTTTGACAATTAAATTCTCCAAACCTACTTACTCTAATTCACAACAATTTGAAACGAAAACTTGAGTTTGACAGTTAATTTTTCGAAATTCTAATCTCAAATTGACGAAATTAAATTATAACGAAAAAAAGACGAATTTTGTAGGTATAAAAGGTTCTTTTTATGTCATCAAAAATTTGGCGTAAAGTAATATCGTTTCCAAGTAAAAAACGTAATCTAAAAAGTGGATATAAAAAGAACTCACAAACACGTGGCTAAATTTCGTTTAAAATTAGTTCGTTTCTGAATTTGCGTTTCGGAGAAAGAGAGTAAAACTAAAGCTCCTGAATTTATAATATAATTAATTGAGAGCTTTGGCGGTTGATGAGATGGATAATTATAGTATCATCGTCAAAGCGAGTGTGTTAATAAAATAACAAATCCAGACACGATACCAAATCAACTGACAAAGTCGTTTCGTAAACTCTTGTTTGAAATAGGTTATTAACGTCAATCCAACCGCTGAATTAGTTCGTAATTATTATTTCTGGAGAAGACGAATTAATTGACTCATGGCGTCGCACATTAGAGGCTCTCCTTTCAAGGGCGTAAAGATAATATGTATAAACCTTCATATCAGTTTGGTTAGTTAATTAGTACACTAATTAAGTATTCCTTAACTCTGATACGAAACTTAAAAATGTAGGTATGTTGTTAATATACTTAATATAGGTGCCCAAAAATTTAATGAGCTTTTCGCGGAGCGCACTAATCGTCAATATTAATTGATGTTTTAAATGAGAATGCAGATTTGTTGGTTCTTCTTTCAAGCAGTGAAGAAATTGATCATACATTTTGTATAAAGTGATAGCAAGCTAATGATATAAAGAGATAGTAAGTGTTTTGTTTCTAAAGTAATAGCTACATACGTAAAATAGATGCAAACAAAACTTGGCCAAAATCAAGTACTGGTATATACTCGTACAACTTATTTTTTAAACTTTATTACCCTAGTCAACACAGTAAGGCTTGTGTTATGGGATACTAGGATAACGGATAGAATACATATAAAGTACATGTATAGAAATATATATTAAACATCCATGACTGGAGTACAAATGCTCCTATTCATCACACAAACATCTGTCCCCGCCGGGATTCAAACCCAGGACCTCTCGAGTCGGCGATACCATGAAACCCGGAGTACAAACCACTCGGCCGCGGAGGTCGTCAAACAATTTTGAACTTACTCAGCCCATATGATTCTCCGTCCATTTCACTATAAGAGAGAAATTCACCGGCAAGCAGCATGTCATCGAACTTGATGCGTGAAACCTCCTTGTAGCGGTTAAGGGCATGATAGGTCGCTGTGGTGTGTAGGCAACCGAGCTCCACGTTTGACGGACAACACTGAGCGAGTCGCCTCGCTAATGTGCCTGAGGGAAAATGTTTTTGGGAGCAACTTTATCGCTCGTAAGTCCCTGCTCCTTAAGAAATATATAAAAAAGTCAATATAGGTGTCAGGGTAGTGGCAACAGTAGAGCTCCTACTTTCTGCCCCAAAGGTAGGTACAGGGTTTGAATGTGTGCCAAGGTTCGAAACAAATACAAATGACCATTTTGTTGCAGAGTCATAATATGTTGTTTATCAAGTTTCCGGCAAGCAGCATGTCATCGAACTTGATGCGTGAAACATCCTTGTAGCGGTTGAGGTGATTAGTAATTACTTTTGCTTGTCTATAAATACGGCGGCCAGTCTTTACACGAAACTATATGTTTCATGTAAAGACTGGAACGAAAAGAAAGTGTGTAATACTTACCTTTACCTACACATTCGTAACCAACTAGTACGACCAGACCAATGTCGGTAGTGTCAGCAGGTGGTACATTGGAGGATACCCGAGCTCGTGACAGCTGCTCAATGTATAAAAGACGCAACAGGCGACGTGTGGCAAATGTGTGAATGTCGGGCGTCTTCTCCATTTTGTAACTTCTCTGAAAATGGTTAATATTTGAGTAGTATTAATAATCACCTATCTGCTTATAAGAAGGTTTAACGCGGAATAACTGACTATCGAGACGCAGATTAGAAAGTATTCTTACAGCGGTTTAGTGATGGACGCCCGTTTATATTTTAATATGAATAATCTCTTTGCTTCCAATCTATCTTATTTGATAATCAGTTATTCAGACTAATATTAAAAAGCTGAAAAGTTTGTTTGGCTGGACGTCGTGCAACCAGACCAATGTCGGTAGTGTCCGCGAGTGTTATGATAATGGATACGCGACCCCTCAAGATCTGCTTAATGTACAGAAGCTTCAACAGACGACGTGTGGCAAACGTGCTTACAAGCCCTTTTCTCAATAGTCTTCTCCATTTTGCAACTCCTTTGAAAAAGGTCGATTTTGTGCAAAGAAGGCCTATCTAAATAATAACTATTATATATTATTATTATCTACTATTAAGATAAAGGAGATTGCTCAGCTTCCATACATGTTTGGCCTAAAGACCAATAATCATGAAAAATTGTTTCCTAGATTCGAAATTATATATAAATTACTGTAGAAACGAATATTATTGACGGACACCCCTGAGAACTTTTATAAACCATATACACTGAACATATTAAAATAATAAAAAACAAATAAGTTATATAGTAAACTAGTGAAATCAAGCCAATTACCGAAATTATGGATTAGATTCAGATATACAGAGCGTGTAGATTAACAGATAGTTGCCTGTTTTTAAAGTTAATGCGTAAAGAACAATCTCCTTTACGCAAGATCACTCTCTGTCGACTGTCGCCACGTTGATTAGATTTTTTTACGGCGGTTTAAACAGGCGTTCATGTTTAACTAGATAATCGGGATGATTGGATAGCACTTTTCTCCCAATCTGTCATCGAACTTATCTAAATAGATAATTAGGTACTTATATTTGTAATCTTCTTCGGGCTCAGGAATTCAGTAAGCAAATGGCAGCGACTATGAGAAATGTAATATTTTCAGGATTTATGTTTTTCCAATTACACAGCGGATTCGTCAGCGTGTCTAAAGATTTACAGATCTCTTACCGCCTTATTCCAAAACGCGGACTAAAGTTAGACTTGGTTTAAACCATATGTTGTCTCTGTCTTCTTTTTAGCAAACAAAAGTGATAACGCAAGTTTTATTCCAGGTTAAAGTTTAGTTTTCGTTTTGTAATAAGGCGGTAAAATTCTAGTATACAGATCTTTAAATTCTAATATCATAGTTAATTGTTATCAGCGCCTAAATACCTGTATGACAGGGTCCAATTCTTGAGCGTCTAAGCTGAGTAGCAGGGGGAAGGTGTTAATGACGACCTCATTGTACCCCGGCGTTGAGCATACCGGGTTGGCTCGTAGGTCCATCACGATCAGTCTGCGCATCTGGCGCATGTAGACCGCCAGTTCGAGGAGCATACACAGGCGGTTGTTACGCGCATGCAATTCGCGGAGTCTTTAGAAATATATTATTTCATAAATTGTCTATACAAATATATTGGTGAGTTAATAAAGTTTAAGTTGAGAAAAATATGGTATCTTTTGGGTACGACTCCCTACTGCGCGCGGTTGAGTATTTGTGGGTAGACCTCTAAATGAAAATGAAAACGAATGAAATGAAATGGGTCTATGAAGGAAAGGTCCGCTTATTCTGGCCGAATGTCAGGCGGCGAGGTAATGGGTCACAAATTTTCCCCACGGCAGAAAAAAAAGTGAATATCCAATGTATTTACTAAAGTAGTAAGTAACAATTTTTTCAAAAAACAGCTAATATGACTGTGATTAGGCTGGATCACTTTGAAAGTAGATAGCAGAAGATAAACATTTAACCTTTGATATGAACTTGCAGTTCATGTCAAAAACTTAGGGCAAAATTTAAACTTATTCGAACCAATAAAAATATGAAAGGTTTAAAGTGGGCTATCCTTGAAACCGGGCCATCTTGGGTGCAAGTACCTACCTTAGGTAGAAAAGATGGGTGGGTAATATGAGTAAAAACATTTTGTGATTTTACTACACGATAAATTACAACGTAGGTAATCTCAAAAGATTCCCAGGTCAGATTTATCCGGTCTTTTAAGCCTTCGTAATACTTGTAAGCACGTAGAGGTAATTTAAGGCGTCGTTATTTTAATATGCGTGAGGTATTCTTTGACAAAGCCTGGTCGTGTTACGTTTAAAAAATTACGTACTTAAGCAGACACACATCAAAAAAAGTTATGATTCTAAATTTTAAACTTAGAATTAGAACGTAAAACAATAAAATAATTCAATTGTCTTTCCTTAAAAAGACATGCTGCTGCTGTTCAAGAATGAGACAGATTACCACAAGAAATGCTGGATAACTTGATTCTCAGCATGCCCAGGAGGATCTCAGCATGTGTTCGAGCCAGAGGAGGAGATATTTTGTATTAGATAAACAACAATCTATTCATAAAAGGTTTTTAAGTTTGGTTAAACTATCTTTTTATTTCTATCAAAGTTCTATTACAATCACCTTAGGATTGAATTATTACATTGTTTATACTAACTAATAAATACATACTAAAAAATAAAATTATGTGTAGTTTTATTTTCAAGAAGTGTATTTTTAAATAAACTAAGATATAACGTAAAAAATTTTCTTGGTTAAGTTAAATTTTGATAATATATCAGCTTTTGCAAGTGATCTCAAACTTTTTTGATGTGTGCATGTAGATGTGGATATGTTATGAAATATTGAGTTGAAGAATAGAAGATGAATTTCTACCACATTTAAACGCCGAGTCTCTTTCTAAAGTTATTGTGTAAGTAGTTTAAATTAAAAGTCGTTGAATAAAATACAAGACCAATGAATTACCTAGTACAACCAGAAAATATTTTCATAGATGTTAGATTGTTTTCGTTGAGATTCAAATATTCAAGATATAGAAGTGTCCACAGGCCGGTGGTGGCACTGATTTCGAAGCTTGAGATGTTATTGTAGGATACGTCGAGCCAGAGTAAATGTAAGTTGTTCAAATTTTCCAGACGCTGGATATGGTTGAATGATAAGTCCAGACGGCGTAAGTACCTAAATTAAAAAACGGATTAATAAAATGATTTTGTTACATACAGCCCGAATGATAAAGTATAAGATCCAAAGACTGCCAAACCTTAGTTTTTTTCTCATGGGCAAGATATGGATATTGAGTAGTATTGGTGTGTACAATTAATGTATACATACTTTCTAACTTGTGCTGTAGGTAAATTTCAAGGTATCAGGGGAGGTACAGGCACGTAAACATTTTACTCATTCTAGTTATAGTCTGAGGACTGATTCCTACGTATGTTGTATGTATGACACATTCTGTCAGCAGTTTTCACTGTCAGACAATGTCGAAAGCAAATTATACACATATACGTATACGCGAGTATGTACACGTTATTTGCACATGTATTTGTCCATGAGAAAATAAGTAAGGTGTGGTCGTCTTATGATCTTACTCTTTTATGTTTCATACTGGCTTTTAAGTGGTTGAAACTATAATGAAATTAACTTGGTAAAGTAATACAAAAAATATAAAATTTGTATGGAATCTTAAAATGCGAAAGAGATTACAACTAAGTTAAGTGATGCTTTGAAAACTAGACCAGGCAAACCTGACTACCCAATGGCAACTTTTTGCTTTGTTAAGATGAATTAAATATATCAACTCTATCATACTCTTCGGCGAAACAGGTATTTTATTAAACTGGTACTTTATGTATGAACAAATATAATAAATTGTTGTTTCTTAAATACCTCAAGTTTTCTAGACCACTAATATTTTTGATATTATTGTGGGACAAATCTAAAATCGTTATTGACCAGAACATACTGAGATCTCTTATTTTTTTTACTGAATTAAATTTGTAGTGTACTTCTGTTAAAAACCATTGGGCTGCAAGAAAAGTGAACTTATTAGGATAGGTTTTATGTAGTAATTAATTAGGATTTTTGATTTGTTATGGTATTTATAATAATACATAGTGTTCGTCGCCCAGGTAGCGGAAGTAAGACGCGTGTTCGAATACTGTCTGAAACCGAGTGGAAGAGGGTCGACTACTTAACTGAGTCCTCGTCTGCGGGGTAAAGAGCGTGGGGTAGGTCGAGAACGGGGGTCGTGAGAGGTGCGGGCGGCGGGCACATTCTTGTCAAAATATAGCAGTTTAATGCTCAAAATATTTTTTAATATAAAATACATAGTCTTATGCAACACCAAGAATGAAAATAAATATTGCATTTATCTATCCGTGGAAACGATTAGTGTTGCCCAAATTCAGTCTTGGTGTTGTTCTTGCATTTTTGCAAGACCAAGACCAAGAACAAGACCGCGTATTTTTAGCAAGACCAAGACCAAGACTGACCATGTAAGACTTGAGCAAGAACAAGACTTATCCGACAGGACTCTTGCGTCTTGCAGCTAGGACTATTTCACGACGACAATAGGACGAGCGCTATTTCACGGAGTAGTTAGGCATACAGTTCGGTATATAGGTACGCTTAGGAATTCCATGAGACGCAAAAAACTGTATCAAAGAATATGAAGAACTGGACCTATGCGCATTACGACCAATACCATAAACATACATAGTGAATAAAAAAATATCCATTAAAATCAAACAGAGTGCATGCATAGTTTTGTTTTAACCATCGGCACTTTGATAATGCGGAATCAAAGGTTTTGTAGTGACTTCTCATAGAAATTTGCCGCTTTTCGGAAGTACATGGTGATGATACACGCGCCGGCGGATTCTATTGAAATCACATACAACAATCGTTGCCGCCGCGCCGAAATCACAACATTTGACACTATTTGATTGCCGCCACAGGGCCTGCCTGATTGCCGACTCATGCAAAATTCTAATTTCGTGTCGTGCCGTCCCACTCACGCTAATACTAATTAATATAAGAGCGAGCGAGACGGTATGACACGAACTTCGATTATCGATTTTTAGAGTACATGTGTTCCAAAGAATAAATAAGTTTCAGAGTGCTTAGAATGGAAACGAATACATTTTTTTTTTATTTATTTATTTGAAAATCAACGGCGCGGCGTTTACAAAAGTATTTAAGTATAGTGTAAACCAACAGTAAGGCTTATTACAGATTTTCCATAAATTAATTTACAGTATATTGTGTTTACGGTCAGAAACATTGAACTGCCTTAAGCTAGGTGAAATCCATACTGATGGAAACAATACTGAAAGCAATTCTATTTCAGCTTCTATAACTCAACAAAATGCCTTCCAAACGATATGGGTATCTATGAAAACAAATGTTTACAGTTAATTGACCACGAAATGCTAACCATTTTACTATATTATATCCCACCCTGCATAACTGCACGCAACCACCTAAAGTGTTTTCAATATTTAAAATTAAATCGTGCTGATAAGTAAAAAATAAAAATTACATAATGATAATCACTCAAGAACAAATATAAAATAATAAGTCAGATATTTTATGCATAAACAACCATGTACCAATGCTACACAGTGTCGCCGAGAATGTTATCAATAATTGTGGATTTAAATGAAATTTTGGAGTAAGCAAAAAGATCGATTTTTGAAAACTTATCATTGTATGTTTGGCACAAACGCGATTATACTGATCACGCAAGTAGTATTATGATTAGATAATGGTAAGGATAGGTAGTAGATGTCATAATAATTTATTCTAGTAAGTATATATTATAATATTGATTATATGTGTTTAAGCTAATTACTTAGGTACTGTTATTCTACATTTAGTCAAAATATTTCTTAAATTTCTTAAGTTTTTACAAGAAAAAATAGCAAAAAAATGGTCAAATATCCCCCCCCCCCGTTTGATTAATATTGTAGCCACTTTTAAATATACTTGAAACGTGTAAAAAAAAACTACAAAACTAATAAAATAATATAAAAAGCGTGCCTACCTACTTATGGAAAACCATGTGGCAGTTGATTTTTCGAAGTTCTTATCAAATCTTCAGACATTTATTAATCTGATTGGTCTTTACTATGGCAATGTTCCAATTCTAATACCTTTTTCTAAGATCTAAAGTAAACTTTAACAAATAGCAATAGTCTAATTGGTAATTGCAAGACTTGCAAGACTCTTGCTGCAAGACCAAGACCAAGACCAAGACTGGGAGCGCAAGACCAAGACCAGGTGTATTGGCGCAAGACCAAGACCAAGACTGGCTAAGTGTCGTCTTGTTCTTGCATTTGGGCAACACTAGAAACGATACTTATCTAACAGAAAGGCCAACATTTACTTTGTTAACCTTTGTAATAACGTTTATTTAAGTTATTATTTCTTCATCAGCCTATTAAAGTCCCCATGCTGAGGTACATATAGATGGAATAGAGAGATTGGGCCGTGACTGACCATGTGGGCCCAGTACGGATTGGTGGGTACTAACGACTTTAGACGCAACCGGGACCAACGTAAATGGCTTAACGTGCCTGCTGAAGCAAGGAGGAACGAAAGTTGCTTAACTTCAACGATCGCAACCGAGTGCTAACCATTTGCGCCATCTAGCTCCTCAATTTAACACGTGTATCTTATTATTCTAAAAAATGACTTTCTTTAAAACAGCCATGATAAAGTTTCTACCTACAGCGTCACCAATGCGTATATGTGAATTCCCTTAGTGTTGCAACAAAAACCATGGTGAACCATGCCTTAGATACTATCAGATAAGGAGGATCTGCATTAATGTTATAAACAAATATATATGAATTATACTTAACGTGTATCGTATTCCAAGACGTTGCTGAGCCTATTGAAGGCAACTGAGAGAAACTGGAGATAAAGTAGGTGTGAAAGAACGGTAAGTTCTGTCAGCAAGTTAGACGAGATGTCCAGGTAAACTATATATTTGTAGTGTTGTAGAACATCTATGTTAATGAGGTGCTGAAATAAAAAATATAGTACTAATTGTAGCTGTAAACAATCATGTAGTCCTAAGGGCGCAGTTAAGGTCGGCATCGCATGTATGATACTCCTGGTGTTGCAGATGTATGTATCTATGGAGGACGGTAATCACTTACCATCAGGTGAGCCGTCTGCTCTTATGCCCCATATAATATATAAATAAGAAGCAATAATAAAAAGAAGAAAATGTTTGTGGAGTCCCATTGAGGCTAAATGTCGCCGCACACGGGCCACAGTCCACAACCACAAAACGCCGCCACCGGCATATTTCTTGTAGTTTTCATACATTTTATATGGACTCGCCATACACGGTACGCCGGTGGCCGCCACACGCTACAAATCGTCGTTGCTCGCTTCTTGTGGCTCGCACCGGCTACTTAATGCGCCGATACAAAACGCCGCCACACGTCACTCGATTCCCCATCCCTCTCTCCCTTACCTCAGTCGGCCGCTGTCGCGCGCTTCAGCCGCTTTAGTATCAGCTTCTAGCTTCTCGTGGCGGCGTTTGTGGCTGTGGCGTGTGGCCCGTGTGCGGCGACACTAAGACCTCACGGAGTAGTTTTTTCCGCAACCCCTACGGCCGCAGAACTGTTGTTTTTAAAAACTCACGAGACCACTGGTTACTGTGATTCCGCAGCTGCCGCTGCTGCGAGATCGTCGAAATTAGTCTTTGCATTTTACCTACAATTTCACATTCTCTGTTAGTTACGGTCACAAAGCCGCGGCGGGCGCGGGAGAAATACGCACCGTGAGTTCTTAGCCTTATGCGATGTTTTGCGACTTGCTATAATGTACGCGTGCTTTATAGTGCACTTCTGCAAGGCGACAGAGATATTGGTAAGAAGAAGTATGTCGAAAGAGGGTTAAACATAAAAGTATTGTTAAGGTTCTAAAAAAGACTTACCTTCGCAGCGAGGTTAAGTTTGATATAAACAAAGTCACCCAGTATAGGTGTGCGTTTCAAATAGGACAGGCAAGCGGTCACCATGTCCCTGGTCAGGACCCCTCCAACTAAATCCGGGACATCTTCTATTTTTCGAATTCTTACTGTAGGTGAGTATATATCTGCGTAGATCTCCGGGACTATGTAGAAGCAACCCCATAGTTGATCCTCGTTCATCAAAGGAGTTACGTTCACGGGAAACTGAAATAAACTTATATTATTACTAGCTGACCCAGCGAACTTCGTACCGCCATAAAAAAATTTAATTAAAAAAACATTGTCCAGCGGACAAAATTGTGAATCTAAACCATTCTCAGATCCCCTTGAACACATACAAAAAATTTCATCAAAATCGGTCCAGTCGTTTAAGAGAAGTTCAGTGACATTCACACTCACAGAAGAATTATATATATAAAGATTGAAGAGCTAAGCTCAAGCTAAGGTTAGTTTCACAAAGAAGTACATTAAAGACTTTTTTCATGACATGACGTGGAGTGTGTATAAGAGTCAAAGAAAGAAAGCAAGTTTGCTTGGTGCAGAATTGTTTTATAAGTAAGACCTTGGTTTATGTGAGTAACTGAGTACAATTATATCAGCAAACAAAGACTATACGAGATGTAAAAGGTATCGCAATGAAATAACACTAACTCTATACTATTTCTATTGGTGAGTGTGGTTTTAGAGCTCCACGGGGTATGGGATTTAGGGGAGGCAAGGCTCGAGTGATAAGTAGATGACTCTGTGGCTTATCAAGCCATGAGTTTGTTTATCCCTCTTTATTATAAAACAATGGTGACAAATATAATATAACATGCTTGTGACACTTAGTGTATTGGTAACGATGCTCTTATTTAGTGAAGAATAAGAAGTGAAAAATAATACTAAGAATTCTAAGAATGGCCTTTCAACTGCAGCGGAATATCGAACCCCTTAATAAATCCTTTTACAAATTTAATTACGAGAATGGTTTACTTAACTCGGTTTCGGAGTAATTATATACAATATTCATATGAAGTTTATAGCTTATGCATATCCCAACTAGATGCTCTCCCACACCTTATAGCGATTTAAATTTCATTTAATATTCAACAGAACTTCCATTTTGAGCTAGATAACGGTCACTCTCAGCAGATTTTTGAGTGTCCATAGAAATTTCCACTAAGTCTGTAATTTTTTGGGGTTAATTATTTTTTTGGGATTAGTTCTAGCAATTATTTAATAAGAAATATAATTATATACATTTAATTTGGGAAAAAATAGCCCGTTTTTTGTTATTTCATACAACTGGTTAGTTTATCTATTGTCCATTTACATCTGAACAATGATTTTGTATGTTGATAATTTGCATGTATGTCTTATTAAAACAGAAACTCATAATTTATTGACATTTTCGTCACGCCCAAAAGTATATCACTTCATTAATTCAAAACCTATAAGTAAAGTGCTTATGCACAAATCTATATAGTTTAAGGTGTTTTTCAAGTTTTAGTCTCGATGCAAGGAATTTAATGAAAATTAAACATCGTGACGGATTACACGAAGAACACCTTGTCATGTAAATGACCGATAAACGAGTTTTAATACATTCAGCAGAAGTTTGCGTCAATATTTCCCCCTAATTTCGGATGTTAAGTGTCACCTACCTTTGCGCTTAAATATGCACGCTTTGGAAGGAATGTTGACGAAAATATTTCATAATAAAGTTCCATATTCATGAATATTTCATTCAGTGCGAAGTTTCAGAGGAAGTTTTCGTTTGACTTTCAGAATGTGGTAAAAGAATATTATACAAGTTATTTCAATGTGCACACTGCCGAGATTACCAAGTAAGTAATTAATAATGATATAATTTGGGTTAATATGCTAATAAATAATTCTGTCTTCCAGTTCTAAGTATTTACAGCAAACAAAGCTCAGAATCAAAAACTTTCCTAAGAAATATGAGTATGGAGTTGTGGCGCCGGAAATTATTAATTGATGTCTTCATTAAAAAGGTATTACAAAATACTTGAACAAGACTTTTCGCGATCCTAACATTAGTCATACCGTAACTTATATAAGTTATTGGTATCACGTAAGTTTTTAGATATCAAATATTCACGGCATGTATATTTAATCTATATAATAATTTATACATATATATGTTTTTATTTATATTTAATTTTATATAATTTGTTTAACGCCGAATTAATGAAATCATCTATTCTCTTGGTTTCCACTTTCACATTTGCCATCGTTCGTAATTATTTCCCCTCGTACCTTTTTGAGGATCTCTTTTGCCATATCGATTTAATTATTTAACACATTTAATAAGTATCCTAAGACCGAATATATCTCTATATCTGTATCCCGCGGAGTTCTGGCGCTGTAGGCAAGTGACCATTTTGCTATTCGAGCGAATGCTATTCGTGACACTTATTAAAAGTCTAAAAATAAGCAATAAATTTCAAAACTATATGACGGAAGTTTATTTTCTGTTAATTAACGTTTGGTACATAAAGCTCACATGAAATTTCATTGTTACCTATAATCACACTTTTGACAGTTATCGAACAAACTTTTATAAAGGTTCAACTTTTGCCACTTTTCAAAACTCACAGCGTTATTCACGAACACAGCATTACATACAGAATAGTGATGTAACGAATGTTGGATTTTTCACATTCGCGAATGCGAATGCGATAGCGAATATTTATCTTCAACATATGCGAATGCGAATGAGAATATTTTAAAATTTCAAAAAAAGCGCGCGTAAAATGTTTGACAGGTTTGACGTTTCGTGTCGGCCATGTTTAAATTGAACATAGCCGAGGCGATATTGGTTAATTGAATGAATTAGGTCACAGAAAGAAAGTTCATTCTAAAGGTTTTGTTATGTTTTGAGGTTAGTTTTATGTTATTTATCAAATTTAACTGATATTTATACATTTAAACCCAAAGGTTATAAATATTTAATACATTAGATATTTAAAGTTTAATAATTTTGTTTCAAGTAATTGTTTAGTTTTATAGTAAATAGAAACTGTAAACTTTATTTAAAAATGGTAGTAAAGTAATAATATACTACTAAATAAATGCAAACTTTACATTGTAACAAGGCTGATTAATGTTAAATTTGATCAGATCTCTGAAGTTCTTTTTTCATAAATGAGACTTTAATTTAGAATGTAGAAGTATGATTTAATAAAAATATCTAAGTGTTATCTATTGTATTATTATTTTATATGCATGCAATGCATATAATAATTTCCTTTTTGATTATTAAAAACATTCGCTATATATTAGCATAATTTTAGCGAATGCGAATATTGAAAAATATGCGGATATTCGCGAATGCGAATGCGAATATCCGTTACATCACTAATACAGAATAGTGTCTTTCAACTGTAATCATCTGCAAGACAAAGGCTGATCCACATTGAGTCTTGACTACCTCTCGTAATGCGAAATGAAAATGAATATTTCGTCTGTCATGTCTAACAGATTCTATTCATCACTGTAGCTAAGAACCGTCAGTGCAAAGCCGTGCTCACGTAAAAAGATGCGTAAAAGTGCCCTTATTTCGTATACAGGAGCGTCCTCTTGTATGTTGTTACTGTGAATAAATTCAAAGTATTTACTTACTTGCTCGGCGAACAGCTCTTCTTCACTTTTGTTTCGAAGTTCCGTGGGGACGAACGATTGTATCGAATACACATTCATCGGTATACCAATTGTGCGACGTCTTATGTTGTCTCCTTAAATAAATAAAATAGACTCACGCAGTGATATTTATAAAATTTTAATGATGTAGATAAAAACAGAACTGGAAGACAGTATTTTTTTTCTTAATCTATACTTATAATAAATCTGTAGAGAGGTCAATTCTGTACATGAAATATATTTTCAAAATAACTATCAGGGGGTGATTAGTGATCGATACTGATGCCAAAAATGCAATCAGTAAAATTTTTGTCTGTCTGTCTGTCTGTCTGTCTGTCTGTGTGTATGTTCCTTATAGAAACAAAAACTACTCGACGGATTTTAACGAAACTTGGTACAATTATTCTTCGTACTCCTGGGCAGGTTATAGTATACTTTTCATCACGCTACAATCAATAGGAGCAGAGTAGTGAAGGGAAATGCTGGGAAAACGGGAGAAGTTACTCCTTTTTTTAAGCTTCCGTCGCGTGTGCAGCCTTAATGGTTAAAGTTACATAGAAATCATGTATGACGGAAACATTTAACATAAAATTGTCTAAAAAATATCCCCGCAACAGCATATGTCTATCTTTTATGGTTGACTCACAATAACACGTGTAACTCCTGATAGCTTAGCAGTTCGGAGCATTCTGATTATATTTGTTTACTCTTACGTTTATAATACCATCACTCATCCCTAATTTAAAAAAGTTAACATTGTTACCTATTCAATAAAAAAAGAATCATATAAATCGGTATATAAACACCAAACTTATACATGAAATAAGCCATCGCGCCGTCGCACGTGAATACTGAATCATGCTATAAGGATTATTTTTGTGTAACGGTTGGAAACACTGATAATTTTAGAGGTTTTTAATGTAAGGTCGTAAATAAACACAGTTTTTCCTCTTACATTGCAAACGCTGGCTGAACCCTACGAGATCGATCAAAATATTGTACTACAGTATTGTATACCTTAAAAATGTCTACAAAAAAGTCCGCCATGGTATCTGTCTATCTCTTAGGGATAACCCACAATAACCATTTTATATCCTATACTTTTTACGAGAAATAATAGATTATTTACGAAGCGATTTTCAGCAATATAACATTCTTCCTTATCCAATTCAGTACCTTAAATACATTGTGCATTTAATATAGACCAATTTGGCTATTTAACGCATGTAATTTAAATGAATATTTTCGAAGATATTACAGATTTAAAATGCAGGGACATAGCGGTTCCGACGCTACCGGGCGGGGCACCTGGTGGCGCGTGCCTATTGTAATTAGGTATTAGAAGAATGTCATTGTCACTATAGTCTACACTACAGCTCTACACCGAAGCGAAGCGCGGGCGGGCCACTAGTATATTATAAATCATGACTTTGGTTTGTAAAGCACTTTATTATACGCTTTTTAGTAACTGTTCTTTTACCAAAGCTTTGCCATTTATATCAAAAAGAGAAAATGATATTTAAAAGCTAAACAGATATTATAATATTTTTTTATTAAGTAAGAGTTAAACAAATCGCAACGAAAGAATCAGTCGAATTGAAAAGGTAGGGAAATGAAAGAATACAAAAGCCTATAAGCATAGGTTTCCTATTTACCTGGTCGCAATCAGTTCTGTGTGAAACACAAATGGCGTTAAAATACAATCTCAAGAACTATGTGTTGCATGTCTTTGAATTAATAATAAAATCTTTTCTATCTAACCTTCGACATGTATGGCAGAAGTAATAACGTCCAAGGGCTGCGAGGACATGTAATTTATTCTGGAAACTTCAGTCCAAGTGCGGAGGAGGCTGCCTAGTCTCATCCCATTTGCTGACACCCGCAATGCCACATCGAGGATTTCCTCACTATCATCTGTAGTTTTAGTTTTCTCTGGCACCATCGATGTTCCCGTTGTCATCGTGCTTTTATTGTCAACAGACATTTTCGATTTAGGTACTTAGCTGAACCTAAATGAAAAAAAAACAAGTTTTATTCAAGAGAAATAGCCGATTAGTTTATATTGTATCCAGATTCAAATAACTTTTACCCAAGAGAAAATGTACAGAAGTTATAAGAAATCTAAAAAAAATACTTTACCACAGACGTGCTCAGCCTTTGATCAGCGCCAAAGATTTGGTCATTCAGAGATTTGGTGAAATTTCCTTTGACATCTACACCCGCACAGAGAGTATAAGTCCGGAGGTCTGAAAAATATCGAAGAGAGTATATCTGACCACAGTACCATTGTACGTTCTCTTTGAGCATTATCTAAATTACAAATTCCACATAAATTCGTTGATTGTACAAAAGAAAAGGTATCTTATTTTCAGTGTTTTATTATAGCGACGATAAAGCGTTAACTACAGAAAATCTTAGAAATGTACATACTTGGAAAGGAAACTACATATTTTCTATACACGTAGATTGCGAACCTGTTTGAATACGTCTGGGTGTCTGTATTCCCGTTGTCAGAGTTGGTCAGGGGTTTAGAGGGAGAGGGGGAGGGGCGAGGGGAGCGTGTCGAAGGAACCCTTCGACTACACCTTGTTGAATTTATATTGAATTTAAATTGGCAAAAATTAATCTGTATATATTATAATTTGTATTCCTGTTGTAATAAAAATAAAGTAACATGACTAGGTAATGCCAAAGTATACTTGATCATTCAGTCTTAACTCAAATACTTCATTCGTTCGTTCAACCCCCACTCATTCGATCATTCACGCATTCAGTTCACTTATAAACTTGCTTCACTTTGTATTCTGCTGTGCTAGGAGTCAGTCGTATCAGCTTCCTAGTAAAAATATATTTCACAGAATATAAGTATCATTCGTCACTGTGATTCCGTATTTTATTCAGCTCCTCTGACCTATAAAATCTACAGGTTATGGGCACAGTGCTCGCGTGTGAAAGTGTATAAGTTTTTTCATTTAATTCGTCGCCTACCCTCGTTCGTTCTATATTTTTTCCAGGTGGAAAATTTAAAAAGCAAGCGCAATATCAAGCCATTTGATGGAGGAAAATATAGTATTTGGAAGTTCCGAGTGCGTGCATTGCTATGTGAGTTAGATGTCGGAAAAGAGAGCTGTGACACAAGTTTTAAGGTTTTGTATGTTGAAAATAAAAGAGAAACGATTCATAAAAAGAGATTTAATAGTTCAAGACAAGGATATAATTACAATCAGAAGAATAATTACAGCAATAATTAAAATCAAACGAATAATAAATCAAAGAAGAAGTATTTTGTGAAATGTTATCATTGCGGCACGAAAAATGACTGTTATTACTTCAAGCGATTAAATAAGAAATATTACAGCTCCAAAAGAACAAGAACAGCACTAGCAGTAGAATTACATGAACCTTCAACATCAAAAGATTTTTCAGAGTTTGCATTTATAACTACCGACCATCAAGATCAGTGCATGGATAAAAATAAAATAACTTTTATTTTCGACTCCGGTGCTTCTTACCACATCATAGAAAGGGAAGAATTGTTTACTAATTACATAATTTTAAATTTCAATTGCTAAAAATGACCACTTTGTTTCAGCACATAGGAAAGGCACCCTGAATGTTATCAGCAACACAGGCATCGCAGGATTTCTGGACGGTGTCCTGTACTGTCCAGAGGTCCCATATAATATTCTGTCTGTCTCAAGGATGCAACAAGCTGAATTGACAGTCAAGAGGTCGCAGAAATTTGCAGTAATGGTAAAACCATAATTCAAGGTAGGTCTTTAAACTAATTGCTATAGACTTGTAGTGTCTAACTATATTACTTGCTCTGTTTGCCAAGTGTACAGTGTTAATAAAAATATGTAATATATATGGCACCAACGTTTAGTAAGTAGTAAAAGTAAATTTATTGATCTGCAAAGGAATAAAATGGTAAATGACATAAACCTTATTGAATCTGTAATCCCAAATGATAATTTGTGTGAACCTTGTATAAATGAGAAACAAACTCGATTGTCTTTTAATCAAAGTAAAGATAAAACTTATATTAATCGGCCACTGTATCTGGTTCACTCGGGCGTTTGTGGCCCTATCGCTACCCCTACAGTATATAATAAAAATTACTATATAATTTTTGTGGATCAATTCACGCATTACTCCTCATAACACATAAATCGGATGTATTAAATGTTATTAAAGATTATGTGGCGAAAAGTTAAGTTAAATTTAATTTGGTTAATTTGTACTGTGATAACGGTGGAGAGTATTTATTTACCGAAATGAAAAACTATTGTTCTGAAAAGGGAATTACTTACCACTTATCTACACTACGAACACCGCAACAGAATGGTGTTTCACAGAGAATGGTTAGGATTGTAACTGAAAAGGCTCAGTCAATGATTCATTGTACAAAATTAGATAAATAGCTTAGTAGTAAATAAAGTTTTCTGGGGAGAAGCAGTTTTAACTGCAGCAAATCTAATTAATATTACTTCTACAAGGGCTTTGAAACAATCTAAAACACCATTTGAGATGTGGCATAAAAAAAAACCTGAAATAAAATATTTAAAGGTATTTGGGTAGACTGTGTATGTAGGTACATAAAAAACAGACACAGTTTGATGAAAAATCATGGAAAGGTGTACGAACCAAACGGATAGAAAGTTTGGAATACAGATTCCGAAAGATTCGTTACTGTCAGGGACGTTGTTGTTGAGACTATTTTTTTTTCAATCCTGGCTATATGGCAGAAGAGTATAGCAATAAATATACTCAGGACAAAACAGATAACAATGATCGTGAGTCTAAATCTGTGTCCATAAAGTCTCAAAATTCTGACAGTAATAAATCAGATATAAATAAATCTGATGACCTTGAGCGTCCAAATAAAATTCGCAAAATTGATAATAATGCCATTAATTCTTTTTCTAATTAAAATAGATATAGTGCTGATAAAACTATTAACCTAAGAAGGAGTGATATACTTAAAACCGTTCCTTTGTAACGTATAAAGAGACGGATGTCAATTTTGACTATTTGTTAAGTGCTCAATCTGTTTTTTTGTAAAGTGCCAAGTTTTTATGATGAAATTAATACACTTCATGATAAGGATATGAGGGAAGATGCTATAAAGGAAGAATTAAATTCCTTACTAGCAAACGATAGTTCCCGGTCTTTAGTTCCCACACCTAGTGATACAAATATTGTTGATTGTAAATGGATCTTTAATATAAAACATGATGAATTCGGAAAACCACAAAGAACCAAAACTCGCCTTGTAGCGCGTGGTTTCAGTCAAGAATATTTAGTTGATTACCAGGATACATTTGCACCTGTCGCCAGAATAGTAAGATTTAGATTTATTAATAGCTTTGCAAACCAATTTAATCTTTTAATTCATCATATGGATGTCAAAACTGCGTTTTTGAATGGGATATTAAAAGAAGAAATTTACATGAGGGCTCCTGAAGGTTTAATCAGTCCTCATAATCATGTTTGTAAATTAAACAAAGCTCTTTATGGACTTAAACAAGCAGCTAAGTGTTGGTTCGAACTATTTGAACAATGTTTATTAGAAAAGGGTTTTCAGAATTCATCTGTTGGTATATGTATATACATGCTAAATAAAGGCAATGTTCAGAAAAATTTATGCTCGGTACTTTATGTTGAGGATTTAGTAATTGCCTGTGATGATAAAGAAATCTTAGATAGCTTTAAGATTTATTTAATGAATACATTTAAAGTGACAGATTTAAAAGTCTTTAAATTTTTTTTTCTTGGTATAAAAGTAACTCAATACAACAATAGAATAACGTTTGATTAAAGTGCATATATAAAAACTGTTTTAAATAAATTTAATACGAGTGATTGCAATCCAATCAGTACTCCATTAGAGAGCAAGTTAAATTATGAAGCATTAAAGCTGACGATATTTATAATGCACCTTGTCGAAGCGTTATTGGTTGTTTAATGTACATAATAATATGCACTCATCCCGACTTAAGTACTAGTGTCAACATCTTGAGTATATATACTAACAAGAATAACAAAGACTTATGGTAATGTCTTAAAAGTGTACTCAAATATTTAAAAGGTACTATTGATCTTAAATAAGTGTATACAAAATGTGATTATAATCTTATATTGTGTGGTTATGCCGATTCTGACTGGGGCGGTAACACTAATGTTAGAAAAGTACCATAGGATATTTATTCAAGTTATTCGAATCATGTTCACATGGAACACGAAAAAGCAGCTGTCTGTAGCAGCTTCTTCTACTGAAGCAGAGTACATGACATTGTACAAGGCTGTTAGGGAGGCTCTGTGGCTCAAATCGTTAGCAATTACAATCGGCTTAAATATTGAAAATCCTATAATCGCTTACGAAGACAATAATGGGTACATTAATATCGCAAACAATCCAACTAACCGCAAAGGTCAAAACATATTGACATTAAGTATCATTTTTACACAGGAGCAAGTTGCGAAAAATGTAATAAAATTAATTTTTATTCCCACAGGTGCACAATTGGCTGTTATACTCACAAAGCCGTTACCAGCAGTTACATTTCATACAATAAGACGTGAAATGGGATTAGAATAAAACATTTTTTTATAAAATGTTGCCATTTATTGATTGTACAATATTAGTTTAAGAATGATCTTGGTCTGGTAAGGTTTTACTGGGTTTCCCTTACCCATGCAACAAATGTTGGGCCGTATTATTTGTATCTCCCAGAAATACTAGGAAGTTGTATGTATTGTTTAGAATATTATTTTGGTTTATATAGTGATTAATTTTTGAGGGGGCGTGTTGAATTTATATTGAATTTAAATTGGCAAAAATTAATCTGTATATATTATAATTTGTATTCCTGTTGTAATAAAAATAAAGTAACATGACTAGGTAATGCCAAAGTATACTTGATCATTCAGTCTTAACTCAAATACTTCATTCGTTCGTTCAACCCCCACTCATTCGATCATTCACGCATTCAGTTCACTTATAAACTTGCTTCACTTTGTATTCTGCTGTGCTAGGAGTCAGTCGTATCAGCTTCCTAGTAAAAATATATTTCACAGAATATAAGTATCATTCGTCACTGTGATTCCGTATTTTATTCAGCTCCTCTGACCTATAAAATCTACACACCTCACCCGCACCGCGGAACCTCGAACTAACTCGTAAAACGACGTCACATAACGTGACATGAC